TATTTAAAGTAAAAGATAATAGTTATTCAGAACTTTGTTACGAATTGATAGGAACACACTATTAAAAACAAGTATTAACAATGGTAGAACTTTTATCAGAATAATATAGATAAAAATGTAAAATGATAATTGAAAATCCAACTCCTTTTTTTTAGTTTAGAGATGAAATATTAATAAATTTAGATAACATTTATAACGAATTATTTGATCAATTGTGTAATTATAATTAAATAGATTTAATCAAAATATTAAAATTAAGAGTTGAAAATGGATTTATTTTTAATTCAATAACCTAAAAGATACAAAACTTAGTCTGTAAACGTTATCCTAAATACAAATAATTAAATAAAATTACATCTATTGAACTGTAGATTGCATCATTTTATAATTTAATATCACCATTTATGCTATTTTCGCCTTCAGAAATAGTCTGTGACCTCTATTATGACTATATTGTAGAGTAAAAAATATACTGCATAAACTCATCTTAATTTCTAAACACCATGTTCATATAAAACATATGAAAAAATGGTAATGGTTTGAATATAAAAATTTTAAAAATGTTTCTTGAGCTTTAAATAATTAATATTAGAGGTGTATTAATTGTATAGATATGTGTGTGTTTTTATTTTTTATTGAATTTGAAAACAAAATAATATTAAAAAATCTTTATATTCTTTTGATATTTACATTTTATCGCATGTATTAAATTGTTTTATTATTATCAGAAAAGTGAGAAAAATATATCAAAAAGTTAAATATAATTTAATTATTTTAAATTTATCTTAATAATTTATAAACTTTCTTTTTACTAAAAAATAATAAATAAATAAAGTTAATTATAAACTATTAAAAAGAAGTATAAACAATAGTAGAACTTTTATCATAATAATTTAGATAAAAATGTAACATAATAATTGACTCTCATTATCATTTTTTAAAGTTTAGAGATGAAATATTAATAAATTTAGATTATATTTATAAGGAATTATTTGATAAATTGTGTTATGGTTACGATAATAATTTAATAAAAATATTAGAATTAAGAGTTTAAAATGTATTTATTTTTAGTTCAGCGACCAAAGATATAAAAGTTTGTCTGTAATAGTTATCCTAGATACAAGTAATTAAATAAAATTACATCTATTGAATTACAGATTATATCATTTTATAATTTAATATCACCATTTATGTTATTTTCACCTTTTGAAATTGTCTTTGACCTCTATTATGACTCTTTATGACCTATTTTAAATTAAATTGCTAAATATCTATTCATTTAATTTACTTGATTTTTAATTATTGCTTATTTTACAATCTACTTTATAAGTAATTAATTAATTAAAATAAGAGAAGAACTAAAATCTTAATAAGCAAATTTCCATTTTATTGTTTTGTAGGTTATAAAATATCAGGACCCCGCCATACATCAAAAATTAAAAAATAAGAAATAATTTGTAAAAATATTGATACTATGTAGGAAGAACCTTTAAAATGATTAAATATATTAGTTAAATTGAGAAATAATTTTTAAAACACTATACTGCAAATTTCTTAATTTACTATAAAGCAAGATTAAACAAAAAAATTGAAAATTTTGAAAGAAAATAAGTTATTTTTATTTATTAATAATTAATTATTTACAAAAAGGTAGTTTTTCTTCATTTATATCTAAATTTTTTTTTTTGATTGTTTGAATTAATTTTTATTTATTTTAAGTTTGTTTGCAAATAAAAATTAGTGATTTAATATCTTTTAAATTTGTTAATCTTGATATTTATTGGATATTTAAAAAAAAACCAAATTAAATAAATTTATGCAAATTATTTTCTATCTTTTCAACAATTTTTTAATTTTCCAAAATTTAAATAAAATAAGGTTCAACATACCTATGAAATATTTCAACCTCTTATACTTATTATTTAAAATAAATTGTAAGTAAAAGAACTATTTCCAAATTAATTAGTAAATTTCATAATACAAATGAATATCAATCAATATTTTTTTATGATTTTATCGTCTATTTAATTAAAACAATAGAGTCTCTAAATTTATTTTATGAATTTTTGTAAGTACCATACTTAAATGTCTTCTCCTGATTATTCTATTGAAAAAAGTAAAGTTTCTCCTTTATAAAAAATTTTCTTCTATATTTATGATGGTATTAATTAACACCTATTAAATTTAATTAATTAAAGATTATTTTACCGTTAATTAGAGAGAATAGATGGTTAAGATCAAATTTTCAGCTTTTAAAATAAAAATCAATTGAATTTAATTAAATTATAGTATATACTAAAATTCATTTATTTAGGTGATAGATTTTAAGTATGAATATAATTTTATGACTACTCATACTAAAATATTAATTATTATAATAAGTATTTTTATTGTTTTTTAAGTTTATGATATTTTCTAAAGTTTAAAAAATCCAAAATAAATAAACCTAAATATTCTTATTTTTGATACTCGCTTGCTTGTTTAGAGACATTTTCATTTCTCTGCCTTTTTGTGTTAAAAAATAAATATCCTATTGATTCAAAGACAATTAGTATTTCTTCTAAAAAAGATTAAGCTAATTCTAATAATTTACTTTAAAACAAGAGATATTCAAATTTCGAAATAAATATATTTTTATGAAGATAAGACTTTGAAAAAAGAAATTCAATTTTTGATGGATAAATATTAACGAAAAGTGATAAATTTAATAGTACTATAGAAGTGATATATTTTTAAACTGATAGATAATAAATATTAGATAAAAATTAAGGCAGCAATATCTATAATATCTTTTTTTTTATTTGCTATTACTTTATTTTAAATTACATACTCAAAAATAAATTATTATATTTATATATTTAACACTTGCTAATATTTCTTACATTTATTGCAAATAAATAATTAAAATTTTTAATAGGATAAGGATTAGAAATAAATAAAGTGATAAATTTAATAGTACTATTGAAGTGATATATTTTTAAACTGATAGATAATAAATATTAGATAAAAATTAAGGCAGCAATATCTATAATATCTTTTTTTTTATTTGCTATTACTTTATTTTAAATTACATACTCAAAAATAAATTATTATATAAAATATTTAACTCTTGCTAATATTTCTTACATTTATTGCAAATAAATAATTAAAATTTTTAATAGGATAAGGATTAGAAATAAATAGCTTTATTTTATTGTAAATTAGCTTTTCAGCCAAAAAAAAAAATTATATTAAAATTTCTTATTTTCTCCTATTAATTATCTAAAAAAATTAATTTAAAATCATCAACTTTTGTTTTTATTCATAAATAATTTTCAAAATAATAATAATAATAATCAAAGCATAAAAAAAAAACTAATTAATTAGCGAATAAAAGTAGATAAATTAATAGATAATTATGTATTAGTAGAAATTGCTATTTTGGTGCTCTTTGATATACTATCTTATCATGATTTACAGTATTATAGTTGTTTTTTTGTTATGGAATGATGAAAACATAGACTCTTATTATTATACTATTTTCTTTTTTATATTTTGTTGGCTAGAAAAATTTGTTACTTTAACACGCGATGGACCTGGTTGTGGCTATCATACATTATTTGTTATTTGTGATATACTTTAAATTGGATTTGTTTTCATCTTCTTTGTTGATTTTGATATATATTCAGATATCTATAATTTGAATTATTTACAATACTCTAAGATAATCCCTTTTACATTCCTGGAATTTATTTTCTTTGTTGTTTTAAAAGATTTTGATAATAGTAGCAATCCAGAAAGTGTTTAGATAGCAGCTTTGGTTAATCTGTTATTATTTTTAATCCTTTTTAGCTTTGTTTAGTTTGCTATGAAACATCAAGAGAACACTATAGATTTAGTTACATAAGCTCAAAACTTTTATAAGTTTTTTTTAAGTTAATTTTCATATTACTTATCAATATGTGCTCTAAGTTTTATTGAAATATCTGGATTTAGTTTAGGATTATCTGCTATAGTTATTTATCTTTTTACAATTATTGGTTATATACTATATCGCTCAAAATTTGATAAAAAATTGCTAAGTTTTATTTACATTTATATATTGTACAATGGATACAGACTTCTTGACTATGATTTTGATAAGATAAATGCTTATACAATCTTTTTATAAGTTGCTACTTATATAAATCAATTAATTAGAGTAATTATTTTGATTATATTTTGCTAAAGCTAAATTTTTGAAAGCTCAGAAACCACTTAAGTGAAATAAGTCCTATTTTACTTAACTTTAGCTTTTAGTTTCTTATATTTCATTATTTTATTTGAAGACTTTTACAGTAACTTACTTAAGATTAGGATAATTGCTATATCTTCAAAAAAGGACATAGTAATTGCAAACAAAGTACTGAAAAAAAGGCGATATTATTATTTAAGATTTCAATTTGGAACATATGATGGTAGTTATTCAGAACTTGATGAGCAATTGATAAAATTAGATAACCATTAAAAAGAAGTATTAACAATGGTAGAACTTTTATAATAATAATTTAGATAAAAATGTAATATAATAATTGACTCTCATTAATATTTTTATAGGTTTAGAGACGAAATATTAATAAATTTATATTACATTAATAAGGAATTTTTTGATAAATTGTGCTATGGTTATGATAAAAATCCAAATAATAATTATGGCAATAATTTAATAAAGATATTTAAATTAAGAATTTAGAATGGATTTATTTTTAGTTCAACGACCTAAAACATACAAATGTTCATCTGTAATAGTTATCCTAGATACAAGTAATTAAATAAAATTACATCTATTGAATTACAGATTATGTCATTTTATAAGTTAATATCACCAATTATGTTATTTTCACCTTCTGAAATTGTCTGTGACCTCTATTATGACTCTTTATGACCGGTTTAATTAAATCGCTAAATAGCTATAGCTATTCAATAAATTAACTTGATTTATAATTATTGCTTATTTTACAATCTACTTTATGCCAAATCTCTCAGTAATTAATTAAAAAGAGAAGGGCTGAAATCTTAATAAGCAAATTTATATTTTATTATTTAGTAGGATAGGAATTAGAAATAAATAGCTTTATTTTATTTTAAATTACCTTTTTTAGCCTACATATAGATTTATATTAAAAGTCTTATTTTCTCCTATTAATTATCCAAAAAAAATTAATTTAAAACTATTTATCTATCTTTGTTTTTATTCTTAAATACTTTTCTGTCAACATATTGATTTATATTAAAAGTCTTATTTTCTCCTATTAATTATCCAAAAAAAATTAATTTAAAACTACCTATCAATCTTTGTTTTTATTCATAAATTCTTTTAAAAATAATAATAATCAACACCAAAAAAAATCAATAGAAAAGAAGTAAATAAAATAAGAATTAATCAGCGAATAAGAATTACTAAATTAATAGATATGTAAAAGTAGAAATAACTATTCTGGTGCTCGTTTATCTACTATCCTTTGATGATTTACACTATTTTAGTTGCTTTTTTATTTGTAAAATATTAAGGGAGCTTTTATTCAACTTATTATACTTTTTGTTTCACCATAGTTTTATTTTTTGAAAAAATGGCAACTGGTGTGATTGGATGTAAAGATGGTTATAATAAAATTTTTGCTGGTTTTGATTATCTTTATTTTGGATTTATTTTTATCTTGTTTGTTGATATTGAAAAACATAAAATATTCATTAATTTGAATTTTTTAATGTATTATAGGATAATTCCTTAAATTATCATGGAATTTTTTTTCTTAGTTATTTTAAAAGATTTAGTTAATAGTGAATATCCAGAGAGTCTTTAATTAGCAGCTTTAGTTAATATATTAATATTTTTATTCCTGTTTAGCTTTACTATGTTTGCTATGAAATAAAATTGTTAACGTCCATAGAGAGTAGATTTAGAGACAAAAATTCACAATTTTTGTAAGTTTTTTTTAAGTTAATTTTCATATTACTTATCAATATATACTCTAACTTTATATGATAAATCTGGTTTTAATTTAGGAATATCTGCTATAGTTATTTATCTTTTTACAATTATTGGATATAAACTATATCATCGCAATGTAAAATTAAATATAGAATTGCTAAGATTTATTTAGAATTATATTTTGTTCAATGGATACAGTTTTCTTCACTATGATTTTGATAAGTTAAATTCTAATACTATCTTTTTATAAGTAGCTACTTATATAAATCAATTAATTAGAGTAATTGTTTTGATTATATTTTGTTAAAGCGAAATTTTTGAAAACTCAGAAACCATTTTTGTGAAATAAGTTCTATTATACTTAACTTTAGGTTTTAGTTTCTTATACTTCATTATTTTTTTAAAAGACTTCTACATGAACTTATTTAGGACTAAGATAATTAATCTATCTTCAATTAGGGATTTTATAGCTGCAAATAAGGAACTGAATAAAATAAAGAGATGTTCTATTTTAAAAATCCAACTAGATGAAGAACTTAATACTTATTCTGAACTTAATGAGTAATTAATAACGGATTTATATTACTATAAAACAGAAATATTAACTATAATATAAGTTATTTCATAACAATTTAGATAAAAGAGAATAAAAAGAATTATATTACCTTCTTCCTTTTTATAATTTGGAGAAGAAATATTAATAAATTAAGATTATATTTATAAGGAATTATTTTAAGAATTATGTAAAAATAATCATTTAAATTTAATCAAAATATTAGAATTAAGATTTTAGAATGGATTTATTTTTAGTTCAACTACCTAAAAGATACAAAACTTAGTCACTTATAGTTATCCTAAATACAAATAATTAAATAAAATTACATCTATAGAATTACAGATTATATCATTTTATAAATTAATATCACCATCTATGTTATTTTCACCTTCTGAAATTGTCTGTGACCTCTATTATGACACTTTATGACTGGTTTTAAATTCAACCACTAAATAGCTAGCTATTCATTTCATGTGCTTGATTTTTTATTATTGATTATTTTACTATCTATCTATCTGGTTAAAACCAAATATCTCAATAATTAGCTTTAATAAGAAAAAGAAGAAGATCTAAAATCTTAATAAACAAATTTCTAATTTATTATTTAGTAGAATACAAAATGTAAGAACCCCACCCCACCCTGCACATACATAAAAAATTAAATATTTTATATACTAATTAATATACGAGGTTGTTTTATTTGTCTAGATATTTGTTTGTATTATTTATTAAATATCAAAACAAAATAATGTTAATCTTATTCTATTTTCAGTTTATCACTTGTCTTATTTTCTATTATTTTGATCAGAAAAGTGAGAAAAATATATCGAAAAACTATACTAAAAAATTAGAAAAAAGCAAAGTTAATTAAAATATTTAATCTAATTATTTGTAGCCAAATATAAACTAAGATTATGTATTAGCAAAAGGAACTCTTTTGGTGCTCTGTTTTCTATTATCTAGTAAACATTTATAGTATAGTAATTGCTATTTGTCTATACCTATAGGGTGGAGATATAAACATGGCTTATTTTATTACATTCTTTACAGTTTTTGGAATTGATAAACTTTTAGTAATATTTGTTTTATTCATTTAAAATCATAATGGGCATAATGTCAGCTTAAAATTTGCTTTCTTTGATATTTTCTAGATTGGATTCATTTATATTTTCTTTGATGATGAATTTTAATCAGGTAATTTAGAAAATACTTTAAAAACTAAGGTTTACAGCAGAGTCATTCCTTAAATTATTATGGAATTTATTTTCTTTTTTTGCCTCAAGGATTTAGCTGATGGAGATAATTCAGAAAGTATTTAGATTGCAACTTTGATCAATTTTATATTGTTTTTAGCTCTATTTTGCTCTCTTTTTTTTGTTATTATGGGGGAATCTTAATATTATTATTCTTATTTTAAGATTATTAATACATATTATAAGAGATAAACTTATATTTTCTTTAAATTTTTCTTGACTCAAATGCCATATTACTTAAGTATATGCACATTTTCTCTATATGAAGATAGATTTAGAATCAATTTAGGTTACTATATAATTGTTATGGCTATCATAACAATAATAGGATATATTATTTATATTCGCCATAATTCTGATTACAAATTGATTGAATTTATTTTTAATTATTTATGTTTTAATGGATATAGAATTGATTATAATGATTTAGATTTATTGTCAAAAACTTAAGTATATTTACTTATTTCTACTTATGTAAATTAAATGATTAGAGTTGCTATTTTATTTATTTATTGCTAAAATGATATTTTTGAGAGTTAAGAAAGATAAAAAGTAAAGTAAATACTTATTATTATAACTTTAGTATTTAGCTTTTTATAGTTTATTCATCTATTTTATGAATCTTATGTGATTATATTCAAGACTAAGGTCATTAATATCTTTTCTAAAAATGACATAAAATCTACTAATATTATTCTTTAGAACAAGAAATATACAAATTTCATAATATATTTTAACAAATAATAGAATTCTTAATCAGATTTATAAAAATAATTACTAAGCTAAAGTGATTAAAGAAATGAAATATTAAATTTTGTAAGACTAATTTCATAATTTCAAAGAAAAAACATATAAGCAATTATTAGAAAAATAGAGATACTTAATTACTATTTAGGTATTTATTATTTTAAAGAATTTCGTGATGAAATTTTTTAAAATATAGAAGATTTTGATGATAATTTGTTCATAGACTTAATTCATGATTAAGAAGAAGATTATTGCATCATGATGTTAAATTAAAGAGTAAAAAATGGAATTTTTTTAAGTTAAATAACCTATAAACTAGTTCGTAGGATTAGCTATAAAAAGAAAGAATATCGAATTTTAACAAATTTTGAATCTTGTTAATTGTAAATAACGTTATTTAAAAAAAAATTTTCTCATCTTATGTAATTTTAACCATCTTAAATTCTCTTTGACTTATATTAAGATTACTGAAGTTTTTTTACACTTCAAAAATTTAAAAAAGTAGTATTCATATTGGATTGGTTCTAGATTTATAATATTTATTAGTAGGACATTTATAAATTATAAATTAACAATTAAAAATTAACTATAGTGGTTATTAAAGTTAACTTAAAGTTTAAAAAGATAGAATAATAATACATTTTATTCTAATTAATTAAGTTTGATAAAAATAATAATTTTTAATTTTAATATTGGTATGAGTTTATTTTCAAAATATTATTTATGAGTATTTTAATTAAATGAATAGAAATAATTATATCTTGGCAAATAATAAATATGCTTATTTCAAATAATATATATTTATTTTTAAAGAGTTAATAATCTGAAAATATTTAGAGTGTTTAATAATAAAAATTGATAACAGAAGATAGATGCTAAAAATTTGAGACATCGTAGAAAAAAGTGAAGATATATTAAATTTTTGTTTAAATTATTAATAAAATAAAAATATGCAAATATTTTTAAAAAAAATCATGTATAAAACTTATTATTTTAATTGTATTATCAAGTACCATAAATAATTTGATATTCTATATCATTTTCAAGAAATTTTTGCAATTAATTTTATTTTAGAGGGCTGATGAAGTGTATACAAATTTTTTTTTTTTTACTAAGATAGAATTCCTATTTTACTATAAATAATTATATAACCTATAATTTTTAATTATTTTTAAAGAATTTTGCAAAAAATAAATGATTGATTTAAATAACAAGACTGATTTAAAATATTCTTCATACATACGTTAATATAATTTTATTCTGATGTATTTATATATTATTTAATACTAAAATAAAACTGGTAATTTATAATATAAATTTATCAAGATGGGCACCATCCAGAGTGGCACATACCATCACCACACATATGCAAAGGAGGTCTGCATGTGTCTTATCCAGGAAAGTTTACAGCCAAATTTTTATCATGATCTTGTTATAGCTATGCACAAGTTTCATACTCTCTGCAATAACTGAAGCAGTAATAAAGTCCTTCTTCACATGCAATATCTTCTTTCTTTAAGTTCTAGGTGCTTTAAAAGTTAGTAATAGTGAGATATGCTATAAAAGCAACAGCTGCTAGAATAAGGGTCTTTTTAATTAAGGAATTCATAATTTATATGTAATTCAAGTTTTTTAGTTAATTTATTAATTAATTATTATTATTTTCAATCAAAATGTTAGATATCTTTGTTTTAAATTGAATTTAATTAATTTATAAAAGAATATTTGAAGTAAAAGAAGGAAGACATATTATTTAAAATTATTAAGAATTCATCAATTGCAATTAAAAACTTACTTTTAATAAAGTTTAATTTTTCTATATGTACTGAATATCGAAAAATCTTTTTAAAATAAATTATACGATTGTTTAGAATTAATTAAATTATATATTTACCACAATTTCTTGATAATAATACCATCTAAAAATTACAGAGAATATTAAGGACTAAAATAAGGGCTGATGAGATGTAATTAGTTTTTTCATTTTTTTACTTAGGTAAAATTCCTATTTTACTATATATTACTATATGTTTTATTTTTAATTTTTATTAAAGAATTTTGTAAAAAAAAAATAAATAAATAAATGATCTAAATAAATAAGTAAATAACAGGAGTGGCTTAAAATATTCTTTTTTTATTTTTATAATTATACTTATATATATTTATGTATTTAATAAGAAAATAAAACTTATAATTTATGATAAAAATTTATATATTATAATTTATTATATAAATTTATCACTATGGACACCATCCAGAGTAGCATCTACCATCTCCACACAAATGCATAGGACGTATGCAAATTTGGTCTCCATTTTCTAGTTTATTCATATTTCTATCGAAATCTCTTTATAGCTTTTCGCAACTTTCATACTCTCTGCATTAACTAAAGCAGTAATAAAGTCCTTCATCACATGCAATAGTTTCTTTCTTTAAGAATTAGGTGCTTTACAAGTTAGTAAAAGTAAGATATGTTATAAAAGCAACAGCTGCAAGTATAATCGTCTTTTTAATAATGGTATTCATTATTTATAATTAAAGATTTTAGTTAATTTTTTAATTAATTATGATAATTACTGTTATTAATCTAAATTTTAGATATCATTTAAATTAAATTTGAGCTAATTTATAAAAGAATATTATGAGTATTAGAAGGAAGATGTATTATTTCAAATTGTTACTAATTTCCCTTCCCATTGTAATTAAATCCTTACATTTAATAAAATTTAATTTTTTTATTTGTACTGAGAAACAAAAAATCTTTTTAAAATAAAATAAATAATAGTCAACAAGTAGTTTAAAATTATAATTTTGATTAAATTATATATTTACCATAATTTCTTGATAAAAATCTCATCTAAAAATTATAAGAGGATATTAAGGAATAGCAAAAAAAAGTAATTTTTGCACAAAGTTTTTTAAATAATTATTTTGATGATGCATCCTTTTTTTTATATTATATCAACATAATCTTTAATTTAATTAAATTTAGCTCTAAGTATTATTGAAATCATCTCTAATAAATAGCGTTGATTGTTTTTTAATTTTAAAAAGTTCTTTAATGATATTTTTGAAAATTCAAATAACAGTAAATTTAAGTAAGTCTTTTACACTTTCTTTTTTTGTTTTATGAATTTTATATTTACTTATGTAATCAATATCTATACAAAAAATGATAGATATACTATCTGCTAATTAATCTACATATAAAAATAATCTATATTACACATAAAAATACAGCTTATAAGAAATTAATAAAGTAATTAAGAGATCTAAGAATCATTAATTCCTAAAAAGCTAAAAAAATAATGTATTAGAACTGGTAGAAATGAATTCTTACCAAACTTTGAGTTTTTTTATTATGAACTTTCTTAAAGTTATGTTACTATATTTAAAATGGATTTATTTTGAGTGATAAAACCTAAAAAATCTTAGAATTAATAAAAATAATTGAATAAACTCGATTGAATCTTTTTAGTTACAAATTTTCTTATTTGATAGAAGATTTTCGCCTATTATGTAATTTTAGCCTTATTAAATAATCCAGGATTTGAATGATAATTATTGATTTATTTTTTTAATTTTGAAAAATCTAAGTACTTAGATGACATACCATTTAATCAATTATTTTTAACGTATAATAATTTGATATAAATACATATTTTCAAATCATAATTGTTGGAACAAATAAAAAATTTCATGAATAGAAGCAAGAAATAAAGAAATGTATAACTTTCACTTCTAAATTCGTCAAAAAAATAGACAGATTAGTTAAATCTAAAAGATTTAAATTTATATCTATTTAGAAAGTTAATCTAGCTAATTTTGGTCTGTTAACTTATTATGAAAAAAAGAAAAAGAATAATTTGCTTTCTAAATTTTCTAAGTCTAAATTTTATTAAAATGTTTCCTCTCTTTTTTTAGATTATTAAACAGAAATTTAATGAATTATGATTCATCAACAAATAATAAAAATTAATTTAATGACATAAATATTATTTATTTATTCATTGATTAATTGGAGATATGCAGAATATTTTATTGAGGGGAGATACAGGTGTTTTTTTAATAGAGGGAACTAGTAGATATAGTCATGTTGGACTAGCCTTTCAAAAGTAAATAGAAGATCAGGTATCTTACATAATCTGGCCAACCTCTTATACAATCAAAAAAATATCACTAACTAGATTAAATTTAGAAATAATTTCTTCAAAAGTATAATTAATTTTCATTTATGTTAAAACTAACATCTGTTTTTATTTGATTTTAATTATTTATTTTATATTCAGTTGTTGAGTATTTAAGATATTCTAAATTATTGATTGATATTTGGTTTTAAACTGAATTATTTACTGTCAAAAAAGTGCTTATCCAGTAAATCAATTAATAAAGATTTTTAAAATAGTTTTTTACTATTATGTTTGTTTTCAAATTTATATTAAAATTATCATTTTTATTAAATTAAACATTTTTTATCTTATAATATGACTAAAACGATATAAAAATAAAACCAAGTCCTAATTTTAAAAGTAATTACTAACTTTTTTAATATTTGTTTCACGATTTTTAATGTCTATTTACTTGAAGTACTTTTTAAATTTAAAATCAAATTTAAATAGAATCATATTTATAAGAAGATGATACAATTTTGTGGTTTATTAAATTGAATTAAATAAATAAATAAATAAATAAATAAAGCTTTTTAGAAATAGATTATAATTTATTTTAAGTATATTGCCAATATGTATTTTAATTTTAATAAATTATTATATTAATTTCTTACTTTTTGCTTTTATTTTTTTTAATTTATTTACATAAGTATGTAAAACTGCTTTATAAATCTTAAAATAAAAAATAAGTGCCTATTTTCATCTTAAAAAAATTTAAAAACTTATATGAGAAATTAAACTAGATAAAAATATATACTGAATTCCAAGAAACATTCAATGCCATTAAAAAGACTAGAAATAAAATACGTACTGATAAAAATTAATTAAGTATCTATTATTAAAATTTAGTCTTAGTTTTCAAAAATCTATTTTAATTAACTAAATATTTAATTAAATTTTTTTTGAAAAGCTGACTTCAAGTTTCAAATTTAAAATAATTAATTATTTTAAAAGTAAAACATGATTTTTATTTAAAAATGATATAAATAACTTTTTTTATGAGAGAGAATATATTAAAATAAATGATTAATAATCTTATATGGTAAATTATTTCTCAAGTGTAGTTAGTTCTATTCTTTGAAGAAACTCAATATCTTAATTAGAAATAAAAACTTTTTTACTGCCAATTTTAGAATAGAAGATTAGAATAATCTAAAATTTTTATCAATATGAGAAAGTGAGCAGCTGAAAGAAATTTAGAATATTAATAGAATTTATTAGAAATATAGTAATTTAATAATTATGTTAACTATGCAAATAGAATTTTAATTTACTGTTTTTCTTCAAAATTAATTTTTTGATAGAAGTAGAAGAAGATATTGCGTAATAAAACAAACTATTTTAGACTAATATGACGCTTTATGAAAAGAATTACATTTAATTTATTTTTTAAATAATTATATATTAATACTAAAATCACTCACTGATTATACTTTTCAATTCTACTTTGATGTTCAACTTTTTTTTCTGATTTCTACTTTATACCTGCATAAATAGACATATGTTGTTTTTTCTATTCTTATTTATTAATTATGACCATTTTGAGCCAGCAAGTTGTCTTGCTTATTTTACTAGTACTATTGCAAAGTCTTTTTAAAAATATGAGAAAATGTTTAAATAATATCTAAGAATATTTGATAGCAAATGAAAAAACAAATTTATATTGATAAATGTGAATATCCCTTTAAGTAATCAGTTATTTATTTTTGCTATTTCAATGAAAATACTTACTTACTTACTTATAAGCAATTTTTGAAATTATTTAATTTTTTTTTATAATAAATTTGAAAAGATATAAAGGAATATTTAGTGATGGATTAAAATTAATCAGCTTTAAATATTCATGCGATAATCTTTTAGTAAATTATCAAGTATTTTTTTTCTTTTTCAAAATGAATACTTGATAAAAAAGATTTAATTAATTTTATGATTTCAAACATCTATTTTTATAATTATTAAATGCATGTTAATATTATAAAAATTCAAGGAATATATTGAGCTATTTTATAAAAATTTTCTATAATTTCTTTAAAATGAATTTAAATATTCAAAAAAATATATTTTCGCTAATTTAACATGAAATCAATTTTTTGGAACTTAATTTACAGCAAAACTAGTATGAAAGCAGTTTTGCTTGCTTGACAGAAAAACAACTCTCTTTTTTGTTTGATAAGAAAAAATATCATTCTATCAAAAAGGGAAAAACGCAATTTAATAAAGGATAATTGACTAATTATTTGATCAATTTGATGATGTGCTTGCTTTTAAAAATTAGGAGTAGGAAAGTATATACAATATGTGTTAGTTAATATATATGCAATAAATAGATTTAAGGAAGTATTTGAAGTTATCTTTGTTATATACTTAATAGAATTAATAATATTTTATATATTTATTTATTATTTACTGGTTGATTTAAATTGGTTTTAAATAAATACTATTAGAATTCTTTATAATAAATTATGTGGCTGTTTGTTTTTTTGTTTGTTTCTTTGTTTTATCCTCATTTGTTCGTCATCTTATAATATTATAGATTTGTTATGAGGTCACAAATGTCTTTTCGCTCATATAGAGGGCATAACAAATTCACCAAGATAAACAGGATTAGCAGTCTTGCAGTTGGTTTTTTTGGCCTTAGCACAAGGACAGTCAATAGGTTGGTAGTTTTATCCAAGACAGAAATCGATAGAGTGGAGATATTGAATACCATTGACGATTTGGCATTTTCCAATAACACCAGAACCAAATTGAGGCTCGAGGATATTGATAAGGGTATCGTAGTCGTATGAATCTTGATCAGAGGGGTAGATACCTTCTTAAGCCCACAAATTCAAAGGTTCGTATTTTTTAATAACACCTAAAGCCATTGAGAAGTAGTCATTCATGTAAGATTTTAAGGTTTCGTCAGTAGAGTAGTCAGAGTTGAAAGAGTCATTCCAGCAGACACCGTGCTTCTCCCATTCGTGTTGTCTGAAAGTTTCAGAGGGGTTGTAAACACCAGTCCAGTATTAGTTTAATTCAACCATGACTTCAGGGCTGATTAAGCTGTTATCAAAAGGAAGATCTTAGCAGTTATTAACATAAGTGCAAGCATTTGAAGGAAGACCAGTAGGCCAGACACCATGAAGATTGAAGTGCTTTCCATTAAAGTTTTCTAAATCTCTTTTGTTGCATTTATTGAACTTGCAGACTGAGCCAGGCCATTCAATTTCGACCTAGTAGAAAACGTAATCAGTGTTTTAGAACTAGACAATACCGTTTCTGGAAGAGCGAGAAGCAATCAAGAGAGTGCTGCCTGCTATAAAGAGAGCAGCAGTAGCTAAAGCGACAATAGTAAGAGCTTTCATAAAGGTTGAGTTTAAATGAATATATTCTTGTTAAAGATTTGACAATATTTATTCTTTCTTTCTGTTTTACTTATTTTTTGTTATTTTTAATTATAAAATAAAGTGAATTCCATTTAAAATACAAATTTAGAGCTGAGTCCCCACCACTAGATAGATTTTAATTTCAGACAATTTTTGAAGTCAGCCTAGTTAGTTTATTTATTTACTTTCTAAATCAATCAATAAATAAATTAATTAATTAATCGAAGGGGGATCTTAAAAATCTTTTGTCATTATCTTTTTCATTTCATATTTGGTGGGGGATTAATTTTTACTCATCCTTAAAAAAATATTTATCGATTTATTTGTATTTTTTTGGCAGTCTGTTTGATACAAACCCAAATTTATTATTTTTTTATATAAAAAAAAATCAAGAAAATAGTAATCTTAGAAAATAAATGGAAAAAGTATCCCTTCTCAATAGAGATAAAAAAGTATTTATATAGTTGTACTTTATTTAATTAAACATTAAAAAATAAATAAAAGAATTTATTTACTTTTAGGATTTTCTCTATCATTTTTCCTTTAATATAGTTTACAAATAATCGTAAATTAGTTTTGTTTGATTTTTCCTATTTGGCATTAAGAAGTACGCCACCTGACTTTATATAAGCTCAGTATTTCACAATTACTGTAATATAAAATATTAGTATTTTTAATTTATCTTCAGAATAATATGATGCATGCTTACATAAATTTAAATTACACTTAGATAATTCGATCGTATTTTTTCAACTATTCCCACTTAAAAATTGTAAGTTTTTTATCCTCCAAAAGTAATTTGAAGTTGATTTGGTGAAGGGAATTTATTATTTTAAATTTCTTTTTATTCTTTTTATAGATTATTTATATTCCCAAAATTTAAATTAAGATAAATTATAGGAGAAACCAATGCTTATTTTTAAAACTCATTAGATAGCTCTTTATTATAGGAGTAAACTGTTTACATTCATCTTAATCTTCTCTTTAAGAAAATTTCAAAAATATGTCTATAAAATATTGTTGAAAATTGTTATTATTTAGAGCTTAAGCAAGCAGTACTTTTCTTAAAGTATCATACGAATTAAATTTCAAAAAAATAGAATAAGAAGTATTTTTGTGAATCGTTTTAATTGAAATTTTAAACTGTTATAAATAATTATGGGTTTTTAATTAAATAAACATTAAGATAGATTTTAATCTAAATTGTGGTATTGCGCGAATTTAATCTCTTCCTTTTTCAATTTCATTCATTTTTTTTTTAAACAATGGTTTGTTTATTATTAAGCTTAACTAAATAAAAACATCAAACGCTCTCGACTTAACTTTCTAGCTAATTTTTCTTATATAAATTCTCAAGAATGTATATTACATTATAAATGATTCTACATTAAATAGAATTTAATTTGTATTATATAAAAAAATTAGGGAAAACACTTTATATTCAATTTATATTTAGCATGTAGCTTAATAGAAAAATCTTGAAGGATACAAATCATTTTTATATAAGCGTTTAGATACCTTGTTAATTCCTTAATAAATTTTAATGTTTAAATAAAAAAATAAAGAAAATAAAAATATGTTAGTAAATTAGTAAGTAGTTTCTTTTATCTTTATTAATGCATGGAAGAAGAAAAAATAGAAGCAAAAATAAATTAAAAATAATTGCATTTATTAAATTTTTCCCTTTTACAGCTTTTCCAGGTTACAAACAATTTAAATAATTTATGTATTTGTTAAATATTTGTTCTATTTTGGTTTAGAGATCATAAATCAATCTAATGTAATGTAATGTTTTGTTTTAAAAGTTGAGATGGCAGCTATAATATATATGAGCTTTATTGGTTTAAATTATCGAATAAGATAAGCTCATGAAATTTTCATTTTGCTTAACTCCTTGAAAATGAATTAAATCAATAAAATAGAGTCACTGCAAAAATTATTAATATTGAAAAAACTTTTATTTAATTTTGTATTCTATGTTGATAAATTAGTAAATAATCTAAACTATCTTTTCAAATATTTTCTTCTATTTAAATGTTTTTTATAAATGTTTCCTTAAAATGTTTACCTCATATTAATGTAGAACTAAAATAATATAACTAGTTTTTGTGAGTATGACTAAGCATAAAATTATAATTTAGTTTATCTAGATAATTTACAAAAGAGGAATAATTTATAAAAGTGGTAAGATTTCTATCTTTTTTCTAGACTTTAAATACTCTTTTTATGCCAATTAACAGTCTAAGTTGTAATCTAACGAATTAAAAATATTCAATTTTTTCTCAAAAAGAAAATAAATCTATTAATTTAGTTTACATCTATCAGATAGATATAAATAACATTTTCTTCTAAAATAAAGAAAGAAAGAAATAAATAAAAAAATTGAGTTAAATTTATACTTTTTAATGGATTAAATAAATAATTTTTAGCTTTCAGTAAATTAATTAATTATCCTATCCTACATTCTTAAATCTAATTATAATTCAAACTCTCTTTATATTCTTTTATTGTAAAATAAACACAAGATTACTCACATTGTATTCATAAATTTACAAATACTCTATCAAATTTTTTAATTTACTTTTAGTATGAATCAACAAAAGTAAAAATATTTAAATGTTTTTTGCTAAATTGTTTAGCATTTATAAATACTATTTTTTTTTTAACAAATTTAAGAAAAAAATTATGTTAGATAATAAATAAATAAAATTTACATACAATAAAATCTTAAATTTATTATAAAAATAAGCTATCGACTTTTAAATATATCTATCTATCTATATTGGTGAAATAATCAATCAATTAATACAAAATTAGGTGAATATTTTTTTATTATGTTAATATATAAAAATACTATTTGATTTATAATTAACTAAGAAAAAAGTGATACTATTAAACGAAAATTATTATTAATTTAAGCTCTTGAACATATAATAATGTAGATAAATATAAGAAAATATCCTAGAATCTTTGAAATAAAAATTCAAGGATGTATGAAGTTAGTTTTTATAATTAAATCATTTGATTATTACATCAAATTTTAGTTTATTCTCCAAATACCAGTCCAGTTATATTGATTTATCTCATTTTTATGAACATTTTAACCATATTTTTTCTTTAATTTTTGTATGTTTTTTAATTATCTATTCCCTTTAATTTAATTATTCCTAACTACCTTTATTAAAATGCTTACTAAAAGTTATAGTATACTATAAATCGCTTCTGCTAGTTGACTCATTCCATCCTGAATGCTTCTTAACTTCTTTAGCCTTCTTAGCTTTCTGAAATGACTCAAATTCCTAAACAGTTTGTTTGATGAATAAGAAAGCCACAACTTAAATTGTGTAAAAAAAATTTTATAATTTTTAAAAATTTATTTATATTTATTTCAGTATTCTAAATAAATGTAAATTATAATTATTTAGTACCATTAAATTTCAAAGTATTTACTGCTTTCTTTATAAAATTTAAATAATGTTTATTTCATTAATTAGAATTTTATAAATTTTTAAATTTTTTAAAAAATATTTAAATCTAAGTTTTTGTAAAATGAATATTTAATCCAATTCTGGCTGTTTATGTAAAATAGTTAATTAATTTTACTTATCAAAAATTGACATTAAATTCATTTTATAATTACTTAATTTACAAATTTTGATTTATATTTATATTAAATTTAATTTAGAAGGACTTTTATTATTTAAAAATTTAATTAAAATATTAAAAATTTATAATTTTAATTCAAGTAAAATATTTTTTATTTTTAAATTTATCAATTATTATCTTATTTAGGATAACTTGTGTAATAAATAAGAATATTGGAACTTGATTTTAAAATAAATTGGCATTAATTTATTTTTATTTTAAATTTTAGTATGAAAATGCTCGAGTTTTGTAAAATATTCATCAAAACCTTCAAATATATGAAGAATTCAAACTATAGTTTTTCTCGAAAATGATTTGAAATGCAATATTTACTAACTAGAATTGTTAATATTCATGGATGGCAGCAGAACAAAGAGAGTACTATTATCACATGAAGTATTCTTCTAAAATATGTATGTATGTTATCTGTATTAAATTTTATGGAAAATTTAAAATGTCTATTTAATATTTACTGATTATAATTATCTTTAATTATTGCTTATTTATTAAAAATAGTTAAATAAATATTGATTGATTGATTTCCTGATATAATTTATCTTTAACAAGCAAAATTTTTTGATTATAGATATTAAAAAATATCTAGAATTTAAAAGAATTATAAATAGAGAGAAATGAGTTTTTAATATCAGTAATTTGGTGGTGAATAGAATTCCTTTAATGATTAGGTTTATTAATAACAATAAGGCTAAGTATCAGTTTAAATGCAATAATTTGGAAATAATCCTTAGAATGGCTATTAATAAATAATAAACGAGAATCCAGTCTAAGGATTACCCATTACTAATTTTCCTATACATGGATAATAGTAAGTTATCAACTATCCTAATAATAATATGCAAATTCCTTAAAATATGATAATGGTCCCAATTTTGGATCCTCTAAAAAAGTTAGCAGATTGTTAAGGGATTTTTATTAAATAAAAATTAGAGCTACTTTAAGCCTTGATTGGATGGTAGCATGAAAATGTCTATAAAGTTTTTTAAGCAGATGTAAATGGAATTCAAGTTGGAAACAATCCAATTTTTTTATGCAAAGAAAAAAGCGAGTGTATGTAGAGAATGATGTTGAAAGGTGATATGAGGGCTTTTAACATGAATATCACAAATGAAACTAGCTCAGCTCTGAGTGGGTAAAGTGTTTCGACTCCATTTTTGGCACTTGAAAGACCTTTTAAATGCACTTTTTTTGCATATAATCGTCCAGTACTCAAAGTATACTATGTAGAAAACGGATCTAAAGTTCTCTATGGGTTGATAAAAAATCCATTTTAATGTTGCGAGCTAGGTTGTGAAGTCTATGATGCTAATGAACAACTAAAGTTTCTTATCAAAGGCAAATGCTGCTAACTAGGATTAATTTGCAGAGGTCTACCTTGTGATTCATGCTAATAATATGAATTTACAGTATAAAATACAACTGGATAAATAGTTACAAGATTATTAAAAAAATCTTCAGGATTCATAAAGTCATACTTAAGCAACTGTGATGACTTTTCTTTGGGATTTCCAATAAACTCTACAGCACAAGAAAAAGCATTGTTGATGTCTGCTACTATATTTTTGGATTACATGTATTTTGAAAATAAATAAACAAATAATTAAAAATGAATAAGAAATAAACTATTTGAAAGAAAAGCACTTTAACGCGCTTATAAATTTAAAAACTATAATTAATTAGCTCTAAATTAAATTTCTATCTGATTGGTTAAAAAAAGAACCTCAAAAAAGACAATAATTAAATAAATAACTAACTAAAGTTTAAAATAAGTTAATTTTAAAAATTTATAAAGCATTAAAAATAAATAAATAAAGTGATCTTACATATTAAATATAATTTATACCATAGTTTCTTTCTTAATAAATAAATAAATATTTACTTTATTTTTTGAAATTATAAAACTTTTATTAGAAAAAATACTTAAAATTTTAAACTTTTTTATACCATTAAATTAATTGCATTTACAATTGATTTTTTATATTAATAAAAATTTTTTACAAAACAATTTTAAATAATGAATTTTATTTAATTTATGTTTATGCAAACATTATTTTATTATTAAAATAAATATTTTAGTTTCATTTATATTTAAAATAATTCATAATGTAATCGTTTTCAAGAGATATGGAGACAGGAATGTTAGTTAACAACTTTTATGTTTGCTTTAATCCATATTTAAATTATCTTTATAAGTATAAAGAACCAAATGTGACGACTACTAAGATTAAAATAATTTAGAAAATAGCTAAATAGGTTAATATTGAGACTATATATTGTGAAAGCAATTATTTAGATTAGCTTAAATAATATTGTATTTATGTAAAGACATTCAGCATAAAAGTGTATGTTTTATGCTTTTAAATCATGTTTTAATTGGTAGATTATTGATTTCTGTAGTAGTCTATAATTTGCTATTCAGTTCCGTTATATTAATCCCATTATTCTCTTATTTATTTAATTTAAGAGAGTAATGATAAGTAAAATCCTCTTTCAAATAATCCTTGGGAAAGACTGGAACAGTCTTATTGAGAATAAGTGTTATTCATTAACTATGGATTTTAAGATATAGCTTAACAAATATTTCCGTGAGAGAGAGCTCTTATTTAATCACTAAAATCGTCTTGCTAAATTTAATATTATTAATCTTAGTTAATTAATTATTGTACACTGCTTTGGTATTGACTAAATTAGTCTAATATTTTCTCACCATAAGTTAAATAAAAAATATCTTTCTTTTTAGTTCTTGTTATCATATCTTCAATTTTAATATTGAGCATTACTTATTTTGTAAAAAATTAAAAGTTTTTGCTAATCATTTATTATTACAACAAGATATATTTGCCGTCTTATATAAATTTCTCTATTATTGTATAGCTAATAATTGGTTAGATAATCAATAATCCTAGAATAAATATTCCACATATTATATGATACCCAATTGATAGTTAAAAGTTATTAAAACTTGCCATTTGTCTTGTTCTTCTCTTTTTTTCTTTACTTTAGAATTATCTGTCCATCCCTAAAGTAGATTCCATCTTGTTGTTATTTTACATTTTAAGCATGAGGCTTATTTTATTGAAATTGTCTACTCCCTTGTTATTATTATTGTCTGCTTAATTTAACAAGTGTGGATTACACTGAATGTAGTTCTCATATTCGTATTGCCTAATTTTTTCTAAAGAAATCTAAATTTAATTCATATATTCCTCAAGTTTTTTTGGCGAATAAGATCCAAGCAGTTAGAGTAAGTTTGCTTTTTTCTTTTATAAGTATAAGCTGAATGGAAAGGCAAGTAAGAAAATAATTAAAGACCCAATTGAAGTGATGAAAATCTATAGATTTTAATCATGTTAAATGGAGCTAAAGTATGACTCGCTTTGAGATAGTATGTATTATTGAATTTAAACTTGAGATTCTTCAAAGACAACAATATTTCCATACACAACACTCATCTAGAATTAGACTTCTTTATTTGGATACAAAGTTATTTAGCGAAGACTAGCTATATAGTTAACTAAATTGTAAAGGACTGAATCATATCTGTAAAAATCTTCTTCTTCATCTGTAATTGGATCTACAATCGCACTCAATACTTTTATTTTGGTGTTAACCATGTACTCAAAGTAATCCTCTCCCTTAGATTTCATAATTTGATCCACATTACTTATGAATCCATCTATATATTTTTTACTTAATTGAGAAGAAATTTGAATTTATTGATTGAGTATGCTTTTGTTTATCTAAAGGACATCTTGATTTGCCTTAATCAATTTAGAGTATGTTTATTCAGTTGCAAAATTAAACATATCGAGTGCTATCTGATAAGATTTACCTATTTTATTAAATATGCTCTCACTTGATAATACATTTTGGCTATCATGAAAGTAGAAGTAAATTGTACTAGAAATAAGAATCAAAATAGATAAAATGCCAAAATATCCTATCAATTTTGGTAATGCACTTAATTTCGTTTTTGTAATTGTTTTAGCTAAAAGTCTCTTCTTATTTTGAATCTTTTCTGTTTTCTTTGAGCTCAAGCTCTCGATCACAACATCTTCCTTATTTCCATGAATAGAAGAGTTTTTGGAATTGGCTTTCTTATCAAATATTTAATTATTACAGTATTCGTTTTAATAAACAATAGAGTACTTTCTACTATCTTAAATAGAATATTATCTGCTTTCTTAAATAGAAGCTTGTTTACTCTCTTGAAAAATTTATTAGTGAGTTTAAAGTGTTGGAGTTGGGCAAGCAATTAAAGCTGAAATTTCTCTGTTTTTTATAATTTTGTTAGAATAAAATTCATTATCTGTTTTGATGGATAAGTCATTTTTAGAGGCATAAGGAGAAATACATCCTAAAGTATCTGGTTGGGTTGTTGCATTTATATAAGGTTGAGATTATTGTTGATATATTTTTTACAACTGAGAAAGTGGTAAAGAGTCTTGCTTTTCCATGCTTATTCTCTCTATGTCTTCTTAAGAGAATTATCTTGAAGTGAGTTTTTCTTGTCCTTCATCTTCCTCTTCAAAAACGCAAGAAGTATTGTCCTTAGAATTATAAAAAGGTAATAAACCCATTCTTGAGCTTTAAGGAACAGATGAATTCATCCTAAGATCCTCCAACATTTATTTTGCTGTTTTCCTTTTTTGAATAACCTTTTAATTGCTATTAAAAAAAGGGATAGACACTGTTGGGCTCAAAGTAGGGAGTATTTAAATAGAATTTGGTTCTGAAAGCTATTATGATATTTTTCTTTTTGGATCACGACTATCCAGAGGACTACTATGAAAAGAATTACGTTTTGTAATAACTCCTTAAGAATTATTTTCAATCTTTTCCCAAAAATTCTCAAATTCATAATTTAAAATGTATTACTGTGAATCATTCTTATCAATTGATATCTAAGAGCATTTGTATTTAGTAAAAAGAATTAAATCCTAATTTAGTTTGTTTGTACTGGCACTATCTTTTCTATTTCTTTTGCTCTTTGATATTTTTAAAACTCCATGAAAATTAAAGTAAGATTCTTTTTCATCTTCGTTTTCTAAATCAGTTTCCATAATGCTTTAAATATTTCTCTCTTAAAGTTCGCCTAAAATTTTTAATAAAATAAAATTATTTTTATAAATAAACAAATAAAGAATTTTTAAAAATTTATTTGATAAAAATGAAGAAAAATAAATCCAAAAAAAATACTTGAAAGTAATATAATTTCTTTTAAAATATTTGATTAAATTAAAATAGTTTACCTTGAAAAATAAGTTTAGAATGAAAAGTCAAAACAATTTTAAACACTTTAATTAATATTTTAAATAAATGAATGATTGAAAAATTACTTAGTGAGTAGATTCCTTTGAATATTCTTTCATAAATTTGTTGAGATAGCTGAATAATTTTTCCTGAAGAGTTGGTGAAGATGCTATAGAAATTAGAGGTATTATCCCTTGTAACTAGAGCGCATAAACCGATTTCGCTTAGTTAATTTTAAATTTTAATTCTTATGTTTAATGGAATTATAAACCCATTTCCATTGATGCCATAAACAACTCTTTGCTCTTTTAAATAAAATGGATTTTTTTTGACTTTGATTTTAATAAAAATAATATATTTACTTGTTAGTGTGAAAGATGATATGCAGTTTTTTTGAGTAAATTAATTGATGTATTCGCTGTGAATTTTACTCATCTACTTAGGTATCAAAGCATTCAAAGGTTTTGCTATGACGGATTTGACTTGCATCTCAAATATTTTTGAAAAATTTTAGGATACTTTAATAATTTAGTTTTCTTTTTCAGCAAGAGAAACATATATTGAACAACTATTTTATTAGAATACATCTATGTTTTGGCTGTTTTGGATAATTGCTTCTCTCCTTTTTGCAAGACACGTTTTTTGTAAGTTCATTGCTTCTAAGCCGAAGAAGTTAATTTAAGTGTTAAATATACTTGAATAAAATTGAAGTTCTTCACTTGCTGGATTTTTATAAATTAATTTTTTTTACAAAGTAGAAAGATCTTCAATGTAGGACAAATTTTTTTTAGACTTTTCTTCAAGCTCTTTTAAATGTAGATAACCAGAACAAAGATAATCAACATATTCCTTTTGTCTTAAAAGATGATTAGAGAGCTTAATCTTGAATTCTTAAAAAAATTCATCGAATTCGATAGGAAGCAAAATTGGGAGTGGCTTTTAATGAGAAAGGTAATTAGATTTGTTTGTACTCTTTCTGAATAGAGTTGTATTTAATTTATTTGAGACTCGCCATAGTAATATATTAAAAAAAAATAACTCATATGATTTATTTTTCTAGTTTAGTTCTTGTATAATTGAGTAAAGTAAACTTAAAGTTTTGGGTGGGTAAAGTTGTTCGATCGCAAGAAATTAAATATAGCATTTTTAAATTTATTTTGCTGCTATTTCTTTTGAACTGTCTTTCTTGATCAAAAGGCTATCTAAGTATTATTAAAACAAATCAGCTATTAGTTCATTTAAGAATTTTCTTCTGTACTAGTCACCTAGCAAGTCACTGACATCTAATTTTAAGTTCTTCATTTTAAAAAAGAGAGATTATTATATTTTATTGATATTTAAAAGAAATAAAGTGATTTAGATTTGAATTCTGTTTACTTGCTGAAATCTGTGGCAAAAACATTAATTTAATTAAGATTCACAAAATGTAATATGACTAGTAAATATATTTTCAATTAATACCCCACTTCTAGTTATGTAATCTTCATAAAAATTGTTTTGATGTGAGTGAATCAATTTTAATAAAAATGTAAATTTTCTGGGAGAAATTGTCTGAACAATTTTTGGATTTTATAAGAAAGATTACATAGTTTCTTAGATTTAATTTTGAATGATGATATATCCTATTCTGTAGCAAATTGGAATAGAGACTAAAAACAAAATGATATTTGGAGTTTATTAGAAATTCTCGAGGCTTAACATAGCAATAACGCAAATTAGAAAGTAAGTGATACAGCTAAACAAGTTAATCAATCTGATTATATCATTGTAAAACGCTTACATTTTTACATAATAAATAATTTTGGCAATAGAATAGATCAGAGACAATATTTCTCCATATATTTAATTAGCAAATTATCCCAATAGACACAAAAGTGCTCTAATCAGACATTCTAAAACGTGAAAGGCTATTTCAGTCCTACCGAGTCTATCATCCTAATTTGAAAAGAAATCACAGTCATGTAGACTAATGAAAATACCTAAATTTTTTAAATAAAAATTGATTAGAATTAAATATAAATTATTTTTTTTTAATTTTGAAAAATTAATAAAAATATTTTTTTAATTACCTAAAAATATGGTTAAAACAATAGAAAAAAATCCCATAATTGTGAGAGAAACTTAAGAGAAGTCTTTAATAGCTTCTAGAGATAATGTAATTGAGGGAATGTAAAATATGTAGTTGTAGCACAAGGCAAATTAAGAAATAAATTAATTAAAATTTGATCCATAGTTAATTTTTTTCTTCTTGTTTAATCCGAAGCAAACCAAAGAATACAGCACATTAGCAATAAATAGAAAGTTGAAGGAGAAAAATACAAAAAATAAAACTAGTTTCATGTTTTAAGATTTGAAATCACTGTAAATTTAAGAGAGAAGAGAAATCTTGAGATAATTTACTTAAAATTAGCTTTTGTTTGGCTTTTCATTCCCAATACTGTTTTTTAAGGTAAAATAAATAGAAATCTCAAATATTTAGCTTATAATTATATATAAGATAGATTGCTTGTAGTCTCTTCCACCGAGCTTCAATTTTAGTGATAGAATTTATGAATAGAATTAATTGATTGAGCGAGGATTATTTTCAATAATACTTGTTTTTTTTCTAACTAAAGTATTTTATTATTGGTTTTAGGATTCTTTTTGATTGTTTTTTGTCTTCATTGCTTATTGAACTTTTATATTAATTATTTATTAGATAAAGATTTAATTATGGATATTCCCTCTTAGGAGAACCTAATTTTAAAAGTATTAACAATTATTCTTAATCAATTTTGGTGCTTAAATTTAAAATAGCAGCTTAGTATTCGTTGATTGGTGAAATAATTTGTATTTTTAAATTTGACAGAAATTTACTAGATAATTGACTTTTTCTAGTAATTTAATTAAAATTCATCAATCTTTCAGCATACTTTAAGGTTTTTAATTTATTCAACAGGAGACTTTATTTTTGTTACATTTCTTATAAAACTCACAATTGAGTTAATTAAACGCAAGAAATATGTAACTTTTTTACAACTTTTATAAAAGTCTTTTGAATATTTAAATATTTGAATAAAGAGCGTTAATATTTTTAATTAGAATTATTTGATAAAAGAATTAAAACAGAAATTGAAAAAATTGATTTCATATAAGTGAGAAGCAGGAAAAAAGTAACATTTTATAAAAATATAATCTGGCATAAATTTTAATATATATATATATATATATATAGTACCCTAAGGTACTGCCTTTTTCAAGGCTACATACACGAATAATAATAACTAACAAATAAAAATAAAGCAGAAAAATTTTTGGGTTATTTTAGTAAAAAAATTTATATTTGTTCCATAAAATGATAATAAAAATTAGAGACTAAAAAAAATAAAATATATAAAAATGTAATTAATTGCATTTATTTAATCAGTTAATTTTTTAAAGATTTATTCTTTATAGATAATATTCAATTTCAAATTTATTCTGTAAAATATATTTTTTTCAATATAAAAATAAAAAAATTTCAATACAAGTAAACTGTGTTTTTTATTTTATTTTACTTTATATGTCCATAGATATTTATTTTTATTGATTTAATTCAATTATTCAAGCTTCATCTTATCTCCTTTTTTCATAAAATTAGATTTTACACAAACTAAATAATGTGAGCAGGTTCCATTCAATACAATTTTTAGGTTGCCAGGTTTTGAACCTACTTTTTTTAATATTAATAATAGAATGATGTATTGGACTGTCGAGCCCCATCAATTAAGTAATAATGAACTAACTCATTTAGTAAATGCTTCTAAAAATTTTAATAAAAAAGTGGTATTTAATTTTAATTACAATGCCAAGAACAAATTCTATAATTTAAAATATTTTTCAATACACTGAAATTTATTAAAAGTAAGAAATAACAAATAAATAAATAAATTAAAATCGGATAAGTTAATTTAGATTTTTATTAATTTATTAATTTTAATGATGACACTTTTTTTTTAATAATTAATTTTTTATGGACATAAGATTAATATTTAAATTATTTTTTGAAGTGTATTTGCAATTATTTATGAATATAAACATCAATTAGTATTTATTATAAAAAAATATTTTTGCATTAAAGTTGGAAATTAATAATAATAATAAAAAACGAAATTTAAATTTAGGAATATAATAGATAAATTTCATTTTAGGCTATTACATTTTAGAAAAAGGAAATGTGATCGCATCAATATTTTTTAAATTAATATTTAGAAATTATCAGGAATTATTAACGTATTTTTAAAAAATTATAGCTACTAGCAAAAGCAAGCACGGTTTGTTAGTTTATTGTGTAACAAATTCTGTTTAATTTTATAATAAATGATTAAATTCTATCAAATTTATGTTTGCTTTTTCAAAGGTGTGCATATTTATTAAAGAATAGAAATTTGTGAAGAATATAAAGTTTATTAATTTGCAAAAAATAGATATTAAACTATAAACTTATAAATTAAAAAGAATAAGTAAAATAAAATTTTCAAGAGATAACAAAGATGAATTATTAGTATTCAAGATTTAATGAAGAAAGCTCTAACAACGGCTAATTTTATTAATAATAAGGTTAGACTTCTATGTAGATGTAATAATTTGGTAATTAACCTTAGAGTGGAAATTAATAGATAATCTATTAGAATCATTTATTAGGTTAACCCATAAATAATTATCCTTAGTAAGGATAATTTAACAACAATTATCCTAATCAAGGGTAGCAAATACCTGATTATTCGTTGTAAGGAGGAAATTAAATGGCTAATTATCCGCTTTAAGGAATGCAAATAGCTAATTATCCATAAGAAGGCCAATAAGTTTTATTGAATTATCCTAACTTTGATGTTAATTAGCGTTAGAGTGTAGGATTCCTTTCTATTAAGACCCCTCTATAAAAGTTATAAGAGTGCTAGGGAATTTATATTAAGTAAAAATTAGAAAAGCTTTAAGTTTTAACTGGTTGGTAACATGAAAATACATATAAAGTATATTAAGCAGATATAAATGGTGTTAAATTTGGCAATAACCCTTTATTTTTATGTAAAGAAAAGAGTAGTTTATTTTAAAGAATGTTCTTAAAAGGAGATATGAGAGAATTTAATATGAATGTAACTTGCGAAGATACAATTGCGCCAAGTGGATAAATAGTTTCTACACCCTTTTTAGCTTTAGAAAGACCTTTTTAGTGCACTTTCTTCAATTACAATCGCCCAAAATTGACTATAAATCATTTAGAAAATGGTACAGAAGTTCTTTATGGGTATATAAGAAACCCATTTAAGTGCTGCCAACTAGGTTGTGAAGTTTATGATGAGAACGAATAATTAATATTCCTCATATAAGGAGAATGTTGTTAGCTAGGTTACATATGTAGAAGTCTTCCTTGTAATGTTTGCTAAGAATATGAATTCACAGTTTAAAATGCTCAAGGAGAAATTGTTTCAAGATTACTAAAAAAATCTGCTGGATTTATAAAAGCAGCAATTAGCGATTGTGATGATTTTTCAATAGGATTTCCATAAAACTCTACTCCAAAAGAAAAAGTACTATTGATGTCTGCAGCCATATTTTTAGATTACATGTATTTCGAGAATAAATAAAGTAGCAATGATAACAATAAAAATAATCAAAATAATGCTAATTTAAATTTTAGATCAAGCATTTTATGAAACAAACTATTTCGAATAGTATTTAAAAATACTAAAAAAATGTTTATTTATTAAAAAACCTAACAAACAAGCAAGCAAACATATACAATTTATGAATAAAATAAAATAAATTTAATAACCTTTGAAAGTAAATTTTGAAAAACTATTTTTGTAATTCAAATATATTTTTGTTAAATTAATTTACTCACATGAATTTTAATTTAATAAGTTTTTGATGAATCAAACTATTAATAATTTATTAAAAAAATGTATTATATGTATTAAGTACTTATACTATAGATTCTTATTTATAGCTAATTTCAAAAAATTTTTATTTAAAAATTGAATGCTAAGTAGTTTTTATAAATTTAGAGTAAATACTAGATAATAGGTCAGACGAATTAAATGATCTTCTACAGTAATAAATTGATTACCATTTCAGTCTTTTTAATTATTAATTCAGTTTAGTCTTTTCAATATTTAATAAAGAAAAAGATAATTTTAATAATTTGTTAGCCATTTGAAATTGTTTCATTTTTTATTTTTTATGGAAAAAAAATATTTTAATAAATTAAATTTAAATTTTGTTAAATAAATAAATTATTTTATATTTAAAAAAAATAATTAATAGATAAATATTTTTTTTTAATTTTTAATTAAAATATAAATAACCACTAACATAATAAAAATTGTAAACTGGAGACTAATCTAAAATAAAGCATTATTAACAAAATAATGCATTTTTTTAAGCATAAATCAAGACTAAGCTTGCAAAGGTATTTAAAAATAAGGTAATAATATTATTTTAATGAAATTATAAATAAATTAATAATTATTTAGAAGTTGATTTTGCTTATTTTAAAAGCAATTACTCATTTATAGGAATATTGATCTAAAAAGATATTTAAACTTTGAAAAATTTAACAAGATTTTTTGAAATAAATAAATATCTATTAAAAAATATCTAAATATAAAAACAAACCGCTTTATTTAATTTAATTTCATAGGCTTTACAAAATTATGTGGATAAGTCTTTTTCTGGTAATATTCTTTTATATAAAAAAAATCTTAAGTAAATTTTAACTCTTATGAGGAGTAAATTAAACACTAATCAATCTAAAAATATTTATAAAAGACAATTTGACTCTAGACTAAAACATTGATGCAAATAATTGAATATTTAAAAGATTAATTTTTAATTTAAACAAAGAAAATGTATGAAATAGTCTTTTGAGAGAATATATTTATAGTTATTTCAGCATTTTATTTGCATATATTGTAATTTTACTTGAAATTGTGCATCTCTTTACATTTAACTTTATATTATATTATGATAGAAGTATGTATAATAGATAGATAGATAATTCGTATAAATTTTATTTGATAAAAGAAATTAATATTAATTCTAGCCATAGATTTAAGTAAAGACTTTGTACCAAAGATTGTAATCTCAATTGATTATTGAATAGGAAAAGAGTCATTTATAATCAATTTTTGCTTTATTTGAATACACTAATATAGACAAAATTAGACTCTCTTTAAATATATGTATTTATGTATAGATTTTATAAAGCTTATTCCTTATTAAATAAAGAAGATAAAGGATTTATTGATTAATTTAATCAAACAAACAAGCAAGCAAACAAACAAACAAAAAACATTCAATCTAATCAGATATTTGATCATAAAAAAAGTGAATAGGTAAACGTAAGTAAATTTAATTAAAATTAGGAGTGTATTATTTTTATAAAGAAGGTTCATTAATTGATTGAATCATACATATTTATATTGATTTGTATTCATTTTAAACTGGATAAAGATTTCCAATATTTGTGCTTACTAATTAAAGTTATTAAAAAGTAAAACAAATTAAATAGAAAAGTTTATCTATAGTAGCAAGAGATTATGGATAACAAAAAGATTTAGCAGGAAAACAATGTCAACTGCACAAGCGAAAACACACTTTCCAGTCTAGTCAACGATTAGATGAAGGATAAAAAGTTTTCTAATGAAGATTCCCTTTTTAAAGCTGAGCAGTCATCAGACATTAATGTTTATTAAGATAAGTCTTTGCGTGAAGACATTATTTTGGAGAGCTCCATAACTCCCTCTAGCAAGAACGGCAGTAAATACAACAAAAATCCTAGAAAATAGAAGGAATATACAGGATATAATCCTTATCAATGGCCAGCCAGTATTGAAATAGCTAAAACACACGAGTTGGCTACTTCTCTTGGCTAGGATTAGGGAGGTTTAAGTTCATAATACAAAAATCAAGATGAAAGTTTTAAGCAGTCAAGCTAAGAGGGTAGCATCCTAAACCAGTGCCCTTGCTGCGGAGAAAGCTCTAATAAAAAACCTTATAATTGGATTAAGACTGATGTTACTAAATCTTTAAGTGAAAAGTATGGTACAGCTGTTCCTTTGCTATTTGAGTTGATTAAATATTATGGCCTCTCCATACTTTTAATTTTTTGCATTAATGGAATATACAGTATTTACGTTTACAAGACTTTATGTGATGAGCACCCTAATTAATGCTATAAAATGCTTGGATTTTTACCTATATTAGGAGATGACACTATAAATAAGTATCTCTCGGAAGGTCAACTTATGGTTTATAGATGGCTTAACTTTGCAAGCTATGTAATGATTTTGGTTAGCTAAATTCTTGTGGATCTTTTCTGTGACGTTCGTGAAAAGAAACTGGAACAATTTACTTCAGTGAATGTTTTAAAGACTGCCAAAGCAAGAACTCTCTACATAACAGGTATACCTAAGTATAAAACAGAGGAATAAGCTATGGACTTCATTGTTTAAAAAGCACTAGAACTCACTAAAGGAGAATTCAGAGTAGAAATAGTAGATTTCTTCTTCGTACGTGATTACTCCAAATTCCATGAACTTTTTTAAAAGAGAACTTAGCTTTACTTCTAGACTAAGCCTCTTCTTGAGTTATCAGATTAAAAGACAGTGATAAAAGTAGAAAAACTAAAAAGTTAAACTTAAAAAATAAACCAGCAATTGCACGAGGTTTCAAACGGACACTTGGCTTTTAAAGGCAAGGCTTTTATAACTCTCAGTACACACGCCTAAGCTCGTTAGTTAAAGAATCTCTTCCCAAAGACAATATGGCGTAAGGGCTACACTGTTTTCTTAAGTTTAATCAAGAAAATAAGCTGTTTCCAAGATTTTGCTACCAGACGCTAAAACCAAATTGAAAAAATGCTCATGATGCAGTGGGCCCCAGAAGCTAAAGAAATCAACTGGGAAAATTTAGGTATAAAGCACAGTGACAAAATGCAGCTTTTAACTCTCACATTTATCCTTTCTATAATTGCAGCTATATTTTGTGGAGTCAGCTTGACCTTCCTCTCGAAGGCTATACCAGGCTTCTATATTTTGATATTCAATATCACAATAATGATTTTTTACTCAGTATTTTTAGAATATCTTTCAGAAAAGAAGAAAGGAAAGACTAAAGGTTCAAAAGCTTATTTCTTGCTGAGCAAACAAGGCTTTTTTATTCTCATTTATTTCGTACTTCTGCCCGTCCTCTATTATGCATTTGCAGACTCTGACTCTACAGGTCTCAGAACATACTCTTTATTTATTTTTTTCCTTGTAAACTCTGGCTTTTAGTTTTTGGGAATTGTAATTAATGGGAAATCAAGAGCTCACATTTCTTTTAAAAAGAAAATAAACAAAAATCCTCAGCTTGCAAACAAATTCTGTCAAAAAGAGCTGAACGAAAAAATGCAAAAACCTGAATTTGAGCTAGAATAGCGTATGATTGGTGTTATGTAGTTGTGGACATACTCAACAATTCATGCTTTCTTGTGCACATACACTCTCCTTATTTCCTTAGTGTTTTTAATCATCATTTATTATTCTTGTAAGTACATGCTTTTTAACTAATATAGTATCTACAATTACAAAACTCTTTCCCTTCAAAGAAAATTTTTAAGTACCTATTCTGTTTGCTTTTAATTTGCTGTGTTATTTATATTCTAAATTGCTAACCACACAGACTTACAAAGAATACTCGGAGGTTCTTTCTTTGCAATTATCTACATTGGCTATCTAGTATATAGTCATAAAAGATAAGCTAAGCTCAAAGACTAAAGAATTTAATAACTATTAAAAGAGCCATTGCTTGAAAATGAATCAAAAGGTTAGTATATTCAACCCCATGACTCTTATTCTGTCCTATTTGGTAAATTTTTGTAAAACTACGAGTAACCTTATCTCGAAGAAGAAATTCAAAATACTCTTGAAATATCTAACCCCTTCTACCAAGATGTGTTAAAAAGCTTCATAAGCTAAGGAAATTTCTTTAAGCGTGCTTCTTCAAACTTTTAAGGTTGATTAGAATATTTTAAATATAAAAAAAATTAAAAAAAATAGAAAGAATAAAAATTATAACAAAATTTTAAATCGATTTTTTTATTTATTTATTTGCTAAATAATTTATTTTTTACATAATAACTTGGAATATTATATGAATACCAATTAATTTGTCTTTTGAGGAAAAATTTAGTTTTTTGTGCTTTTATTCAACATAATTTAAAAAATTAATTTAGCATCATGTGAATTGTTTTTAATAGTTTATGAATAATTTTACATTATATTATTGAAAAATTTTTTAATACAAATTCGAGAAATTGATTTAAGAGCAAATAATTTTATCTTTATTTTTTATTTTATATAAAAAAATTTCTGATAAATATTAAATTTAACAATATTTATTGTGATAAAAAATAAATATGTCTAAAGATTAATAATAAAAATATAATTTGTCCATGTTGGTTGGCATTAATTGACCTTTTGACCAACAATTCAAATTATTTTTTTAAATTAAATCATATATACCGTATGTATATCCATCCTCATTAATTTATTAATTAATTAATTAATGCCTCCCTATTAGCATAAAAGATTTTAAATGAATTTATAATCTAGGTTGTGGGGATTGCAAAATTAAATCAACTCTAGTATATTACCCTTCTTAAGGGAGATCAACTTAGATATATTATACTTATAATTTTTAGAACTTTGATTATCATAAGAGATTATAAAGACTTTAATTCAAAAATTATAGATAGATATTATAGATTGCTTGATTTAGTTTTTAATTAATTTATTTAATTGATTGATTGAAGTAATAAATAAGTAAATTGTATGTAATGTTAGATTAATCGAATTGAGAGATAAGTTGTTATTTGGGTAGTGATTTTTTATCATTAATTAGTTCTATTAATAATTTTTTTATAGAGCCCTTAAATTTTTTTCTTCTACTTTAATTTATTTATAGAAAAAAACTAATTATCAATTTTTTTTTAATTTAATTAAAAAAATCAAAGTAGAAATAAATCAAAATTTAATAATAAAAATGGGTACTTGCCAAGGAAAATAAAAAGATTAAAAAGATATTATTAGCTCTCTATGTTAATAATATTAGTTTAATGAAAAGTATATGATAAATGTGATTAATTATTTGAATTCGAAAGGTTACTAAGCAATAGATTTTATAGGAAAGGGTTAGAATGCAATTATAATTTAAGCAACGTGTAATCAGAAGTAAGTAGCAATAAAGGTAATAAGCAATATAAAAAATGTCTACTTCGATAACTTTAAATATATCTATTCCAGGCTCTACTTTTGTGATAAAAAATATCTGTTAAAGACATATGATATCATGAATAGCTTGCAACTTCAAACATTCTTTTTAGTCAATTAGCTTTGTTCATGTATTTATTTATTTATTTACTTTTTATCGATTATTTTACTTAAGATAATAAAATATTTATTAGGCACATTAAAGGAGATAAGTGAAAGAAATGAGTTGGATATACATTAAATATGCTCAATAACTCAATAATTGCTTAATGGATTAATTGAAATTGAACAAGAATAGTTTAATTTGTTCATAAATCCTGATAATATTCTCTACAATAAGGAGAATTATTCTTTTGTTTATTGTAAAACTCCTTTTATTAATTTATTAAACTCACTAAAAACAAATTTTTTTTTACACAAAAGCTAATTTCTGCTTTTATTAAATGCTTAAAAGAACGAACTAAAATGAATACACTTCAGTAATTTAACATTTTTGACTTTCTTCAAATGAATTATTAATCTTTAAATTTTAAATTAGTAAGTAATTTAAAATAAATACTTAGCTCCTGAGATTTCTAATAAAAATAAGCAAATTGATATTAAAGTAAACTTGAATAGGAAAATTGAATCTTTAATTTATTATTTTTTAATAATATTTAGGCAAATGTTTATTCTTTAGGAGTAATTTTGCTTGAACTATTTTTTGGTAAGAGACATTTTACAAACGAAACAGAAGATGCCTGCATTGAATAATAATTATAAAATTAATAAAATGAGGAAATACAGAAGTTTATAAATATAATTATATCAAGTATGATAAAAAAATCTCCTGAACAAAGACTAGACCCATCTCAATTGATATAAATACTATAAGAAAACTTTAAATATAATGAGAGTAACTTGAAATATCTAAATGTTATAAAAGGTAAACGAACTAGCTAAGAAAATTAAGCAAATACAGAACCCCTTGAATTAAAAACATATAAAAATCTTCAAAAAGAACGAAGCAGATAGATTATCTCTTTAAATTTAAGGTAAGAAATTATTAATATATATCAAAACCAGAGTTGTGAGTGATGATATATCGAACTTCTTCTATATTAGATTTTAAAATATGGATTTTTTTTTCATTTTTTGTAGATAGTATCATCGAAAACTTTCTCTAATTTAAGTCTCAGCATGAGATTTTAAAAATATCAGTTTTGATTTTTATTAAAAAAATTTAATATCAAACAACTCAAGAAAAAAATCTTTAAACATTTTTTAAATTAAAAATGATTCAAAAAATTAGATGAATAGTATTAAATTATACTTTTTAAAAAATTTAAAAACAATATTTAATAAAAAAATATTTTAAAAATGAATTAGATTGTTTTAAATCAAATAAAAAATATCTTTTTTACCTATTTAATTTATAAACTCTATACATTCATTATAAATATTTAAAGCTCTTAGTTTAAAAATAAAAGCTTATTTATCTACTTAGGAAATTTAAAACTAAAAAAACCAGCTTAAATTAAATTAATATAGCTAAATTAATTAACTTTAATTTTTTATACTTTTTAGTTAGTTAATTTAATTTCAATTTTAAAATGTAGTTCTCAACGTATTGGCAAATCAGAAATAAAATCCTTCTCAAAAAATTTAGTTCATTTAAATTAACTTAGATTTCTTGAAATAGATCTTAGGTACATAAAACTCTTTGAAACAACAAATTAACTATTTTTTTGAAAAAAAGCTAAAATGATTTAAAGCAATAGGGAGTCAAAGCTCTTTTTGAAGGATTAAAAGTTTTAAAAGATTTAAAATGCTTAAAATTAAATCTCATGTAAATTTTATAGAAATAAATTCTTTATATAATTAATTGATTGACAAAATATTTAGTAAACATAAAATAAAAATTTGGGATTTTTATTATCAAAAAAATTATCTAAATTTGTAAATAAAAGTTAAAATATTAAAAAAGGAAAAATCATATAGATAAAAAAGGTGCAACTTATATAAATGAGGGATTGAAGGATTTAAATTAGCTTGAGCATTTAGAGATTAATTTACAGTAATTAATTTATAGCCAATTTTAAAAAGTAATTTTAAAATTATGATTAATAAGTTCCAATTAGATAGAATAAGAGGGGGCATAGCTTTTGTCACAAGGACTTCAATTTTTGGATTAATTAAGCTAGCTAAAGCTTGACTTAACGTAAGCTTATTAAAATATCTATTAATTTATTTAAGGAGATATTTATACCAGATGGAATAAAATTGGTGATAGTGGAGCTGAGCTTCTTTCAGAAGGAATTTAATAACTAAAAAATATAAACTAATTAGAGCTATTTTTAAAGTAAATAGCTTAATTCAAAATACTTATTTTTATATAAAATTTAATTTTAATTCATACTACAGTTGGAATAATATTGGGGACGAAGGAGCAGCATTCATATTTAAGGGGATATAACAATTAACTAGTATAGTCATTTTAAATATCAGTCTTTGGTAACTGCTTTATTTCATTTATTACAAATCAGAAAGTAACTAACTAAAAATTAATCATATTTTTTTTACATAGTCCTAACAAAATTAGTGAAATAGGAGCAAGTTATTTGTCAACAGCTCTTTGCAATTTACCACATATAATGACATTATAAATTAACTTAAAGTAAAATTTAATTCTAATTTATAAAAAATTTAGCATTTTGCATATATAAATATAGCATAAATGATATTAATGCAGATGGTGCTTTACATTTATCTGAAGCTTTGAAAAAATTAAAAAATTTAATTCACTTGGACTTAAATCTAAAGTAAATTTCTTTAAAATACAGTATAGATAGAATATAAATTTCTATTTCTATCAAGTTCCAATAACTTAGGATAAAAAGGAGCTGAATATTTGTCATAAGGGTTAGGTTGCTAAAGTAATATAAGTTATCTCAAATTAGATATGAAGTATCTATTAAATTATATAAACTATTTCAAATATGTTTATAATTTTAAATAAAAGTTCCAATAAAATTGGGGATGTTGGCTTTCAACAAATATCTGAATCGCTAATAGCTTTCAATAAGCTTCAGCATCTTAACTTAGATTTTAAGTAATTAATTAATTAGCAAACATAAATAACTTTATAATAATTAATTTAAATATTTAAGTTTAAATTAAATTGGACAGAATGGGGTTAAATCTCTCACTAACTCTTTAAAATAATTAAATGGCTTATCTTATCTCTAATTATACTTACAGTAAATCTATAAAGATATTTTAAATTTTTTTTAATTCATTAAAATTATTGATTTTAAAAATTTTATGAAATAAAAATCTAGTTAAAATAACATAAATCAAGAAGCCGTTGAAGATTTATCTTAATCTTTGACATAATTAAAGCACTTAACATTGCTGAACATAAATTTAGAGTAATTTAATTTTGAATACAACCTAATTGAAAATATTTTTTTTAATTTATTACAAGGTTTAATGAAATAAACTAATACGATGATAGTTTATTAAAAAAATCTCTAAATAATTGTAGCATCTCTATAACAATTTGAAGTAATTTATTTTTCCTTCTTAAGAAAAATCTAAATAAATCTTAAAAATATTTACAAATAAGTTTAAATTAAAATAAACTAATAAGTTGTTAATTAAATATTTATTTTCTTTGTGTATTTGTTTGGATGGTTTGCTCTTTATCATTCAATTTAAAATCTATTTTTAAATTAAGATTAAAAATATCAACATTATTTTTTTATTATTTAAAGCATCATCATTCAATTTTTAAATAGCAAATCCTCAATTCTTTTTTCATTTAAATTATATATCCCTATTCTGATCTCCTATTATTTATTTATAAATGTATATATTATATATAAAGTATCCGAAGGTACTGTCTTTTTCAAGGCTCACTGTCCTTACAACAATATATATAAAAGGAATTAAATTTCTTAAAATAATATAAGGTTTTTTTTATTATGTACTTTATACTCTATATATATATTTTAAATATCTAAAATTAAACATTAAAATTTTTCATGAAATCAATGAATATATTGAGAAATACCATTTTCTCTTTTTTTAGTTTAATATTTATTTATATATTGTATTCAGAATTTAAGTTTAATTTATAAAAATTTATCCATTAATTATGATTTATTTACCTCTTTTGTTGTGATAATTACAAAATACCAAAAGAAATATGATCACCACTTAAATTTAAAATATTTCTAGCTTATTTATTTATTTTTAATTGTTTATCATTTAAGATTTTTTTTAAATCTGAATTTTTAAAGTTAATTATATTTCAAATACATTAAATTATTATAATTTTTTATTGTTCTAATTTTCTAATTTTAGGCTAGTCTATTTTTTTTTTGCTATTTTTGTTTATAAAGTGAGTAATTTTTTTATGTAAAAGATAGGCTAAATGAATTTAAAATGATTTTGAGATTATTTGTTTCAAATTAAATATTTTTATAAATATTTTAGTTAAGATACTAGTAAGAGTAATACCATACATTTAAACATCTAATTCTAAAAATAAGAATTTATTTTTTGAAATCAACTAGATTGCTGCAGTATTAATCACCTATTTTCAATTCAAAGCAGCAAATTAAAAAAAAATAAATAGTAATTAACGTTGAATTAATCTTTTCCAATACAAAGTATTTTAGTATAGCGGAATGACAACAAGAAGCACTTATTAGGCAGCATTTAGCTAAGGTGGATAGAATTAACATAATTTGCATACTCAACCTGACTACTGTTAGTAAATTATACACTTTAACTTAATTTTTTGAGGCTTATTTAATTCATTCATTTTGATGATGAAATTTTTAAAATAAATAACACAATTTTGTATCATTAAACTCTATCTATTTAATATTCTGTTTTTTTAAAGATTCTTTTTAAAATATTTAAGAGATTAGTATGGTTAATGTTTATTATAGCCTTCTCTATATGGAACAAATAAATCCGGAAGACCATCATGTAAAATATAATTATAATTATTATCAGATTGAAAGATTGGATCTGAATACTAAATTAGTTTTATGATCATATTTTACAGTTTGTTTCTTACAATTTTTATTTCTATAGCAACAGGAGGTCCTAGAAATATTTACACTAACCCTAAGTTATAAAGAATGGTAGAGCCTTCTTTGTTTTAGGTTCCTTCGTCTATTTTGTAGGGTAAATTCTAAAAAAATAAGCACGCATATAATTATAAAAAATAAATAGGTGATCCATATAAAGACCCATACAGAACAAAATAAATTACAGATTAGTAAAGAGTGGCTAGTATTCCCCACGTATAGCCTTTTAAGCCAACAGATGTGAAAAAGACAATGTAATTAAATGAAATATTCTTTGAATTTAGCTTAAAATTCATTTATTATTTTATTTATAATTTTAGGGTAGGAGGTTTGTATGAACATATGAAAGATTTTGATGACAAAACATACAGAACTCGTGATGAATATGGTAGAAAATTCAAATTCTAACTTATCTCTAAAAGATTTTAAATAGATAAAATACAAATATGGAAAACTATTCAATAAATTGAAGCCACTTTCAAAATAAACAAAATAAACATTTTTTAACTAACAAAAAATAGCTTTTTTATAACTCCCTAAAAAGCAATTTATAAAGTTTCAGATTTTAAGACTAATTTAAAAGCAAACAACAAAATCTAACCGAGTTATAAAAAAGAAGTTTATTTATCTTTTTGTGCTATCTTTAAATTTATCAATAGATTTTTATCATATTTTATCATTCTAAATAGAATGAGTAAGTAAGTAAATAAATAAATAGGGAGGATACATATACAAATAAATTTATTAGAAATATGATGATTAAAATAAAATAAAAATCATAAATAAGAGATAGATAAATCCTTTATAATTTATTTAACTTTTAAAAGCTTATCAATATTTAAAATAAACATAATTTATGAAACAAGTTAAGATGACAAATTTAATAGACGAAAGAAAATAAATCATTTAAATTGATAATGATTTTCTTTAGTAATAAATTATGGTTTATTTTTAAAAATAATAAGAAAACAATTTAAAAATAAAAATACTTTGCAAAAAATTTAATTTACTCAAAAATATTATGAAGATTTTAAATAATTTTAAAAAACATAAACAAAATAATAATAAACAAACTCATGGATACAAATATTTAGTTTTTTACTGAAGAACTTAAAATATTTTAATGAATTTTACTTAATTAAATTCTCCATTTAACGGTAGATATTTATTAACTTAGAATGAAATTGTAAACTTGTTAATTAAATATGAGATTAAGATTAAGAAAGCAAACATAGAAAATGATTAAAAATATAGTTTCAAATTTAATCAAAATAATTTATAACATCATAATAAATTTTAAGTGTACATGAAGATAGAATAGAAATTAATCATAATAGAATTTAATAAGTATTAATTCCAAAGATATAATTTTATCTCTATAATTAAAAAAAATATAAAATTTCTATATTGTTCGTTTTTAAATAACTTTAGGTACAATCATCACAGGACCAAAGAATTTTTTAACAAACCCTAACAAAAGAGGACTTGGTAATACTACAGTTGGTCACTTATTCAATCCTGTTACTTACAGCAATGATCCTTTCCATAGAGCTAAAGAAATGGATGTGGTATGATAAATATGCTTATTTAAATATTCAATGCAAGCAGATGTAATTTAATTAAAATTAATAAATAGCAAGAGAGATTAGAGCACAAGAGTAGAGTTTTAGATTTGAAGAAGCCTTTTTGCAGCACTTAACACGGCAGAGGTATTTTTAACTCTAATAGAATAACATATGGACTTGATAGAAATGTATTAGAGGTAAAAATTCTAATTCTACTTAAAACTAATTTCTAATAAACTAATTGTAGTTTTAACAAAATATGCAAATTAACTCGTTTGAAATACGATAATTATTTTAATGAAAGTTAAATTAATACTGTGGAGTCTCTAATTAATATAAACTCTAAATTAAGATATAAAAATTTTATTTTTAGCAGCTGTAAGGATTAAAATCTTAATTTAAAATTTTATTTTCTTCCTTAAATTAGAGACCACACATTACTTAAATAAGAAAAAAGACAGCTAAAGAAACAATATTTATTGGTTTTTAAAAATTTCTAATCATTTAGCAATTTATCAAACTTTACAAACATTTTATTTAGAAAAAATGCCCATTTAAAGAAAAAATTTAATATTTTATGAAAAATGATAAAGAAAAAAATTAATTAATTTTTTTGAGAAAATGCTAATTTTGATTATTATTACAACCATTAGAAGTATTATTTGTAGCAATAACTAGAAAAAGAGATTTACTAATATAAATTAATACAAAAAATTAAAGAAAATTAATTGCATATATTTAATAAATATTTAACCTAAAATGATCGTATTATCAAGAAAAAAATTTCTATAAGAATAAAATAGATTAATGAATGATTGGATCTATTGCAAATTAACTAACAAAGATATTTTACATACCACAAATTATAACCAAATTAATTTTATATTTATTAGGGAAGAAAGAGGAGCTATAACTATCCTCCTGCTTACCATCCTAAGTGCTTTAAGAATGCAGATAAGCCAAAACAAGTAATAACTAATTCCACATTCACCCTTTTTAAATTTCTATTTAAATAATTTTAAATTTATTTTTGAATAGGGATACAACAAAACATTCTCCTAATTCCCCGAGTATATTGCTGAAGGAGACTTACCAGAACCCTCATAAAAGAAGACTAAACCATCCATTACATAAGGAAATTGGAGGTAATAAATCTAGATACTTTTTTAGCCAACAATATAATTAACAATTGTTTCCATTTTCTTTGGATAGTTAGAATACGCTTTTTAAGCAAGCAAAAAAGCTTTTTGTAAAGTAATTAAATTGTTACTAACTCGCAATTTAATTTACTGAGTAAAAGCCAATTGTAACAATAATTTTTTGTTTATTTATTTATTGATTATTCTTTGAGGTTATACAAACAATTATTTTATTACAAAAAATAAATAAAAAACTCTCATAAAATAAACTCCAAAAGTCGATTTTGAATTTCTTTAAATTTTTTATTTGCTTTACAGTAAAATGTATTTTTTTCAAGACTCAATTGCTTTGTCATTTTTAAATAAGTTTTCTTTCAACTACATTTCAAAAGAATGACTGAGTTATCTATCTTTCTTTCTTTTTTTTTGTGATTAACTGTAAGTGCAAAATTGAACATTCTAAATGAAAATTATAATTTTGATTAAAATGTTTATTGAGTAATTTAAAATTTTTGAGTGAGTATTTAAACTGCAACTATCTTCTGTAAATATTTATAAAAACATGCTTACAGAAAAATAAACTGATTCTTAAAATATTTACATTTTTAATAAAATTCAATTCCTTCTTAGCTAATAACTTTCTTTTTTATAAATTACAGACCAAACTCTACTGGAACCTTTTCTAGACCAACCCCAAATATAACATCTCTTTTGCTTAACAAAAATAAAATGAGCGCTTTCAGAGTTTGATTTTTTGGTGCTACAAAAAGTCTACTTATGCTTAATTATTTACTATAAATGGAAGGAAAGAATATTTTAAATTGTGTTAGTTCAAATTAACACAATTAAAAAAGCGATTTAAGAATAATTTAATATAAAAACAATTATAAATAATAAAATCATTTTTAATCTATGTATAGATACATTGATAGATTGATGGCTAAGTCATCAACCACTACTCTTGTTTCATTTTTATATGAATTTATTGCATTTGCTATTTTTTTAATATTTTTTGAATAAATATAGACTTTCTTTATATTAAATTAGAAAGCAAAGTAAGTTTATGTTTTTAAATAAAATTCAGTTTATTATAATTTATTTATTTTAATATAAATAAATTTACTATTTTCTTTGTTAGACCTTTTCTAGAACCACATATAAGTTAACTGAAAGTAGTGATTGTTTCTAGTATAATTTATTTTGAGTTTAATCCATTTTTTGAGGATTTATATATTGCGTTGAGCTTAAAAAATACAAACTATCAATAATGTTAAATAAGAAACGAAGAAAATAGTATAAAATTTTAAGATTTTTTTCTTAATTATACTTCTACTGCTTGCTTAAATTAGAACGCAAATTATTAATGATAGATTAAAGCTGAAGATTTATTTCAGTTTTGAAATCGTTTCTGTTTTAAGAATAGAAACTAAAAAAAATTTAAAATTTAATTTTCATCAAATAGAGCTGAGACACATTAATTGCTTTCAGGTTAAAATTTAAGTTAGCGACTAAGAATAATTAAGCTCGATGAAATAGAATTAGAGAGCTTGAATAAGAACTATTTTTTCAAATTATTTTACTAGATTTAAAAAAGCCTTTATTTTTAAGCAAAAATTTTGCTAAAAAAAATAATTCTACATATCTATCTAAAGGAATAGAAAAATTGTTGGATACATATTATCTTTTTGTTAGGCTAGAGTTTGTGGAAGAGAATAAAACCAATATTCTTTAATTTTTAATTCAAAATTGAAAATTTAATTATGAGTCAGAAATTAAAAGATTCACCATTTCTTTACATTAATTTCAAATAAATTATTGTCTTTTACAAAAGATATTTATTAATCACAAATTGACTGATCAAATATTTATCGCAGCATATTTTATTTATTTAATTCATTTGATGTGCTGTTATTATTAATTTATTTTCTTAGAAATAGATTTTTTTTTTTGAATATTAAGCATTTAAATCAAACATTCTCTGGTTAAAATAAATAGTACTCATTTTATCTCATTTCTTTACCTAAGTTATACTAACGTTATGTTTATTCTTAAAAGAAAAACTTCAATCAACGATATATAAGAGGTAATAAGGTTTTGCAAAAATATGCCTTTGACTTCAATTTATCTTGCTGTGTATATCATATTACGAATTAATTGTTATATGTATTTAGGAGATAAAATGTCATATTTCCAAAATAAATTGGCCTAAATAAATGTTTATTAATATGTAACAAACACACTTAACCTTAAAGAAATAAAATAATTTGAAATACTTATTGAATTACTTGTTTAAATTATTAAATAGATAAATAATATTTTTAATTATAAATTTCATCAAATTAGTATACTTTAAATGTAACTAAAATGTATGTAAAAGGTAATTAAAGCCATTTTTAATTTAAATTTATTCAATTTTTTATATCATAAAAAACATTGATGATGCACTGGAAATGATGTAATAAAATTAAATTAATAAACTTTTTTCAAAATTTCATTGAGATAGGATTAGATTTTAATCAGTTTAAAAATTAATCTAAATTTTAGTAAAATATAGAGTAGGGTTGATTGATTGATCGATAGATTGATAAAAAATCCAATTCTTAAAATAATCAAGGAAGTTAGGTTTTGACAAAAAGCAAGCAAGCAAGCTGATATCAAACAAAAAAACAAGCCAATAAGTAAAGAAATTTTGACGAAAAAATATTAGATATAAAATATCAATTTAAATAAATAAAAATAATTAAATTTCTCTTTAACAAATTATTAATATTTTTTATTATGATTTGAAGGCAAAGCCAAACAAAATGAAAGCAAATAAGAAATAAAGTAAGGAAGGAAGGAAAAGAAAAAAAATTCCTTGCAAATTGATTGGATTGATTGATTAATCAATTAGTTTTTAATGAATTGAATGAAACAAACATATAAGCAACGCCTGAGTTAATCAGAATAGCATGTAAATAAAGGAAGAAATAAAATCAATAGGTTTGTATTACATAAATGCATGCATGCCTATTTGGCTCTTTATTAAAATATACAACAGAAAAACAATATAAACAAATTAAAAGTAAAAAGATTAATTATTTCAAAAAGAAAAATAAACAAAAAAAAATAAAAACTTTCACTTATTTATTAAATATTTGATAACTCACTCATAAACAAAATTAAAATAACAAATAAATAAATAAATAAATAAATAAACAAGAATGAGCAAAAGTGAATTGATCTACCCCAATAATTTCAATGCCGATCTTAATAATATTTTTTTGAATATCGCAGCAGCCGCTTAAATGAATTTGCCCGAGTTAGGATCTTTGAAGCGCAACAAAAGCGATAGAGTTTATCTTCCATCTGAACCATCTAAAAAAATCAAGAGCTATTTCAATGCATGCAATTATTCACTTGAAAACATTGAAAACCAAAGCAGCAGTTTAAATAATTCTTCTTTAGACCAATCTGCTGATTCAAGCAGCGAAAATTACGAAAGTGACAACTCCTGCAAACACGACAGCACTTCTTCCATCAACAATTAAATCGAAGAAAACATTGCCTGCAACTAAATAAATATTTTATAAGAAGAAGAATACCAACAAAACGCTCCTATCAAACTTAAAAGCGATATACTCTTTTCAGTTGATGGCCACTGCATTAATTACGAAGACAGAAACAACAGTAACGTTTTTTCAGAAGAAAACTAAAACGTATCTATGATAATTGGTTATCTCTGCCTTACCTTTGCAGCAGTCTTTTTCACCTCCACTCTCTTTTCTATCTTCTTCGCACCCTTCCTCCAACCTACTACTCACAATTTAATAGATTTCTTAACAAATGACAAATATTATTGCTTCTTAATCCCTCTTAGTTTACCTGTAACATGCATTATTATTTACATGAACTGGGTCTCCATGAAGTACTTCAAGCACTCTTGAGGAGTTCACTTTTCATTTTGAAAACCTTTTAAAAATAAATAAATAAATAAAATTAGTTAGTTAATTACTTTAAATATAACAAAATATACAAAAAAACAAACAAACAAATAAATAAATAAACAACTACCATTTCAATTAAAAATATTATAGATAAATCCTTTAATTTTTGTCGTCAACCTTATAATTTATTATAGAAAAAAATCTATTTAAAACTCATCATAAATAATCCAACATCAAAAAATTGTAGACTTGCCATTCGGACATATACACATATTCATTCATTCATTTAATAATTTTTGCTGCTAATTCCTGAAAGATATTTTGAAAAATAAATAAGTAAATTCAATCAAGTTTTGAGAAAAGCTAACCTTCTAATTAAAATTGCTCTTAAATTTAATTTAGGCTCAATTAATGCTAATGCAAATCATATCTATTGGTTGATGCAAGTTAAGTTTTAACTATATCTTCAAAAGATATTTGAATCCTGATTATTAAAAAAGGAAAATAAATAACAATCTCCTTTTCTGTGGTTATAAATAAATGTAAATTTGCATGCAAATAAATATATTTATTTGAAATCGAAATCTTTCTACTATAAAAGGAGTACTATTAAATAAAAAGTATAACTCTCTTTTTAGTTATAACAACACTTATACTAAAATAGATTTTTGCTAAGTGATAGTACTAGTTACCTCATTCATTCGCATTTTCACTTGTAATATTAACCAAAGTAATCATATAATCTCTCAGAAAAAATGTTATTGAATATTCAATAACTGGATTATACACATCTCAAACATGAAACAATCAATGGATCAGCAAAAAATCCAGCTACTGCAAAGCTCATAGAAAAAATATAAGCAGCTACTACCATAAAATATTAACCAGCGCGGTTAGTTTAAATAGAAACCATCTCATTTATAGAAGACATTGAGCTCTTTTTAAGAGACTCACTCAGTCTACTTAATGTGAAAATTAAAATAAAAATTAACCAAAAAGTGATGCTGGCAGACATAGTATTTAGATTTATCTATAAAAAAAATAAATAAATATATAAACAAAATCAACCATAAACTACTGACTATTTTCTAATATAAACATTTATCATTATTTGTATTTTTCTTTTAATTTTTATCTACTATATTTACATTTATTAGTTATTCATATGAATAAATAGTAAATAAAACAACTAAAAACTAACTTAAAATATCTAATTGTATAACCGCCATTTTCAAATTTATATTGATTTATAGACTGATTGTATTTATTTCCTATAGTTTCTTTCTATTCAAAATCAAATTTTTCTTTTAAGTTAATTTTTTTTTTCATTCACTTTCTTACCCACAATACAGCCTTTCCTTACTTTATTTATTTTTTAATTTCAAATTTTTTTCCACAAGTGCTTTTTTAATTTATTAAATTGCAAAAAAGAGTAAAAGCTCGATTATTTTTCGATAAAATATCTTCATAAATTAATAATTAATTTCATAAACCATCACCATCAACCAACCCATACATTTGCGGTGATATCTCAACAATCTCAAAACCTCAAAACGAATTTAAGTTACAGTTTTTACATTTGATAACTAGTATATACACTTTTCTACTTATTTAGATGTAATCTATACTTAAATAAGATGAGAAATTAGGAGCATCCCTTTATGCTTGCTATTGACCTTGGTTTTAAAACAAGAAATACTTTGAAGTGATTAAACAATTATACACCATCTTAGTAAATAGTTGTACTATCATTTAATTTAATAGAGCTATAAAATTTTATAAATGAGACAACAAAGTATTAACTCAATCAAATTTCAATAAAACCTTTCATGTTTTCTACTGTTGTTCATTAAAAATACATTTTTTTTTACTTAATTGAATGATTAACTCTGATAAAAAAAATATTTGCTTACTGAAGAAAACTAGAACATTTAGTTATACTATGTAAAATTTAAAAGATATTTAATTTTTATGACAGCAACAAACACTATTATACAAAATATAAGATCGAAATATGCAGAAAGACCATCGATATTTGAAATCAATAAAAAATATTTATTTATTTAATTTTCTTGTTTGTTTTCCCCAGCAACAAAAGAAAGATACAAAGATAGATAGATAAATTTCAATTTTTAATGAATTAAAAAATCAATGTAATCCATGTATATCTTTCTATTTTTTTTCATGCGATATAATTAAAACTTAACCTATTTGACAAATAGAGGAATTAGTTTTTACCATTCATTAACAACTCATTGATTCGGAGAAACAATATATCTCAAATATAAGATATAAACAGGTTATTATTACTAAATAAATGAAAGCCACTAATCCATCCTCAAACCTTTTTAATTTGAAAAAATTTTACCTAAAATTCGCTTCTTGAAATATTCAAAGTTACTTCTTAGATTGAAGTTAATTTTCAAGAGAAGTATTTTAAAAGCAAATATAATTTTATCCCTCAGGTTTTATTGTAGCTAGCTATATTTATAAGGTGCTCAATAGAGATAAAAAAGAGAGGGATAAATTATTCATTTATTTTGATATAAATAAATTGATAAAATTATGTCAGTGTAAAAATAATTAATTAAATAAGATATCTAAGTAAACTAAAATTTATTTCACTATTTTAATTTGTGTGGCCTCAATTTCATTAATAATTCAACTTAAAGTATTTCAGATAAATTTATCTTTCTTTTATTTGGCATTTAAAATAATTGTAATTTAATTCAACATTTTCTTTCTATCTTAAATTAGTACTTGTTCTATTCTTAAGCATCATGGATACACATAATGCTTTTATACTAAATTCAATGTTTTATAATAGATTTATAGTAGAGATTAGAGGAAAAGAAGTAATTTTGTTTGTGTTAATCCCAAATTGCGGGAAAGAATAATAAAAATAGTAATTCTAATAAATTGATCCGAATATAGCTTTTTATCAATAGAACAATTTGTTATTATCGTATTAAACCCATTTAGCTAGTTGTAATTGTAATTAAATAATTTTTATACTTCTAATCAATTAATTTTTTTAGCCAAATATCAAATAAAAACAAACTAAATTTATAATTTGCATTAAATTATATTTTTGACAATTCTACGTAATTTAATAATGAATGCCATCTCCAATCATTAGTTATTTGCAGTAACCTATTATTTATAACAAAAATGAATAAATTCACTCTCAATTTTAAATTGACTATTTATTAATACTATCCCAAAAGAAAAACAATTTTAATGTTTCTGATTATTTGAATATCAAAAAATATTCTGCTTCCATACTTACTTACTTACTCTTGCTTGATTCCTATTTTATAAATTATAAAAATTTTATGCCTTACAATAAATTATATTTCTAGGATATAAAAGCAAATTTAATAATTAATAATTATCTGTTGTAACCTTCAAATAATTATGACTATAAATAAATAAGCATTTTTTACATATTAATTAATTATACTACCCTATACTCAAACTAAAAAGTATTAAAGTATTAAAAATATCTATCAAAAATAAATACTCTGTAAACCTATTTATTTTATTTTTCTAATAATCTCTTCAACTTAGCTTTACTTAAGAAATGTGTAAATTTTCTATTTATAATAACAAAACTTTTTTTCTTATTAACTTCTTTTTAAAATTGTTTTAAATCTATTTTGCTAACAAGCTATTAACAAAACTATTTTATATAAAGTTTTAAAGTTAAAAAACAAGTAAACTGTAACAATTGCAATAAATGCTAGCAAGAATTGTAAATTTTAGATATTCATAATCAAAAAAGTACTTATAAATATTTTTTTATTTGATAAAATTATTAATATAATTTATAAATTCTATTTCTTAATAAATTATTAATATTAAGAATGTGCTCAGCTTTAATTGTAAGTATGTTTTATCTAATACTTATTTTAAATAAAAATCAAATAGTACTAAAAAAATAAAGAACGAACTGGTAAATTTAATTCCTAACAAATTTTAAAAATGTCAAAATAGATTATTAATTAGAATTTATTTCTATAAATAAAAATATAACAATTTTGATCTAGTCACTGAAAGGTAACCTTATACTTGCAGGTGATTTTATTTTTAAGCTTTTAAAAAATGTTTCATCCGAAATATAATTTTTAATTGAATTTTTAGTCTTTTTTTATAATTTAATATATTTTTAAAAATCTTTTTGCCTCAAAAATTCATTTCCTAAGAAGTAAAAATAATTTAAAGTTAAATATTTTATATAAATTTAGATAGCTATGATAAAGAAATAAATAAAAGCTTAATGAGAATAGCAATTTATATTTTAAATTCACCAAGTTAAAAATAGATATTCCTCATTTAATTTATTTAGCAAACTCTTGAATTGTTAATCATATAATAAAGAGTAGTTATTTAAATGAAAAATAAAGGGACTTGCTATAATTAAATATATATAGTACCCTACGGTACTGCTTTTTACAAGGCTACATACATACATGAATGTTAACATGTTATATTATTTAATAGTTTTATTTCATTTAAATTTTAATTATTTTTTTATTTTCAGTAAAGAAACTTACTTAGTTAAATTAAAGAGACTAGCTACAATTAAATTTTTTTTTTATTTTAGAAGTTAAGATACTTCGTTAAAAAACTAAAAGTAATTGTATATTAATGAATGACTTATTTATGAACTTATTTTTTTATTCTAAGTTTTGCGTTTATTTGTGTCAACTTTATTTGAAGAAAAAGTTGAGTAAAAGATGGATATAACTAATTTAAAAGCAATTATTAGCTGGCTTATAATAATTTTTTTTAATTAGTCAGTCATTTAGTCAAAGAATTTCTAAAACAAAGTAAAAACAATACTTGTTTTGCCTGTTTTGCATAACTCTTTTTAGTTTAGTTTAGACTTTAATAAAATAAGTTAGTAAATAAAGTGTATAAAAATTTATTTAATATACTAAATAAAATAATATGAAGAAAAGCAATAAAAGTGCCACTATCAGTTAGCCCATTCTGTTTAATTAAGCAACTTATTCTGCTGATCAGGATGAAGTTAAGATGAGTGAAAATTAAATTTACTAAGGTTAGGTTTCAAATAAAAATAGGGAAAGCCAAGATAAAAATAACTTTTAACAGCAATTAGTCAATAGAAAGTAAAGCAATGAATAGTTATTAACAGCGAATACTCCAACAAAAAGTGCATACTTGTCTTAGCCATTCGGTAAGGATTAATATAGCACATCCTCATATAGATCTCTTTTGATATCTAGCAGAGATACCATTATGAGAAAAAAGAACTCTTAAAATAAACCAGGTACTGCAGCAGGATCTATGAATTTATAAAAAAATAATGGATTTATCACAGATCGTTTTACGATGAGTTAAACTAACGGATTTTTATTCAACTAAAACAAAAGTAGAGCTTCTAGAGACGTCTCTTCCTAGAATGGCGTAAAAAAGAATTACTAATTAAAAGATGGCTACCTTTCTACTAATTAGGTTGTTAGTTAAGCAAATTAGAATATAAATAAAAGTAAAAGTAATACTCTATCATAGAATGATTTTTGTCAAATGTTTTAAAAGTAAAACTATGACGGAATGGCTTTAGAAGATTACTTTAATCAAAGAGAAAATTTTTAGACTGAAGCCATTCAAATTGCATCACCTAATCAGCCTAAATAACTTTCTTCTTAGCAAAATAGAAAGCAAAAAAATATGTAGAACTTATCAAATAGTTAAGCAGCTGTATTTTCACAAATTAATAATAACTATTAGTAATTAAACTAATCTCCTGAAATAGCAACTGCGATTTTTTAAAAAAACCAACAATCAAACGCATTTACTAACTAGATAATGGGCTCCTCAATGTACTAAAGTACATTAATATAACAATAAATTAATGAGCTATGTTAAAACTATCAACATGTTGATCTAACAACTCTAAAAAACATACTTGTTAATCTTATATAGAGGGAAGAAGAAATGCTTAGGGTTTTGACAAGTCGCTGCTCTGGAGTAAAAGAATTAGCAGAAATGATTTATGCAGATATTCCCTTACCAATGTAGCAAAATTAAAATCATGTCATGAGTAACCCCAAATCAATAGATTAATAACAAAGTCCAAATAATTGTGTCAATTCTTCTTATTATGATAATACAACCCCAATAGCAAATAATAATTAACAGATCCTAAACTAAAACAATAATTTAAATATATTAACAGGATAGCCTGTTAATGACCTAGCTAAAATTAGAGATGCTCTATTCTCACTTTCCTAAAGTTTAGTGAGTGCATCATAAAATGAAATAAACCTAGGCAGCAAAAACAGAGAAATAGAAAGAATGAACTTAGAGATAAGTTAGCTAAAGAAATCGATCTCAGATTACAAAGAAAAAAATATAAACTTGCAAAAGTTGATAGAGCTTCTGTAAAATAGAGTGAAAACATTCTAAGAAGATAACAATAGAATGCTAATTCAAATGAACATAGAAAAGAAGTCAGCCCAAGTAAATTCAAAAAAAGTTACGAATTTAGAAAAGAGAGTTGAATTTATTCTCGAGAATGACATAAACACCAATCTAAACCCTAATGACAAGCTGAGATAGACCTTGAATGAGTTACTGAGAGAAAACGAAGCTTTAAAGCGTGACTTGAATCATAAGAACTAAGATATTGATAGATTATAAGGCTAACTTAAAAAGCTCAACTCTCATTTAGCTAGGGCCAATAAAAAAATGGAAAATATGAAACAAAACCCAGCTTTTAACTCATAAACCACTCCTGTCTAAAATCCTCCCTCATAACAAACAGAAAACAAGCTAAGTTCTATGTTCTAAAAAGGTATTTTAAATTTATTTTAAAACTTTGCTTTTTGATTAGTAATATTGACAAACTTTCAACAATTTTACTAAAATTTGTAAATAAAAAATAATTTTAATTTAAAACAATTTTTTTAATTTGAATTGAAGTTTATTTGAAATTAAAAGCTTTTTAATAAATTAAAGTTCAATATGTTTAAGCAATTTTGCTTTTAATTTAAATACTATTTGCTCACTTTTAAAATAAAAAATATTTTATTTAATTAATTTTTCATTTGGAAATAAGAGATTTGAAATTTAATTAATCAAATTGAATTGGATAAAATAAAAATTTAAAAATTAGATTAATTTTTATTAATAATTAAATGAATTTAAAAATTAATTAAGTTTACCGTTTACGAAATATTAATTTATTTGAGTTAATATGAAGAAAATAATTTAAGTTAATTGAATAAATTTTGTAAATAAACTAAACATTTATCAACTACCGACCTAGTAGGGTAGGGTATTAGAGAGGAAATTAGTTCAAAATTATTGAGAAAAGTTATTAATTTTAGGATTTTATTTTTGCCATTATTAATATATTTAAAATTTCTAATCAGAAACCTATTTGTCAGGAGCTGATCAGAACACTAATTTATTTAAAAGTCCTTGTTATTAATATTTTTTAATGAAATAGATGATATTGAACTGCTTAAGAATTTTAAAATTCCCCAGAATTTAAATTTCAGAGTTGTTAGTTTAAGATCTGACCAATCTATTTTAATGTCAGATATTATTGAGTTGGGTTCACATGCTTTTTCTAGATAGATTTTAGGTTTAGAGAATCCTGAATAAAAAAAGTAAATGGTTAACTTCATTACTTCTTAGCTGACTTCATACAAAGATTTAAGTGATAAATTGAATCAAATTATTAATCACGCATACAATATGAGTACATTAGAAACATTTGAAGATCTATCAGTCCATGTAAGCACACATTTTCCATCTATCTTTAGTGCTTAGAGAGCTAATCTCTGGGTAGTAGACAAGTAATGTGGCATATTCTAATCCTTCTCAGAGCAAGGTAGTGGAAATATAGTTACTTCCAAGTGCTTGCTAAATAAAGGATTAATCAACGATACATTTTTATTAAGAGTTCCAATTAATTCTAAAAATTCTCAAAACAAACCTTTGCTATACAAAATAGATTGTAAAAAAATGTTAAATTTAAATATTAAAACAATTAAAATCAAAAAATAAAAGCAAATTAAAATTCCTCAAGGTTTATCTATTAATTTTCATTTTATTAAAAAGATCAAAGAGAGGAATGTGAATTTGTCAATTCAACCCTACTCATCCCAGTATTTTGCAACAAAGAAAGATAATAAGTAAAAGCAATACTTGAAATAAGTAACTCATAAAGTGAAATATTTAGCTTCGATGAAGAATATTATGGAATCATACTCAGCTATTTCCTTACTTCTATTTTTAGTAGCATCATAAATTAAAAAGTAAAATTAAAAATTTAATTAATAAAAATATTTCATCATAAATTTAGTGTTTATTTTTTAATTTAAAATATTTGAAATTTTAAAAAATTATTTTATGAACATAAAATTAATTATGATAAAAGATATTTGATATCGACTGCAGGTATAATACTTTGCTTTTTAACTCATACGAATAGCTAAGTTAGTAAAAGACAAGATTTAATTTTACTCAAAAAGTAAAAATGCTGGTTTAATAGTTATTTAATATAGATAATTCACACTTTTATTTTGTTGAAAATGATCATCTGATTTCCTACAATAAACCAAATTAACAAAAAGATCAGTTTTCTTTAGAACATGGTCTGGCAGGTATCGTAGCAAAAGAAAAAAAATCATATATAATTCATGATATTCGTAGTAGCAGCTATTTTAACCCGCTTGTGGATATTTCATCGCTTCTACCAATTTATGCTATTCCTTTAATAAATAAAACAAATAGTGATGGTTCAGATGAACAAAAAGAACCAGTTATTGGTGTAATAGAAATAGTTCTCAAATCAAAATTAAAGTCAAAGCTTGAAAAAGAAGCTATTATAGATTCAGAGGATGGATACTTTGGGTTAGATGAACCTCAAACTCATATCATATAAAAGTTTTCCAAGCTTGTTATTAATACCTTATTAAATAACTAATTTATTGATTGATTAATTGATTGATTGACTTTCAGATTGCTAAAGAAAGATTGATCATTTATTAACTTTAACCAAAAAAAATTGTAATTTTTCGAAATAAGAAATAGAAAAATGTATATATTGATTCAAAATCTGCTATTAACTACTCATTTATTTATTTACTTACTTTCTTACTAAAATTCATGTAAAATTCTAAATTATATTATATCTTATTTGTTTATATATTTTCCTGTATAAAATTGATTTCCTTTTCTATTTATTTTAAAAATAAATTATTTAATTTTCAATTAATTTTGTTAATTTAAAATAAAAATATTGATTAATATTATTTGATTAAACCAATAAAAAGTTTTGTCATTTTTTTAATTTAAAGAATCTTTTTACAAATCATTAAGTGCAATTTTTCTATTTTTATTAAAATAATTTAAAATGGACTTATGGTATCAAATAATTTTTCAAGCTAGAAATTTTTTAATAATATTTGATCTAAAATAAATTACAGTCTGAGAGAATCTATATTATTTCTGTTATTCTTCAACCGTGTACTAATACTAAATATATCCCTAATTAAAACTCAAAAGAAAATTAATTAAATACATTATTATTAATAAATTTGAAAATCAATATTTTTAAATAGTTTGAAGAGTAATGAATTATAAGGATTTTTAAAACGATAAATTACTACTATAGTTTCATATGCAATATATGCAATAATATATGATAAAAACGAAGGTGAAAATACTCAATGATATAGAAAAGAAATTCCTCCTGCTAATATAATTAGAGATTAACTTAATCGTTTTTTAGATACTCTCATCTTAATACTAATAAATCAAGAAAAAGTAATTATTCTAAGAAAATGATCAGTACTTTTTAAAATTTCCAGATGTGAGATAGTAATCACAATGTATTATTAAAAATAATAAATAGACTTTAAAACTAGGATGTGATATTAATCTTAATTTTTGAAATAGGGCAAAATTGATAAAAGATAGATGCAAGATTTACAGAGAATTTAGAGTAATTTGCTATAATTTCACAAATTATTATATTTTTCAATATAAAGATAATTAATTGTAAAGTAAATTCTAAGTAAAATTATTATTTTATAAAGATAAATAATATAAAATATAATGTCATAACACTATTATTAAAATAATTTTTTTATCTTATATTCACTATTTATTATCAATTCATATAAAAATGAATTAATCTTTTTGATTTACGACACTTTTTAATTGATTCGTAGTATCCTGAATCCATTTCATTATATCTATTAATATGAATTAATGTAAATTACTAATTAAAATTAGTTAGAAAAACTACTAAAATAAAATATAATAATTTGAATTGAGAAAAAAAAGAATTAGAATATTCAGCAAATAAATAATAAAAATAGTTTTATTGAATTAAATTCATTTTTATTTAAAAAAATATTTCAAATCAAAGTAAATAAACTGTTTTTACTAGATATCAAGATCTAATATTAAAAGTTTAGTACTATTTGCTAAAGCAGAACTTAAGCCTAATGCACCTTCATCACCAATTTAATTCCACCTTTTTTATTTTTGAAGAAAAAATAATTAGTAAGTAAGTAAGAAGGATAAAATGAAGAAAAACTTGAAAAAACAAGAAATGAATTTGTAAACAAAGCGAAATTTTAAAATTAACAGAAAAAAAGTAAAATCTATAAAAAAGTTAATAAATTAAATAAAAAGATTTTAAATAAATAAACTAATTAAAAAAGATTTTAAATTTAAATTTATTTTTATATTAAAAATATCACAAACCAAAACAAATAAACTATTTTTACCTAAGATCAAGAAATAAGTATAAGAGATTAGAGCACTTTACTAATGCAGAACCTAAGTCTGATGCACCTTTTGCTCTAATTATATTTTCACTATTTTAGTATTGAAGAAAAAATATATAAACAATTAGTTATTTAGAAGGAAAAATGAAGAAAAAATATGAAAAAATAAGAAATAAATAAATATTAAAGCAGGATTATTAAAAGATTAGCTAAATTAACATTTAAAAAAATTAAATCACAAATCAAATAAATCAAATAAAATAATTTTATAAATTAAAAGAGTTTTTTTGTTAATTTTTATATTAAAAAAAGTGACAATTTAAATTAAATAAAATGTTTGTTACCGAAGACCAAGTTTTAAATATTAGAGATTAGTGAGCTTAGATAAAGCAGAACCTAATTCTTATATACTTTCATCATCTTCAGTATAATTGTAACTTTTTAAATATTGAAGAAAATATAACTAGTTAGTTAGCTTGTTATTTTTAAGAAAAAATGAAATATTAATAATAAAAAATAAATTTATTACCAAAACAAAAGATGAAAATAAAAAAATGGGTTAAATTTAGAAAGGAATAAAAGTTTTACCACAAAAAAAAGCAAATAAACCAAATAAAAAACATAAACAAGTATTGTTGTTTTAAATTCATTTTTATAAAAAAAAAAATCACAATCTAAATCAAATAAACTGTATATACTTAAGAACAAGTTCCAAATTTGAGAGTTTAGTGCATTTTACTAAAACATTACCTAAATATGATACACTAATTGCACTAATTTTATTGTAACTTTTTAAATATTTAAGAAAATATAATTAGTTAATTAGCCATTTACTTTTAAAAGGAAAGATATAGAACAAATATGGAATAATAAAAAACGATTTAATAATCAAACTAAAAGTTTAAAATTAAAAAATGAGTTAAATTAATAGGAAAAAAAAATTTTGTTACAATAAAAATGCAAATAAATCAAATAAAACTATTATTTTAAAAAACTAATAGAATTTTATAGTTTTACAATCATCTTTATATAAAAAAAATGAAAATTATTAAAAAATGAACTATTTTACTTGAGAAGAAATGACAAACTTGATATATTAGTACAGTTTACTAAAGAATCACCTAAGCACAAAGCACCTTTGTCACAAATTTTATTAATACTTTTTAAACATTGAAGAATAAATAAATAAATAAACAAAGAAATAAATAAATAAAGAAATAAATAAATAAATATAAATATATAAATAATAAGGAAGTTAGAAGGAAAAAAAGAAGAAAAAATATGAAATAAATTTATATTCAGAATAAGTGATGAAAGTTAAAAAATGGATTAAACTAAGAGAAAAATAGTATTAATCACAATATTAGAAAAATGAATAAATTAAAGACGAAATTAGTGTAAATTCATTTTATATTAAAAATATTGCAATCCTAAAAAAAAAAAATACAATGTTTTTACCCAAGATCCAGTTTTAAATTTAAGAGATTAGTGCAGTTTACTAAAGCAGAAGCTAAGCTAGATGCACCTTCATCGCCAATTTAATTATGGCTTTTTAAATATTGAAAAAATATAATTAGTCAGTTAGCTAGCTAGCTAGGTCTTCAGAAAGTAAAAATGAAGAAAAAAAATTAAAATGATAAATAATGAATCTATGTTTGAAGCAAAAGATGAAAATTAAAAATAAATTAAATTAAGAAGGAAAAAAGTATAATCATAATAAAAAAGAAAATAAACCAAATAAAAAACTAATAAATTAATGATTAAATTATAAGAGTTTATTACCCTAAATTCTACAAAAATGATTGCTAATAAAGGTGAGTCTTATAATTGAATTATTTGTTATTTGATTTTTATTTATTTAATACAATTTATTTATTTTTGTTTAAAAATCATTTTTTTTTTCTCTTCATTTTTTATCTTTTTCTCTCTAAATCATCTTCACATATAACAATGATCTGCTCACTATACTAAAAAAATACTTATTTTTATAATAAACGAATAAAAATTAAGTAAAGACAATATTTAAGTATATTTTTCTCATACTGGATTATTATTTCTGAGGGCACAATAGTATTTGATTGTATTAAATTTTACTTCTTCTCTTCAACAATAATTCACTTTATATCAAAAAAAACAATATTCTAGATAAGATTTACTTTGTATTCTTGTATCTTATCTACTAATTAATATATGATTTTTATTACCAAAATTAATGTGCCTATCAGTTTTAGTCAATAGAATCTAGATATCTTATTCTATTATATTTATTCATTGAAAGTTAATAAGTAATCCTAAATACTTAAAAGGCTTATCTCGATCTAGAAAAAATAATCCTCGTATTGAAATTCTGCTGACTGGGTAAATCATATAAACCATATTTTAATCATAGATTTTACAATTTTAAAATATTTTCCTTAAGTTCCTCATCGCAAATTTTAAGTTTAAATTAATTTATTACTATCAAAATTTGATGTGTAATTAATCCAATTCATTCTCAGAATTATTATTTTCAGAACTTAATTTGCTACATTTCTCCTCTACGCCTATCAATTTAATTTAATTTTATTTTAGTAAGTAATTTATTATTATTTTTTATCCAAAATTAAGCATAAAATATTTTTAAAATTATCAATGTCTTTTGAAGTAAAAAATAAAAACATACAGAGAGACAGACAGACAGACATACTCACTTTCCTTTAAATTAATAAACTCGTTTTTACTTAAGATCAAGAAATAAATTTTAGAGATTAGTGAACTTTACTAAAGTAAAACTTAATTTTTATACACTTGCAAAATCAATATCTTTGAACCTTTTTAAAATAGAAGAAAGTATCATTAAATAGTTTATTATAGGAAAAATGAATAAAAAAATATGAATGAATGAATGAATGAATGAATAAAGAAAGAAAGAAAGAAAGAAATAATAATCAATGAAAAAATGAGTTAAAATAATTAAAAACCTATTCATTTGCATATAAATAAATGAAAAGAGAGGAGAAAATTTTTTGAAAAATAATATTGTAAATAACTTAAAATATCAGGATTAAGAAAAAGATTAAAAATAAGAAATTTGGTTTACCCTAGATAAATCTTGAGAACTGAATCAGAATAAAGCTAATAGTTTAAAAACTAAATATATAAATATAAAAGCTTTTAAGAATATTCATAAAAAATAATTTATTACATCTTTTAGATTATTGAAATAATTCTTCTGTTGTATCATATATTTTTTCAATAATATTGAATAACAATTTATGCAAATTTAATTAATTATAAACAAATAAAGAAATATATTTAGCTTTAATTACAATTTTTTTGTAAAAATAGAAAAATAAATATTATTGAGATCAAATATTAATTTAAAAATTTTCCTTTTAGGAAGATATATGATCTAATTGTTTGTTGCATACTTGTAACATTCATCAATTACTAAATTTTGATTGTAAAAATTTAGTAAGAATCACAAATCGCTAAAGATTGATATTGAGTAACATGTGTGTATGTTTGGTTTTAAGCTGTAAAATAAATAAAAAACATTTATATATTATTAAAAAAGGTAGCTTTGTGGTTGAAAAAATCCTTAAATTGCTAACTTGTTTCAGATACTTCAAGAGAAAAGTAGAAAAAATCAAAAAAGCTTACAAATGTGTAATAATCTTCTTCAGATTTAACTCTTTCGAAGAAGGAGATACTATGAGTGAAAAAATAAATTTATCTATGACCTTTATGATTTTTTAAATAAATATTATTCACTCATATCTTTAATTATATAATATAGTTAGTTATTTAGTCAGTCAGTCAGTTAGCTAGCCACTTTAATTAATCTTAAAATCTTTGAAATTAGGAAATGCTTGTTTTTTAATTTAATATTTTTGGGGAAAAGTCTTTGTGATTTTATATATATTTTTGAATAAATGAATTCATTACTTATAAAATATTACTATTTATACCAATGTTTGAATTTGGGATCGAAAGATTCGATATTAAAAAAAATAAATAGAAAAATAGAAACTAATTCTAATACAAATATTAAACTCAATTTGCAATACAAGTTGAAGCTAAAGTATATAAATTATGCTTATTATTCATCAAATAAAACTAGCATCCATATTAATAAAAGTTGTTATTTGCATAATTTAAAGATAAAAAAGTTTTAATTTTGTTAGTAAAATAGACTAAAACTATAAATACTTGAATAAAAAATATATATAACAGGTGAATGAATGAAGATAATATATATTAAAAGATTTCGATTAAACTGACTGAATATCTTTTGATTATTCAAAGAAAAAAAACTAACTTTCTTTTAAGCTTTTTGAGAAAGAAAAAATTAAAAGATCTAATTTCTTTTAAAATAGATTCATTTAAAACTTAAATTATTTATTGATAAAGCTTCGAAATTTATCAATGCTATAAATGGTTTAAATTTTGTAATAATTTAACTTTTGTGTTTACCAAAAAGCATGTTTAAGTACTTGGATTTATTTTTTTATTTTTTATCTATTGTCAATTTATTTATTTATGGTTGATTTTTTATGTGGTTTTATTTAATCTGTTAATTGTCAATTTTATTAATTTATTTAGTTTTTTATATCTTTCTATTTATCTATCTTTTTCTGTTAGGTATATTTTTTTAATTTTTATTTGTATTTCTTTTTAATTTCAATTTTAAATTTATTTTTTGTTTATCTTTTTTAATTTATAAAAAAATGGGGAAAAAAATCTCTATGCAAAAGCTCAATCTCTTCATCGTGTTGGTTTTTTATTTCCTTTGAGATACGTATAGTCCGACATAGTGTACATGCCATATAGTGAGCAATTTAAAGTATGATCATTTGTAATGAATTAAGTTAAACTGCTCACCTTTAAGATGTTTGTTTCCAATTTAAAAACTTATCTCATTCTAATTATTTTAGAAATGAAATGTAACATTGTACACATGCTTGTATATAAGGTTAATATAAAATTATTTCGGCCGTTCCAATTTTTTAAAAACTTGATGCTTAGCTATTAATTAATTCATTAATTAACTATCCTCAAATATAGCTAAGGTTATTATTTTTCAGTCTAATTGTATTTTTTTTGCTCAATCGTAAATATGATCATTTGTCTCCGTCTATCCATTAATCATTCCTTCCTGTCTCTTTGTGTCTGTTCCTGTCTCTCTCTGCTCCTGTCTTTTTCTATCCAAATATCCATCTATCCAAAAATATCCTGTCTCGTTGTCTCTTGTCTCTGTCCTGTGTTTCTCTTCGTCAAATAAATGGAAAAATAGATACTCTTCTTGTATCTTTCTTATTTTTCTTTTCACAAATTGAAAAGTTTTAATTAAGAATAGTTTATATCAATTAATTAATTAAGAAAGAAAGATATTTTGAAATTTGAAAAAAATTTGAAATTTAAATAAAAATCAAATAAAACCCAAATAAACAAATTAATTAATTAGTTTCATTCAATTTTCTAAGAATTATTTATTAATTAATTAAGAATAAATCCATGATTAAAAAATGTTATTTTTTTGTAATTTTTTGGCTTATTTTCAAAGCATGAAAAACAAATAAACAAAAAAAGATAACAAAAAGCAAAATAAACAAAGAAACTTTTATATTGAATTCAAACATAAAGAAATTCTAATAGCATCTCATCAAGTATTTCCTACCTAAATTTATCTTGATATTAACTTTTTTTTGTGGCTAATAATTTATAAAGAAACTATCTTTTGTAAATTCTACGCTAATTAATTTTATTAGTAAGTTCTTTATTTTCTGCCCAGTTGTCTCTTTATTTATTATTTTGATATTTTTAATTAGTATTTATTTTAATATTTCTTAAAATATCTTACATCCCAAACTCTAGCTTAATCTTTCTCAAGCTTGTTAGAGAGTGAAGTGGTATTATTGATTTTCTTCCATAATTTTCCTCTATGCGATTCCATTTAGCATTTAAATTTAACTCTTCTAGGTATTTTAAACCTAATATTGCATTGATTAAATTTTTACAGCCTTCTGATTAAATTCTATTCCTAAATTTAAACAAAATAAATATTAATTTGAGTTTTTGGTTTTTAAAATTATTCATTTTTTACCAAAACAGGTTCAAAGTTAACTTCTTTAAACTGTTCTTTAAAAGTAAAAGAGCTTCAGAAATATACAAAGCACTTTCTAAGTTCAAAGAATTTTTTGTCTGCTGACTGGCATTACTTTTTGAAATATAAATAAAACTTTATAATGAATGAATACTTTTTAATATCATAATTACTTCCCAAAGTCAAGATTCAATTATTCCATATTTTAACAGCATTTAATACTCTCCATAATTGACTAAACAGGTTAATCCCAAATGTTATTGCTTTAATAATAAAAAAGCAAAATAGTTAATAAAAATTAGCTAAAAAATTAACTACCTCCCTAATCCTATTTTTAGTTTTGTTAGGTTTGGATTAATTATCATAGAAATGTAAGAAGCAGCCTTGTCCTAAATAAAATTACTAATTTACATACAAAACAATAAGATTGATTTTAAGTAATTTAAAAAACCTGACTAATCCAAGAGACAGCTGTTGTATTTTTTCACAACTTTTAATTGCTGTAATCAAAGCAATTGCTCCTGCTTCTTTTATATTATTACTTTTGAAAAAATTTGTAAATGAAAACAATTATCTTTAATTAAAGTAACACATACTGTTGTATATTTACTTTCAGAGAAGTTAATTATTTCAAGCCCTATAAGCCTTATGCAAGTTTTTGTACTCCTACAGCTTACAAGCAATTACTTTTTTTTAAAGTAACTTAATTATTCATTCATTTATTTAATTAAATAAATAAAAAAGTAAAACAAATAAATAAATAAATAAATAAATTACTCTTTAAAATTTAATTTTAACTCTTGAATTTTTTCATTCCCTTCCAAAAATTAAGCAAACTCGCCTATTGATTATGATGTTATTTTGTTGCTTGAAACATTTAAATCTAAAACCTTGAGCTGTTTTGCACAACTCAAGCAGTTGCTAATAAAGCTAAGAGCAAGATCGGATATTCTTGTACTTATTTTTTGGTTTTTAATAGATAAACATCAAATTAATTAATTATATTTTTAATTAATATTACAATTTAAAATTTAAAGCGAGTCTTTGCAATTTGGTTAAACCTTGTGCAAGGATCTTATAATTATCAGAATAAAGTTTTTCTATTTTTTGAATATTGCTGCTTGAATCATCAGAATCCTCATCATTATCATCGTCTTCTTCTTCATCATTGTTATTTTCATTATTATCACCATTTTCTTCTTCTTCTTCTAACTCATTTTCCTCTTATTTAAATTCTTCATTATTAGTCTCCTTACATTCATGTTAGTTTAGTTTTTATTCTGTATCCTTTTGGCTCTCTTCTTAAGATTGATTATTCAAAATACTTTCTTATAATTAAATAGTTGAATCATCTTGATTCAAGGAATCATCAGTAATCTAGCATTTGTTGTTTGATTTCTTTTTCTTTTTGCTTTTACTTAAAATGGATTTAAATATTAAGTTACATACACTAGAAATATTTCAGTTACAATAAAGAATCTAAATCAATATCTGAACTTTTATAAGCAATATCCATACCTTTAAAAAAGTTATGAATTCCTAAATTACCAATATCATTTCCCCACATATTTAAGTATAATTCGTGAAGATTTTCAAAGCACCCCAAGACAAATCCCAAGTATTTGGTGCCTTACTAGGTAATATCATTCCTATTAGAAAGCAGGTTCATTTTATGTATATTTAAAAAGTATTTACCATTGCAAATTAATATGAAGCCTTTTTATTCTATATAGCTTTTTCATTGGTTTGACTAAAATTTCACAGCCATATGAGCCTATCTCATTTCTTTTAGATATATAGACATAAAATGCATTTCTAAATAATTTTATAGTATATTTACTTAGAAAAGTCTAATATTAATGTATGCAGTTGATCAAGTTTCTACAAATCGCTTAATTCATGCACTGTTTTAGCAAACTTTTTAACTCCACTAATGATAAACTTACGCCTTCCAATTAAAAAAATTGATGAATTAATTCAATATTTCGAATCACTTTGATTACTCTGCAAAATTAATAAAGAGCTATTTAATGGATTTTTTATCCTTTAAAGTATCCAACTCTTCGAGCTCCTTTATTTCAATTATATCAGTGCTTTTACTAATAAACATTTTTATATTAATTTTGATAAGAGAGATTTATCTATTTATAATTGATTTTCTGATGTTTTTTCTGAATAATTTCTAAAAAATAAACCAAAAATTTAAAAATTATAATTAATTAGCTTGTTTTTTTACAATCAATACTACTTTTATAATTTATTCTAAAGTGTTTTTTATTAATCCAATAAAAAATTATTTTACAGGTAAAATCAAACAAATTAGTTAATTAAATTCGTTGAAAATGGATGAAACAAAAATAAATAAATAAATAAATAAATAAGTAAAATTAATTTATTTGCTATGTCAAATATAATTATTGCTTCTATGTTTTATATTTTATTTTGTTTGGATTTATATTTTTTAATTAATTTTTTTATTTATTTTTATTTATTTATTTATGTTTGTTTATTTATATTTATTAATTTATATCTTTGTTTATTTTTATTTTATTTAATTTAATTTTATTTATTTTTATTTGAATTATTTATTTTAAATTTGATTTTTATTTATATTTGATTTATTTTTCAGTAGCAGCAGCGATAGTCCTCAATCTTATAGGCGAGCTCTTAAATTCTATTTTAAAATAATACTAATTATAATTTTTAAAGAATCTGAAAAGAGAATGGATAGATTTTATCTTAAATCATTATTTTGAATTTTTATTTTGAAATATCTCTTATCTTTATAGACCCTCATTCATTCATATTTGTGGTCTATTTGTCAAAGAAATCAGAATGTAATAAGATTAATTATAACATCAATCAGACAAATGAAGTAGAGGATATCTACTCATAGGTTGGGGGAAGGAGTGTGGCGGGTGGGGATGCGTTGATTTTAAAAAACAAACTAGTGGATTTGATGGTTTATCAAATGGATTTAAAAACTTCATTTAAAAACTTCTTATTACAATTCTTTTTCCTTCAACTTATTTTTTTCTCACTTAAGAAATTTATTTTGATTAAAAAAATTATACAAAAAAGAATGTTTTGTTTTTCCTTATTTTGAAAATTAAAGTAAGTCCTTTGATCAATTCTAAATAGCTAATATTATAATTAATAAATTAATTAATAAATTAATAGAAAAAATAAATAGATGCTTCTTAATTTTCCCCGAATATCTTTCTTATCCTTTCTTAATTTAAAATGCATATATAAGAATTATTATTATTAATTTTAATCTATGATAGAATTCATAAGAAGTATTTATTCATATTTTATAATGAAGGTTAATTTATCTATTATATCAGCAACAACAACAATAATAAATAAATTAATTACTAAATTACCACTCTTTAATCTTAATTTTATAGTATCTTTCATTCCAAAATATCAAAATACATTTTAGCATAAATAAATACATTTTAATCATTTCTTTAAGGTTTTTTAAAAGATTTTATTTAAAGGAAAAAAGGTTGATTTGATTTGATTTATTTATGTATTCTTTATTGAAAGTATGTATAGCATCTATCAAATTAATATTATTAATTTAAATAAATCCCCGAATATTTAACTTGATAAAAATAGTATAAAATCTAACTAAGTATAAGTAGCTACATTTTTAAAATCTATTTTTAGAATGAAAATCTATTATCTTAATAAATAAATAGATAGATATCAATGTTATTAAATAAAATAGATTAACCTTCATATAATCATAATTTTAAGTTCTCACCAATAATATTAGAATATAATTTTTTTAATAAAAATAATTGAATATAAACCAAAAGAAAACCTAAAAAATTTAAAACAATTTAAAATTTTTTGAAGACAAAGAAAACTCAAGCAATTTAATATGGACAATCACTAGAAATTTCAAAAATTATTGCTAATGGGAAGTGAAAATGCTGGTAAAACTTCAATGTACTCTGTTATATTTGCTAATTATCCTGCTAGAGACACAATGGGAATAGGCTATACAGTTGGTATTGATAAATAGATAATAAGGTTTATGGGGAGCTTAACTTTAAATTTATGGGACTGTGCTGGATAAGGAAAGCTAATGAAAAACTATTTTAATAAATAAAAAGACATCATTTTTAAAGATGTTTAAGTTCTAATTTACGTGTTTGATATTGGAAGCCAAGATCATATTTAAGAGGAAGATCTTATAGCATATAAATCTTGTTTGGAAAAGTTAGCTGAATTGTCTGAAGGAGCTAAAGTATTTGTATTACTCCATAAAATAGACTTAATCGATCCGTTATACTAACATGAGGTATTCGAAAAAAAGAAAAAATTAATCCAAAATTACTTTGTTGATAGTCGAGTTTACATTTAAGGATTTTTTGCAAGCTCTATTTGGAATGAAACTCTTTACAAAGCTTGGAGCATAATAGTTCAATCATTAGTCCCTAATTTATAATAATTGAAGAACTAATTAAAATAACTTTGTCATCTCTGTGAAATTGATGAAATAGTTTTGTATGAAAAGTCAACGTTTCTAGTGATTGCCTATTATAATATGAAAGAAACATGTTTACTCAACTATGAAAGAGTTAGTAACGTTATTAAAAAATTTAAGCTATCATGTAACTTAACAGGATCTAAAATATAAAAAGTACTATTTTCCAGTAACGTTAGCTGTTCTATTTAGGAATTTAATGAAAACTCCTTTATTATGACTGTTTATTAAGACTCTTAAGTAAATCAGGCTGCTATAGACTTTAACATCAAATAATGTAGAAGCATTCTAGAATAATCCATAAAAAATATATTTTGAAAAAACAATAAAAGATAGTAAAATAATTTAAATCAGTATTGGAGAAAAATTGATTTCTTGAAGCAAAAAATAGATTACCAAAAAAATTTTTTTTCTAAAACTTTCAAACAAATTTTTGTAAATAAAATTCAAAAAATTTATTAAAGATACAAAAATTCTTTCTCAATTAAAAATTAAAAATATAAATTGAAATTACATTTTTTTTTAAAAATTTTTTATTTATCAAATTAAGTATAAAAATAAAAATATATTAAGGCGAAGCTAAGTTAGGTATAAGGTTCTCTTTTTATCTTTATGAGTTTTTATCACTCGTAATATATTTAATATAATATTTTCACAAAAATTCAACTATAAAATTTATTTTGTTTATCTTTGTTTGTTTTATAAATCAATTGAAATAAGTAAGACATATTATTTTAATACCTGTATTAATAAATATTAATTTATGTTAGTTTTTTCTTAAAAACTTAAGATTTTAGTTTTACATCAATGTACTTACTTATTTATTACTAAATTTTATTAAATAAAAATAAAATTAAATATTCTTAAAAATTATTAAAAATCATTTTAAATTAAACTTTAAGAAAGTAATTTTGATTGAATTCAAAAATAAAATAAAACAATTTAACAACAAAAATTGAAAAAAATAAAAATAATTTAATTATTTAGAAAAATAATAATTCAAATTAAATAATTTTATTTAGATTTGAAATAAATTAACCTTTTTTATAAAATAATTTAATAAATAAATTAAGGCTTTATAAATTAACTGCTTAATACATTTAAAAAATGGTTTTTATACCAAAGAATATTAAATATATTAAAATAGGAAAAGTTTAGCCAGCATTTTTCTAACATATTTCATTAAATATCTTCAATATTCTATTTATTAATTCAAAAAATTAAAAATTTTTTAAAAAATAATTAAAATAAATTAGAAATAAATATAATAAAATAGAATAAAATCATTATAAGGCTTTAAATTAAAGGTCTTTTTTATAAATATTTCATTTGATAAAATATTATTAAAATGATGATGAGAAATTGAATAAAAAACTTGCTAGAGGTAATTAAATAATTAGCTTGTAATCAATGGAAGTTGAGTTTGTCTTTATTTTTCAATATTTTTATAAAAGAAAAAATGTAAATTTATACAATCAATCATATATAAAAAATATTCCTTAACTTTATTTAATACTTGATTATCCTTCTTGTTTATGAGCGTATTAATGAAAAAAAAATATATATATATGTATGTGTGTGTAAAGTATATGATGATTTATCATTGGTGTTTGCAATGAAATGAATCAATTACTTAATCATTTGATCAATAAAAATATCAATAAAGAAAATTTATTACAACAAAAATTAAAAAGGGTGAAAAAATAATATTAATTAATAGGGAATACATACAAGAAGAAAGAATTAAAATTAAATAGAAATGAAAAAATTATTGCTTATGGGTCGTTAGGGTGCTGGTAAAACTTCTATGCACTCCATTATTTTTGCAAACTATCCTGCTAGAGAAACTATGGGTATAGGTTATACTGTCGGTGTTGATTAGCAATTAATTAGATTTATGGGTAACCTTACTCTCAACTTGTGGGATTGCGGTGGTTAAGATAAGTTAATGAAGCACTATTTCCACCAACAAAAGGAAACTATTTTTAAGGATGTCGAAGTACTCATTTATGTATTCGATGTTGATAAACAAGGCATGGATTTGGAAGAAGATTTGACCACTTACAGAGTTTGTTTAGAAAATTTGGCAGAATTATCTGAAGGCGCTAAAGTATTTGTTTTAATACATAAAATGGATAAAATACAACCTAACTAGTAGAAGGAAGTTCTTGAAAGAAAAAAGCAAGAAATTTCAAGTTAATGCAGTGACAGCAGAGTTAATGTATTGGGATTCTTTGCCACTTCCATTTGGGATGAAACACTTTACAAAGCATGGAGCAGTATTGTCCAATAGATGGTTCCTAATATGTAATTCATCAAGTAACAATTAAAAGAATTTAGCGATCTCTGTGATGCTGATGAAGTTGTCCTGTTTGAAAAGCAAACTTTCCTTATCATTGCTTTTTATGACAAGCATGAAAGAGGCATGATGAAATACGAAAGAGTTAGCAATATAATTAAGTAATTTAAGCTTTCTTGTGTTAAGTTAGGTGCAAATATCTAAGGAATTACAGTCAAAAATAAATTCAGCTCAACAATCTAAGAATTTAATGAAAATTCCTTCATTATGGTTGTTTATTCAGATCCTAGAATTAGCTAAGGAGCTATTGACTATAACTTATAATACGCTAGAAGCAACTTCAAGCTCTCTCCTGATTCAGAAAACTCTCAATGAGTTTGAGCGATGAGCGAGCAGTGCTGTAATATATCATTGATAAATAAAGTTATTTTAACAAAAAAAGTAAGGATTAAAGTTAATTTCCTAATAAAAATTTAATCTATTATACATTCATTCATTTTTGCATGCATAAATACATAACAAGATATAAACATATATACATATTTGATACATATTATGTATGGAGTTGATAAAATATTAAAAAATTAATCTATTAATCAATAAATTCATTTATACTTGTATACCAAGATACATACATACATACATACATACATACATACATACATACATACATACATACATACATACATACATACATACATACATATTTTGTGTGGAATTGATAAAATATAATATAGATATAATTTTTATATTAATATTTATCTAATTAAATATTAATTATTGTTTTATGTATTTTAAAAATAAAATTTAAGATTGAAATTAAATAAATAAATATTAGCAATTTTTATTCTCAACTTTAAATTATCAATAAAATATTTTTTTTAAATAATGGTTTAATAGAATAGATTGATTGATAAAAATAATGGTTTAAATGTATTTAATCTATAATATAAATAATTAAAATTAACTAAATTATAGTTTCTTCAAGTTTAGTACTTATTAAAACTCAATAGCAGACAATTTACCTACAAAAAGGATTCATTTTCCAAAATAATATCTTGTAAGTATACTATAACAAAAATAAAATTAAAAGTAATAATTGACTACCTTATCATATTCATATTAAAAATTGCTATACATTATTTTAATAATAATGCTTAAGATTGAATATTAAAATTTGCAGATGATGATATAAAATACAATATATTACTTGAATAAAATAGCTACTATTAAATATTTTTCTACGCATTGGATATAATAGATATATGCTTATAGAGTACTTCTATAAACATACAATAAAAATAAAAAATCTTTTTCCTATATTAGTCCCAATCATTATAATTATAAAGTAAATTATAATTGATTATAACATAGAAGAAGTGATTTTATTTTTCAAAGTTTTTCAATTAATTATTATTTTTATTAAATTTCAAACAAGCTTTTAATCGTTATGAAAATTAATTGATTTTCATATGAATAGAAAAATATCTTTCTAAATCAACAATTAATTAATTAATAAATTTTTACTTACAATCTATCTATCTGATAAATAAATCTAATAATAACAAAAGCCACTAACTACAATAAATAGAAATTAATTGATATAAAATGAAATATCTTTAAATTTAAAATGCTTTAAAATTAGATATAAATTATTTTATTCAATACCTAAAAAAATATAAAATAAATATTTATTGGTATCGTTTTGGCGTTTGATATGAAATATTTCAAAGAAAATGAATTATTTTTATTTATATTTATTCGTTAATTATGAGTTTTGTTTTATTTGTTTATTTATTTATTTAGCTGGTTAGCTCTTTTTAAAGAATTTATTTGTTTTTAATTTATTTATTTTATTTTTTCATTTTATTTATTTATTTTTGTTTTTTTTTTAGTTGTTTTGACAAATTTCAAGCATTTTTAATCTCAAGCAAATCAGTTTTTTAGTTTATTTATTATTTATGTTGTTTGTTTTTTCTTTCTAGTTGAATATGATTTTATTTTATGTTTTTATTTTAATTGGATTAGAGAAGTTTTTTATCAAGGCATGTTTTTTTTAGATGTTGTTTGATTTTCTTTCTTTTTATCATCCTGAAAAGAGAAGTATTTTTTTAAGAGGGAATAAGAAGGTTTTTTAAAAAATAGGGTTAATATAGGATTTTAAATAAAAGCGAGAAGCAGCGGTAGGATTTGGTAAACTGATTAGGCTTAAATCTTTATAGATTTATCTTCCACTTTACTTTGGTTTCGCTCTCACGCTGTCTCCATACCTTCCTGTGCACCGCTTAATACTGGTTACTAAGGCACACAATTAGCTAGCCACAATATATCCGTAGATATAAAGCAGCGCATGTGGCAATTCTTTAACAAATTTGGCGAGTGGTCGATATGATCATTTATATATATAATTGGTTATTAAAATTTATATGATCATATTCTGAGGTATTTGAATCTCTCTTTGTTTATCTATCTATCTGTCTGTCTGAGTGTCTTGTAATGAATGTGTCTTTGCTGTCATCTTGTTCAGTCAAATCAGGAGTCACATATTTGATGATAACGATCAAATAGAATGGTTATTAATTTGAGTTTTATGTGGTTATTATGGTGACTTACCTCTCAGATCATATTAAAACATGCAACGAATTCCCATCACTGAAAAAACTTCCGATTTTGTTGATGTAAAAAACTTGGTTCCGAGAAAGGGTCTCTCTTTAAATCCGCGGAAATTAAAAAACTAAGTATAAGCAGTAAAGACATATTATCCTTTGTGCTTAATTAAAAACTTCGGCGTAGATTCGTAAGATTATTTAATCTTTGAAAAAAATTATAAGCTTAAGAAAAATCTTTAATTAAGTTTTAACGAATAGAATAAACGAACTAATTAATTAATTAATTTTTCATAAGAAATAAAATAAATTACATATAAATTTTCCTAAATCATTTAATCAAAAAGAAAATTGAATTTTTTATATTTTTTATGACAGACATTCATTAATCTTTTTTTACAAATAATATTAGAATTATTATTCTAAAAAATATTTTTATCATCTTAAATGAAATTTTTTTGTGCTGCGAGCTTAAAAAACAAAGCAAAAATTTAAATCATTTAAAAATTTGTAGACTAAGATATTACTAAATAATTTTAAAATGAATCAGAAGGAAATCAATCTATAAGATTGGCTGTTCTAGCTTTATTATATATTCGTAATATTATTATTATTACAATTAGATAAAATGAATTGCTTTTTATGAAAACACTTTATATTTAGGATTGACTTATCATCAAAAAAATAAATATCTAGTTAGTTTGTCCATTTGTTAAATATATTATCTAGAAATTTATTAATTTTTATAATAGCCACTTTATATGAGCACCTTTATTATATCAAATATATAATTTCACTATAATATAAAAATTATGTTATAAAAATTTATCCTTTTATTAATGGTAAATAATTAATTAATATTAATCTATATTTTCTACAAAATTTAAATAAAAAATATTTAAAAAATGCCTTCACTCGGGATCGAACCGAGGACCGTAAGATCTTCAGTCTTACGCTCTCCCAACTGAGCTATAAAGGCTTGGTGATATTCAAATAAGAGTTTAATTTGGTAACTTAAAATAATGTTGAGTTAAATTTTGATGTATTCTGTCTAGCATTAAAATTCACGCTTATTTATGATTTAAATTAGAGTTAATAAAATTTAAAATTTTAAAATAGAAGAAAATAGAAATAGATAGAGTTTCACTTTTTTGATACAAAAAATGTGTTTTTATTTGTTTGCTGGAAGTATCTAGGTATCTGCAATAGCCAATATTGATATGTCTATCAATTAGAATAAACTAATTAATAATTTAATAAGTAGAAGTCAAATGTTACGAATGAATGAGGATAATTTACTAACTAATAAATAAGTTGGCAAAAATAAAAAGAGAAAACTAAAATCAATTAATCAATCAATATTTTTTTAATTATAAAGGAAATATTTGTAAACATTCATTTACATATATATATAGATATATACTTAAATGCGTTTGAGAAAAAAAATTTAAAATATCTTTATGTTTTTGTTAGTATATTAATAATTTTTTTAATTAAAGGAATTATTAACAGCAAAAAAATTGATAACAATTAATATAAAAAAACAATCAAATAAATTCCTAAAATTAGTAGAGTAACTAAGTAATTAAGTATATTAGTAAAGACTAAATACCTATTATAAACTAAAAGTATTTGCGCACTCACAATTACTGAAAATTAAAAAGAAGGTTTTAAAGCATCATGGCTTCTATACCAACGGAATAGAGAGGAGAGGATTCTCCTTTCAATGGTATCAAAATTGAGATGGCTGATTTGAACACTAAAAACGATAGCAACAACAAAATGATGAGCAGTTCAAAACATTTCAATAGATACTAGAGCAAAATGAAAACGTAAGCAGAAATATATTTTATTGCAGAAGATATTATTTGATATTAAGTGTCCTTTTAATAAATAAAATAGTTCGGTGATGTTCTCGAAGATAGAAAATGTAAATTTACAGATATTTTTTTTGTTTTAGAGCTGATTAGTTAATTAAGTAGAAAACTTGTTAGATTAAAATTATTATTGCTATCATAAATAGGAAAACATGTATGACATAGAGAACTACACAAAAAAATAAAAGCCAAACAAAGAAAACTATATTGTATTTAAAAAGAAGCTTGATAGTTTGCATATGAGAAAAGTAATTTGATTATGTTTTATTTACTTATAGTTTCTATTGAGTTGGCCTGCTTATCCTTACAGAAATAAAGGAGCAATATTAAATTATCAATCTATCATCCTTTTAATCTAAAAAAACTTTCCCCTTATAAAAAAATACTGCAAAAACCTTTAAATTTTAGAATTAAGTGAAAGAATTCAATTAATTAATCATTTATTTTAGGTGAAAGAATAAATTTAAAGATTTGCTTTTTCAAAAATAATTAAACTTTTTGTAGACTTTGTTACTAATAATTCAGATAGATAGATAACTAACTAACTATTTAATTATCGAAGTCAATCTTTGTTATTTATTTTCTAAAAAAACAGTAAACAAAGTTGATAGAAATTTAAATAAAGTTGGATATTTAAATTATTCTACTTTGACTTTATTTTTATTTTTATTCATTTTCAATGATTCTGATAGAAATATAGATGATTACTTTAAGTCTTAACAAATAAATAAACAAAGTAGCTAACTAACTTAATAAGTAAATAACAAATTAAGTATCTAAACTTAAAGCTTTAAGTCACGCTTAAAATTTATTATAGTTATTCTGCTAATTACTTTTGAAAAGGTTTTGTGAAACTTATGAAATTGTTTGCCATATTTTAGAAAGAGAGTTTTAGTATTTTTAAAATACTTTTATAAATAATAGTGATTGATAGATATATAGGCAGCTGTATTCGCTAATTTAATTGAAACTAATATCTTTTTACAATTCAAGTCATTAAATAAATAAACAAATAAATAATATTTGATTTTTTAATTTAGGAAAATCCTAAGACAAAGTAGCTTGATCTTGAATATGAGTGCTGTTCAGATGTGATTTGCGGAACAGATATTCCTGGCCATTGTTGTTGCTCTACCTCTAAGAAAACTGCTGTGGACGAGAGAGGTGTCGGAATAACTCTCTACTTCAAAAGCTTAAAGCATCTTATTTGGAACTATCTTTTCTTTGTGATTATATCTGCTCCTATCCTCTTTTTCTGCTTATATTGTAATAAATTAATTAACTCTTCCACTCAATAACTATAAAATTCTATTTATATTTCTCTTTTAGTTACTAACAAATTTATTAATAAATTAATTACTTATGAAATTAAAGCATCTAAATAAAGCTCTGTTGAAATAAATAGCTTCTAATCTTTCCTGCAAAGTTCCACAGTTGGAAATATCGGTCAAGGTAGTTAAAATTCTTCTTTAAAACATTTATTTATTCATTCTTTAATTAAATGTATTTTTTTATTGATTCTGCTGTTGTATAAATTATCTTTGCTTATTATATTAAATCTCACTCACTCATTAACTCATTCATTCATTTATTATTTTTATTTCAATAAAAGATGCAAGGTAATGCTTTAAAGACGCGTTTTTCTTTAATACTACATCTGAGTATGTTATGTAATGTTCAACTGGCAATCTAGCTATGAGCTAGACATTTTCTTGGGGTTTATGTAAGCAAATTTATACTTTGATTCTTTTACTATCTCTTACAGTTCTAATTAATTAATATGTGGAAATTATTAAAAGACCAATTTTTCTGAATTTATTAAATAAAGCCTTAATTTTGAAAATATTAAAAATTTAACAAATTCCTTAACAAAAGAATTTCGAAAATATAAAATTAATTATTTCGCTTCCTTAGCTTAAAAAGGATAAAACTAATTTATATTTAATTATAGTTTAAAAGAGCAAAAGCTAGGTCGATTATGAGCAATAAGATTGTAATCTCGTAGATGATACTAAACTAGATAAGACATAAAATAAAGATATTAAGGACATTCCAATTGTTAAAAAATGTCAAGACTAAACTAGTTGCACATTTTAAAAATCTGATATTTTAGGATTATACAAGATAACTGATTTCACTGACAAGCAATTTTACATCAAAGCCTATTGTCAAGGTATATAATAATTTATTTATTTATTTTTTGATTAATTAAAATAAATTATTTTTAGTGTTAAATCATGTAAAAATTTTTAACTTTGTTATATCAGTATATTTATTTGCCAATTTTTACTTTTCTTGTAAGAAATAAGTTAAAGAGCTTAACAAATTTTTGATGATAATTAATAGTGATTATCAAAATAAATAAAGTGTATTTTTAAAAATATTAATTTTATTAACTTATCTTTTTATTTGATATTAATTAAAATGTTAATTAATTAGTTAGTTATTTAGTTAATTATAAAAGAATAAAATTTCAGAAAATTTAATAAAAATGATGGCCTAAAAATTAATTTTAATGCCACTAAAAATATAATTTTTTTAAAGATTTCTATAATTTTTATTTAAATTTAGATGATTTTTTATGAAAATAAATTATTTAACTAAAAAATATTAAAAAAAGGCACATACTTTGCTTTCCCATATTATAATTTTCCTAAGAAATATGTTGCCTACATTATTGCTGGTATTGATGCTTTTATAGTCCTTTGGTACTTCCTGATGGTTTATTTGTAAATCTTTTATATCTATTTATTTATTTGGTTTATTAAGCAAGTGATCAATACAAATTTTGAATAATAAATAGCCAAGGCAGCGCTGAAGAAAAGGCTATTAATAATATTTTGAAATAAAAGAGAACACCTTCTCATTTCACAATATAAATTACTAATCTACCAGCTAAGATTAAGTCAGAAGCTGATCTAATGGCTGATTTGTAAGAACATATTTAATAAGTAAAGAAAATGCTAAAATTTACATATCAAGCTAAATGTTTTTTAAATTAAATTTAACTTAGTCTGTACAAAAATTTGCAAAAAATGAGAGAAAAAACTTGTCTGTTAGGATCATAGATGTCAAAATTTCAGAATCATAACAAGAAATCATTCAGTAAAGAAAGAAAGGAATTATTTACAAAGAAAATTAAAAGAGAATTTTTGAATTCTTGGAGAAATATGATAGAAATAGTGAACATATTTCTAACAGAAAAAAAGTCACTGTTTAAATGCTATAAGAGCTCATCGAAAGCTTTTAAGATTAAAGCCTCAAGAAAAAAGCAACTAAAGAGCTTAAAGCTATTGAGAATGCTTATGTAGAAATCGGCAAGGCTTTAGAAAAAATTAATAAAATTGAAAATAAATCTACAGTAAACAATTTATTAATTAATTAATTAAAATAATTAAACAAAATAAAATTCATATGTGATGAAATAATCATTTGATTTTATCACCAAAAATCTATCTATCTAACTAACTAACTAACTATCTTGCAGCTTTTAAGAACTTAATTTTTTTTACAACTGATTAAAGCCAGCATTTTTAAAAACAAAAAGCATGAATTTCTTGATGCAACTTAAAATTAAGAGCTTGAATTTTTTTATTATTCATTCATTAAACATATTATTTATTAAAATAATCATGAATTTTTTATGACCAAAAATTATGCAACTTTTAGTTAAGCACTTGATTTTATTTTACATCTGATTAAACCCAGTATTTATTTGTTAAAAAAAATATGAATTTTTATTTTCTAATTAATTAAAAAAAATAATTTATTTAATAATAAATTGAATTAAAATATTTATTTTAATTAATTATTTAATTGAAGATTAAATATGCTTGGGTTACATTTGAGACTATTGAGATTAAAAATACTGCTATTGAATTATATCAAACTACCACTGTTGAGAGATGTTGTGCTTTTATTTGCGGTTGCTGTGATTGCTGTGTACCCAAAGAAAAGCTATTCCAAAAGAAGGTAATCAATGTTAAAGATGCTCCTAATCCAGATAGCATTTTATGGGAAAATAACGATTCATCTGCACTTCTTCTTAGAAAGCTAATCAGTGTTATCGTCACTATTGCAGTTGTTGTTGGATGTAAAATTATTTTTTGCTAATAATAACTATAATGTAAATATTTTCATTAAAGCATATATCTTGATTGTTTGGATTAGAAATCGTAAATAAGATATTATGCAATAATATCCCAGTGTAGATTGTAGCAATCCAATTTTCAATAACATTCAATCTGATTAAGGAAAAAATCTTGTCGTATTAGAAGATAATTAATCTTCAGGAACTGTAAAAGTGGGATATATATACTGTTATTGCAAAACTTAAATTAACGAAATATTCTCTGGAAGTCTTGATTAACCTTACAAGAGTATTTGCAACAGTTGGCTTACTAGCTATACTCTTAGTTAATTCCTTCCTTATGCAGCTGTTTTGTGTATTGTTGTGATTAACGTTATTATTTAATTCCTTTTCTAGGCTCTCAGTTAGTTTGAAAAGCACAAATTGCTTGATGATTAACTAAAGTCTTTTATTATCAAAACATTCATTGCTTAATTCATCAACACTGGTTTAATCCTGCTGTTGACCAACATCAATTTCGATATTACTACTACAGGAACTCTGTAATTTTTGTTTGGTGGTAATTACGATGACTTATCACCTGAATGGTTCAAGAATGTCGGAACTGTTATCATTTTGACTCTACTTATCAACGTTGTATCTGCACCTATGGTTTCATGCTTTTTCGTTTTTCTTAGAGCTTTGTTCAAATGCTGTGATAGAGGATGCAGTCTCGATGATACTAAGACTAAAAAATCTACACTTAATGAATGGGTTGAATTCTACACAGGACCAGAATTCATGATATCCTTTAGATACTCTTAAATTTTAGGTAAATATTCATTTAAATAAAAGCATTAAATTAATTAATCAATAAAATAATAAATAAATAAATAAAAAATAGGTATTTGTTTTATTGGTATGCTTTACTCAGGAGGTATTCCCATCTTGTATTTCGTATCTTTCTTACACTTAACCGTCCTTTACTGGCTCGATAAAATATTCTGTAAATACTAATTAATTATTTTTAAAATTATTATAAACTTTATTTAATATATTTAGTATTTAAGATTTGTAAGATTCCCCCTAACTTTGATCAATAAATGGCTACAATGGCTCGCACAATGCTTTATTTAGTTCCTTTCCTACATACAATATTCTCTATTTACATTTATGGTAACACAGATATTTTCTTTGAGATTTAATATCTCAATGAGAGTTTCATAGATGTTTCTAGCTCTAATTAAATAGTAGAGCAGTTTATTGTTAGAGTGCTTTAACGTTAGCAAAATATTGCTCACGGTATCATATTAGCGATCTTATTGCTCATGTTTTTGCTTAGGACATTCTTATACAGACCTATTAAAGCTTGCTTGAATCTCTGTTTACATAAAACTGGTATGGAAAAGTACTTAGATAAGACTTAATAAACTCAAAACAGTCAGTCTTATTACAAATGTAATTTTCAAATTATAAAATCTTTTCCTTGAAATAAATTTAATCATTTTTTTAAATTCTTTATTTATTTATTTATTTATTTATTTATTTATTTATTTATTTATTTAGTTATGAGTGGTGTTCAGCTTAAGGATGACTACAATCTGATAGAATATTACTTAATGGATTAGGAAGAAAAAGAAGAGGATAAGTAATCTAAAAAGTTCCAAGAATAATCTAAGGAGAAGTAATAATCGATAGCAAAATACTATCCTGAATAGAAAGACAAACATAGTGATATTGTAGGAATCTTTTCATATGATATCAGAGTAAATTAAATTCAGTTTTAAATAATATTTTTAATAATTCATTTTGATATGAGAATTCTTAATTTAAAAATTTATAATAATAAAATAGCATAATCCACTTTATAGAAAGCTATATGCCTGGGACAAGAGAATGGTATCGCCAGATGTTTCTATGGTCAATTAAAATTAATGAACATATATGAAATTAATCTGAAAGACTGGCTGAGATAGAAGCAATTAAATTATTATCACAAATATAAATTATATTTGAAATTTTGAAAAAAGCAAAAAAAATATACATAAAAAATAAATGATATAAATTTATTTAGCAATAATAGCTGCAAAAAAACTAAAAAATAATTAAATTATTCAAAATTCTATTTGCATTTAAATTTATTGTTAAATAAAAAAATGTACTTTTTTATTTTTATATTAGTAAAAAAGGATAAATTAAGATGATTTTTAAACCAATCTAATTTTTTTTAAAGTGTTTTAAAAGATTGTTTAAAATTTTATTAATTCAAAATAATTTATTTACTTTTCATATAAACAAAATTAGTCAAGTATTCATTTTAGGGATGTTAGTTAGTTAGTTAGTTAGTTAGTTAATTAATTAAAATCTGATTCATATTAAATGTCTTAAAATTAGAAGAATAAAAAAAAAAATATTTTTTAATCTATTCAAAGTAATTAATTTTAGTTAGATTGATGATTATGAAAGAGTTTATTACTTAAAACAAAAAAAATTAATTCTATTATAGAAATTTTATCTTTTCAAAAGTAAATAGTTGAATGAGTGAGTGTTTAAAAATAAATTACAACTTATTAATCAAAGCTTTATAATTAATATATTTTAATTAAAATTTTTTAATTCAAAATTTATTTAATACTTAATTTAATTAAGAAAATCTTTTAAGAATATCAAAGTGTTAATTAAAATCTATTAGAATAAGAATAAGTTTACAGCATTACCATCCAAAAATGAAATGACTGATTTATTTTTTTTTTTACTCTTATTTTTTGAATAGGTTTTTAAAATAAAAAATTTGGTTTATTATTTATTTATTAAAAAAAAATGTAATATTTCTAATCAATGATTTTAAATAAATTATTTTAAAAACAAATAATTAATTTATTTTGTTGTTAAAAAATTTATATAAATTTTTGTTTAAAAGAATTAGTTTAAAAATTCTCTGTAATCCTGCTTGAATCTTGAAATTAAAATCTATGATTTTTTAAAATTTCTCTCAATAAACAATTTCTTTTTAAAAATTAAACAGAAAATTTAATCTTTTAAATTAGAATAAATGCATTATATTATATTGTAAGATGTTTATGGCAAGAAAGAATGAATTTGATATTAAAGATAAAGATAGTAAATTAATAATAATTTAATTATAAAATTTGAAAAACGTATTTATTTTTAAAATCAACAAATTAAATAGATCAGTGTTAGTTACAAAAGTAATTCATATTATTATTCCTATTTAGGCATCAATGATCGATGCAAATTAATAAATAATGTGGTTAAGAATGAACAAAAATTACATAATTTAAATATTATCAACAATAGATTTGAAGTCATAAAAAGATTTAATTTAAATATTGTAGATAAAATCCTCTCACATACATACATTCATACTTATTTCTAATATTAGGATTATATAAATATTATTGTTTTTTAATACTCAAGTTATTTATCAAAGCATCTAATTATTCTTTAAAATCATCAAAAATTTTGATAATTCTAAAAGATAACAAAAACTTAAAGTAATTACACTAGTTTGTTTTGCTAATATAAATAGATAGGCATCACAATACCATACAGTAAAGATTAAATTGCTTAAAAAGCATTCACTCTTAATTTTTGATTTAAAAATGCATTTTTACTAAAAGAAGTTTAGTATTTCGCCATCCATTCATATATAATCTCATTTCTTTGTTTATTAAACTATATTTTGTTTTCCTATTTTAAATATTTAAAGTAATATTGAGAAGGGAGAGGACCAATGATTGATCATTTAAACTTTTACGCAATCGAGGAGTTAAAGAATACAAAGTCAAAGCCTAGAGAAAGCCTACGAGTTAAGTTCATGTAAAACCATTTTAAAACTCTCAATATATTTCTTATGATATTTCATTTTTAGGTATCAAAAAGTAAATACATAAGGTGCAAAGTTGTTAGGTGATTATATGGCAAAGAATTGCTAAAATCTTGATAAATTGCACATTGATTTGGGGTAAAAAAATATTTATGACGATTGAAATAGAAGTACGAAAATAATTTTTATTGTAAAATAACAAATTAGAAACAACTAGCTTGGCGTTCCATCTATGAAGCATGTCTTAAATGGTCTTAAACAATGCAAGAAACTCAAATATTTTTACTTTAACACCAGGTATTTATTTATTAATACAAAATTTAAAAGCATGATTATCAATCAATCAATCAATTTGCTAATAAATTAATTAAATACTTAATTTATAAAAGTGAAAATAGACTTGGCTCATAAGGCCCTAAAGACCTTTCTCAGGTTTTGCAATTATTAAAAGAGCTGTGTGAAATAGAACTTTTCATGGAGTAATTAAAATAAATAATAAATTTTCATAAAATTAAAACTAATTTTCTTTTAAATGAATTGATTCTAAAAATAATTTAGGAGTAATCAAATCAGCGATGAAGGGATTTAAAATCTTTTTTAGGGATTAAAACACAACAGCAAAATTAAAAGACTTTCCATTCATCTAGGGTAATTTTCTTCATATTAAACATATATTTCATTAACCTTGTTAATTAATTAAGAAATAACTCAATTTATAATGGCGGAATTCCTGGATTTGTTGATTGTATCTCTAGCTTGAGATACCTTAGCATTGTCGAAATATTCCTTTCGTAATAAAATTAACTTGATTGTAAACAGATAATAAATAGTATTTTTTTAAAAAAGTCACAATTTCATCACTAACTCAGGCTTAAAAGAACTGTCCAAAATATTAGTTTATTCTTCAAGTATAAAAACCTTTATGCTTGAATTTAGGTATATCTTATTTACTTATTTCCTTGCTACATTTTATTAGCCTGATCAGATCTATCTAATTCTTCACTTGCATAATTAATTTCTTTTATTGATTAATTAAAATTATTAGCAACAATGATATCGATTAAGTAGGTATTTAGTATTTATCTGACGCCTTAAAAACGTGCTCTACTCTAAAAAAATTATATCTAAAATTATCGTAAAATTTATCTTTTCTAGAATATTTATAAGAATAAAAATAAATAAATAAATAAATTTATCTTAAAAGATATAATAATATCGGTAGAGAAGGAATACAATATTTAGCCCAAGGAATATAATATTGCACTGATTTAACTCACTTGTCACTATTTTTATAGTAAATATATTTATTTATTTATTAATATCTTAGTATAAAATTTATTTGCTTATGTTTTTATATAATTTAAATAAAGATCTAGCTTTATTGACTATGAAGGTTCAACTTAGTTAATAACTGCAGTTAAGTCATGCAAATATCTTTCTTATTTCTTTGTTTTTGCATGGTAAATAATATTATTCTTTTTTTGAATCGATATTGTCAAAAGAAAACGAATTTAATAATATAATTTATTTAATTTTTATCAAAATTGACAACACTATATAAAAGCCAATATAAAATAGCTTATTTAAAATTAATAAGTGCTATTGAAATAATTTATCTTTGAAATTATTATATTGAATCGAAATTGATATCATAATTGATTGCCTTATTTACTTTTGTTTATTGAGTTTATTGGATTTAACAAATTAATCTTTGATTGACTGAAATATCTATTTTCTTTGATAATATTTAGTTAAATTAATTGTAATAAGAATAATCAATAAAAATAATTAATTTTTTATAACTAAACCGAAGTTTATTTTTGATAAGATAAATTAAGTGATAGATAAATAGTTTGTTTATTTGTTTGTTTGTTTTTAAAATATTTACCAAAATTTAATTTTCTTTTTTAAATTTGTAAAAAACTTATTTTAAATAATAATAACAAAAATAAACTAAAAGGATGTGCGATTTTGTGAGCTGGCAATAAGAAAAATTATTAAAATCCCTAAAGAAATAGAAAAGATTAGTTGAGTGCTAATTTTAGATTTGAGAAAATAACTAAAAAAATGTAATTACTTAGAAATTTAAAAATAATTAATTCTGATTTGAAGACTTTGAACTTTAATAAAATCAAAAACTTATTTATAATAACTTAACTAAATAACTAACTAACTAAATATATAATGAATATAAATAATTAAATAATTATAATAACCATAGAATTTTATTCAAATATTACTTTATATTTATATATATATCTACTTGACTATTATATTAATAAATTCAATTTTATTTCCATTCTTAAATAAAAAATAAAAAATCTGATGAAGGCGAGATTCGAACTCGCGCCCTTTCGGAATAGAGCCTTAATCTACCGCCTTAGACCGCTCGGCCACTTCATCTTCAGTGAAATATACTTATTTATCCTTTCCCTTCTTTCTTTTTTTTCTAAATATTTATAAAAAGTATTTAAGTCGTTGTTAAACTAACTAACTAATTAAATAAATAATTATATAAGATAAAACCTAATTTTGATTTATTTTTTGGTTTATATAATCTATGTATGAAAAGCAATAAATAAATTAATAAATGAAACGTTTTTACTTAATTGTAAAAATGAAATATCTTCCTTTAAATTGCTTAAATTTAAATTATTTGTCTCTCTTAAAGTCAGTAAAAATTCATTATTTATTTATTTTTCACTCCAATCAAATAAGTAAATAAATAAAAAATCTGATGAAGGCGAGATTCGAACTCGCGCCCTTTCGGAATAGAGCCTTAATCTACCGCCTTAGACCGCTCGGCCACTTCATCTTAGCTGAAAGATTTGCAAAAATGTTCATTGTTTTTAAAAACATTTTAAAATTTGAATGTAAATTATAATTATTTAAATTTATATTTTAAAAGAAAAAAAATCTGATGAAGGCGAGATTCGAACTCGCGCCCTTTCGGAATAGAGCCTTAATCTACCGCCTTAGACCGCTCGGCCACTTCATCTTAGCTGAAAGATTTGCAAAAATGTTCATTGTTTTTAAAAACATTTTAAAATTTGAATGTAAATTGTAATTATTTAAAATAAAAAAAATCTACCGCCTTAGACCGCTCGGCCACTTCATCTTAGTTGAAAGATTTGCAAAAATGTTGATTGTTTCTAAATACATTTAAAAATTTGAATGTAAATTATAATTATTTAAATTTATATTTTAAAAGAAAAAAAATCTGATGAAGGCGAGATTCGAACTCGCGCCCTTTCGGAATAGAGCCTTAATCTACCGCCTTAGACCGCTCGGCCACTTCATCTTAATTGAAATTTTGAGATAATATTTTTATGTTCTTTTAATTATTATTTATTATTTAGATGAGAATTTGATAATTAATTAAAGTGTCTTTTAAATTCAAAATGACATAAATAGTTCGTTATTAGTAAAAAGTAAAAATCTGATGAAGGCGAGATTCGAACTCGCGCCCTTTCGGAATAGAGCCTTAATCTACCGCCTTAGACCGCTCGGCCACTTCATCTTAGTTGATAAGCTTGAATTCTAGTTCACTCATTTGAGAAAAAAGTAATAATAAATTTCTAAATATTTTAAGATTTATATAAAATTTTGATTTATTTTGTATAACTTACAATAAAAAATTTAAAAAATCAGATGAATTAGACTGCTTAGCCATTCCCTCTTAGTTGATAAGCTTGATTTATAGTTCTTTCTTCTGAGAAAATAGTTGTTATAAATTTTAAGATTTAGATATTAATTGCTTTATATAACTTATAATTAAAAAAATCTGATGAGTTAGACTGCTCTACGACTTCTTCTTAGTTGATAATTTTGAAAAATAGTTCATTCTTTTGAGAAAAAAGTAATAATAAATTTCTAAATATTTTAGGATTTTTATGGAAGTATTTGATTAGCTGTTTTGTATAACTAACTAGTAATAAAAAATAAAAAAATCTGATGAAGGCGAGATTCGAACTCGCGCCCTTTCGGAATAGAGCCTTAATCTACCGCCTTAGACCGCTCGGCCACTTCATCTTAGTTGAAAGGTTTGCAAAAATGTTCATTGTTTTTGAAAACATTTTAAAATTTGAATGTAAATTGTAATTGTTTAAATTTTTATTTTAAAATAAAAAAAATCTGATGAAGGCGAGATTCGAACTCGCGCCCTTTCGGAATAGAGCCTTAATCTACCGCCTTAGACCGCTCGGCCACTTCATCTTATTTAAAATATCAGCTAACTAGTTGGATGTTTTTGAAAATATTTTTGAATTAATCTAAGTTTTAATGGATTAAACATTTTATTATGCAGAAAGATAATTTTCATTTAATGAATATATTTAAAATAACAATGATTATAATATTTTTAAAAAAATTAAACTTCTTAAATTCTGTTTTTAGGTGAAATCTAAATTTTTAAGTGAAAATTTATGTAAATTAATATCTAAATAAAGATATTTGCTTCAGATTTTATTTGACCATTTTCTTATATTTGAATGAGGTTTTAGTTATGATTAAATAAATCATTTTAATTTAGATAAAAATGAAACTTTTTGAAAGAAAATGTGGCAGATAGATAGATATATATAGATATTCTTTATTTAGTACTTTAGTTTAAATCTATCTATCTATCTAACTTTTTATTAGAAGTTTTTGATAGGCTAATGAAATTTTATAGAAGGTCAAAACGAGCTCAGAAATATCTAGAAGCAATTAAAATATTGCATTTGAATTATGTTTATCTAAAAATATTAAAATAATTTCGTCTTTTAAAACAATACTTTTTTCAATCCTTTCTTTATTTGAGTAATATAAAATAAAGATATTTTATTTAATATTTAATATCCAAACTAATTAATTAATTAATAATTGCTTAATTATTGAGTGAAATTTCAGTTATGGTTGGATAAATCATTTTAGTAAAAATTAAATTTGTTAAAAGAAAATTAATTGAAAGATTTTTTAAAAAGACAAAGAAATAAGATTATAGTAGAAATTAATATTAAGTTTATTTGTTTGTTTTTATGGATAAAAAAAATAGTTTTAGCTAAAAAAAGGCTTCAATAAATTTTGTTTATGAAAAAAGGAATACATAAATAAATATAATAACTAAAATAAAGTTATTTTATATTTGGTTAATTCCATCCATTTATTAATTATTAATTGTAAATATTTTAAATGTTTATTAATTATTTTAAGTTAAACAATAATATTGTTTTAATTCAGAATTGTAATTCGATCTAATTGAAAGTAAATAATTTGATTTTTTAATATATATTTATATACTAAATTAACAATTTTGGGGAAATATAATTCTAATTTAGTTGATTTTTTTAAATTTAATAATTCAAGATAGGGTTTATTTTATTTAAGATCAATAAAATTTGTTAAAAACTGCTTTTTACTAAAAGTTTAATGAAATTTGGTATCAAGATAAATAAGAATTTTATTTATTATAAAATAGATTTTAAAAATTTAAATTCTCATTTTACCTTTTTGCTGTCTGTTTGGAATACAAGCATGCAAAATTTAACTACAGTAAAATTCATATTTAATTGAAAGTAAAATAAATAAATAAATAATTAGAAAGAAGCAACTTCAAAAATCGTCATTTTATAAATATTTTTTAATTTTTAAAGAAAGATAAAATCTTCACTTTATTAAAGACGAAAAAATATTAATTAATTATTATAATTGTTATTATTCAAAAAATTATTAAGAGAAAAAAAAAATAAAATAAATAACAAATACAAATAAATGGAAGAAGAAATTTAATTAACTACTGAAGAAGAATACAATCTATCACTCGAACAGCTGCTAAAAAGCAGGTGGGATTTTAATTTTAAAAATTTAGAACTTGATCATCTCTAAAATTTTATAAGCACTAACAATACAACCTTCTTGATGCAGCCATAAAATGAATATTTAAATAACTAATTTCAATAAAATGTTATCAATTTCAATGTAATAGATGAATTTCTCAGTGATGAAAGCTCTGAGACAGAGTAAAATGTTTTACAGAAATCACCTTCTTTAACATTTATTTCTACTAAGAAGCAGAATGTGATAAAAGAAAATTAAAAAACTAATGGAAAATAATTGAATTCTACTTAGGAGTAGCAATTAAATAAAACATAATAATAAATATAATAAGACTCATCTCAGGTTTAAAATAAACCTTTTAAGCCAAAAAAGTAAATGCTTAGAGAATAAATGAGAGAATATGAAATGTTTCAAGATAACACAGGCTTAACCTACTATCAAAGAAAAAAGAACTTTATTTAAAATATGAAGGAGAAGGATTTGCTACTTGATTGGGATAGCTTTAAAAAGGATGATTTGATTTACGAATAGAGCTCGTTTGGAGCCGCTCGCAGAAAGAAGAAGAATAAAAAATAAATTGATATAATCGAGCTGCCTCATCCTGAAAAATAACCACAGCAGTAAAATGAGTATCAAAAGGAAGCTAAAAGTTACAGAAAAATACCAAGATCTTAGCGCTCTGAAATTAATGGCTCAAATAGCAAAGTGATTAATTAATTAATTAATTAATTATCCCCTATTTAATTCTTTATAATAATTTTTAATTAAAAGATTCTATTTAATAAATTAATTATTTCTGATTCATTAAAGTTTTTAATCAAATATCACCAAGCAATTAACTCTTATTTTTGGTTAGTTAGTTAGTTGTAACATTTATTGTTTTCCAAAATAATGAATAAAATCACTTCAAATTTATTACAGCTTTAAAATAATTAAATAAATAAATAAATTAATAATGAATGAATGAAAAAAGTTTACTAAAATAATCAAAAAAATTAATGAAGAGGAATGAATTAAAAGATTTTATTTAAATAAAAAGAATGGTAATGCTATGGAAGAGGAAGAGGAACCTAAAGTTAAATCTAAGAGTTTACAAAAAGAAGCCAGTAGTAACATTTAATAAGAATAAAAGCAAGTCTAATATAAACCATTTAAGAGGTAACAAATATTAAATTATTTTATGGTTTAACTCAATATTTTATCTAAAAGAGTTACTATGATTGCTGTTGATAAATAAGAATTAATTAACAGAAGAGAAGATTTTCTCCATTATCAGTTCATAAATGAAAAAAAAATTAATACAAATAATATTTATATTTCAAGTAGAGCATAAGCCTAAATTCCTTAAATTAGACCTGTAGAAGAAGGTAAATTATATTATATTTGTTATTTATAAAATTATTAAAAATAATCAATTCAATTTCTTTAATCTTTTCAGAATTTTATTCATTACATTTTAATTAAACTTAATTTTAGAATTCAATTTCCACTTTAAAGCAAGTAAGCAAAAAAAACAAACAAACAACAAAAATTAAATCAAATAAAAAAAATTACAACATTTAATGGTAATTAAAATTTTAATAATAGTAAGAAACACTTGGATACTTAAGGATTTAGATTCTATTCTTGCATACAAAAATTCAAGTGAATGTAATAAAACATATTTGAAAATAAAAATAAATGTTAAAATTGATCATTTTATTTATTTATTAATTTTCTTAGACCAAAAGCTTGAAGAATATATGAATAAGTTTTTTGGATTAAGAGCTCCTTGGTAGGTTTTCAATATTTTAAAATTAAATAAATACAATTTAAAGAACTCTATTGATTATTGTAACATGAACAGTGATTTTTTAAAAGCTTATTTTCTCGATAAGGATAACGAAAAAAAAAAAAAATAACAAAAAAGAAGACTTGGACTTGAGAAAAAAAAGTATGTATGATATTAATTAGTAATTAAAAAGTGAAAATAAAAAAAAAATGAATTAAAAACTAATTTTTCGATTGTCATATAAATCTACAATTTATTATTTATTTATATTAATCTTCTTTTAATTTTATTATTTATTTTAGTTATGCTTTGTATTTTATAATCTTTTATATTTTAATTATTTCAAATTTATTATTTCTTTAAGCCCATTTCATATTTTATCCTCATAGAATAAAATTAAAATTATCAATTTTAATATAAATAAAATAATAACAAAAATTAGTCAAAACAATTAAAAAATTATAAAATAAAAAATTTTATGGTATTAAAAGCAATTTAAATAAGTCAAATTAAAATTACTTTAGAAATTACTATTAAATATTCCAAAAAATTTAAACATCAAATTTTTATTTAAAAACTCTTGATAAAAAGCATACAAGTTAGTTAGTTAGTTAGTTAGTTAGTTAGTTAGTTGTAGTAATAAAAAATTACCAAATTTTAATTTATAAAAAAGAATTTTAAATTACCAAATAATTACATTAATAAAATTGTTTGTTTATAATTAATTATTGCTTTCAATAAATAAGAATAAGCAAGCATGTTTAATTTTTAATAAACTTACAAAAATTATTTTAGCTTACGATGGATACTGTTTTGATGTAAAGTTAAAAATAAAAATGAATTATTTTCAACAAACTGATGGATGAATCAAAATTATTTATAAAAGTATAAAAACAAAAGTTAGTTTTAAATAATCTAATATATTTATTTTAAGGGTGCTAATTATAAATATAAACAAATAGATCTACAGCAGATAAAAATTATAAAAAATAAGCAAAAAGCATGATTTTTATTTAAATCTAATAGTAGTATTAAAATATTTTCACAACAAAAAAATCAATCATTGAATTAATGGCTCTAAATAATTTTAACAATAAAAACATAAACAAAAATTAGATTGTTTGAATTTATAAAGATAACTACAAAATTAATTAATATCTTAAATATGCAAAAAGAAACATAAAAAACCAATATATTTATTTATTTATTTATTTATCTTTGAATATGAACTACATAGAATATTTTTTTAAAAGCAAAATTATTTTAATAAAGTAACAAATTATGAAGGATATTCCTTTTATGTAGCTTAAAAACACTAAAGCTGGGCATATATAACTAATTAACTAAATAAATTAACAATAAATAAATAAAAATTTAATCAGGTAAAAAAAAAATAATAAATTGATTTAATGATTTTTAAAATAGCAAAAATATTTAAAATAAATGGAATATATTTGAATGATAAAATCATAGAGAGTGATAAATAAATAAATTGGTAAATTAATTAATTAATTAATTTGATTAAATTTATAACAAAAATTATAGAATTTTTATTAGCTTTTATGATTATAAATTTAGTTATTTATTATTTCATTATTTGACTGCGGTTTTAAATTTTGTGTAGTGGATAAAGTTTTATATCGAGAATTCTTTGAAAATGAGAAATTTTTTGATAATAAAATCTTCTATTATAATTGCTGAGGAGCATGCTACTAAAGTTATAAGCAATATATAACCCATGAAATCATACTTATCATGAAGCTGTTTATATATCAAGAAGTCAGGAATTTGATGCTCAGGTCTGGCAATCACTATAATTCCATAGATAGAGTAAGCCAATAAATAAATGGATAGCAAATAATTTCTATAGATTTTCAGTTTAAATGGACTAGAAATAAAATAGCTAAAGCCGGATGACATATAGAATAGATTAATCATAAGGAATACTATTGAATTTAGTGCTCCTTCCTTTCTAAATATAAAAACACCCTAAAATTCCTCTAAAGTATAAGTTGGAGTGTGCCATGGTTAAGCTTTTAAGACAATGCAGCCAATAATTAGGGAAATACTGTAAATTAAAATTTGAGAATAAATGGATATCTAATTTGGCAGCTTATAAAATTTGTCATCAGGAATATGAGGACTTAATTTCTTATTTGGTCTGCTTATTGCAAGTAAAGCCATCAAAGGCATTCCACAGAAGAAGCTTAAATAAGTAAATTAGAAATCGCCAAAGTTTTAAGCTTCTTCCATCATAACAACGCAACCCATGAACTTTAAGCTATTTTAAATAATGATTACTCTGAATATTTCTATGTTATTTGTTAAAGTAGCTCTTCCATCTAACAAAATTGTTTCAACGCACTTAATTGAGTCATCATTAGAAGAAAAAGGAGCAGTCAAAGCAGCGTCAGCTGCTGCAAATGAAATACCAATATCACCTATTTTAATCAAAATAACAAATTAATTACAAAATCTGCTTTGTTTAATTTAAAATAAAAAATAGTTTTAAGCGATTTAATTTTCTGAGTGCTAATCTAATTAATCTAGTCCTTTAAAACTCGAATATAAAAAGGAAAAGATAGATTAAAAAATAAAAATAATTAGAAAATTAATAAAATATAGATAAATAAATAAAATTTTTAGCAAAATATTATTTTAATTGATTTACTCAAAATCATATTTTTAAGAATAAAAACTAAGCTGTTTTTTTTAATTTCACTTTTTCTAAATGAATTTAGTTGATTAGATTTTGATTCATTTAAAAATTCAAAATTTATAATTTTAAGAATAAAAGTCTATCTTTATTTGTTAATTTTCTCTTTTTCTAAATGAATTTAATTTATTAGAGTTTGATTCAGTTAAAAATTCATAAGTATTAAAGCTCATCTTTATTTCTTAAATTTCTTTTTTCCTAAATAAATTTAATTTATTAGAGTTTGATTTATTTAAAAATCCAAAATTTTTAATTAAAATCTATTTGTTTTAAATATTTTATTCATTCGGCAAGACTAACTAAATAGTTTACCAAAAAAGTAATTATAAAGTGCTGGTTGATATTATTGTTAAGAAAAATTTCTTTTGTTGAGTTAAATTAGTTTATTAATTTAATTTATAAAAATGAAAATGTTGCTTCAGAATTTAAAGAATTTGCTTAAAACTCAATTTTTTTTATTTAAAATATAAATTTATTGAAAAAAAGCAAACTGAAAAAATGTTAAAACAATTTCAGTTTTATAGAAAATCATTTATTTTACCTTGCTTGATAGCCTCACAGTCGTTAGCACCATCCCCAATCATTCCTACTCTGAGATGTTGCGATTGCAGGATTTCAATAATTCTTCTTTTTTATTCAGGGCGCATTCTAGCAAAAATGCTAGTGTTTACTATCAGATTGCAATAAAGAATTAATTTCTCTTCTAAAGTTCTATTAAAAGATTTTAGAGTTTCTGTCTCTGTATTCAGTTTAGTGTTTTTATTTTTATTTGAGAAAAGATGAGAGTAATGGCAAAGCTCGATTTCTGTTTCACTTCCAGTCATCATTTAAAAGGTCTTTTCAAAGTAATCCAGAACTTTACCAGTAATTACTATTTATTCATTGTTGGCTATAAGCTAGTCTAAGATTTCAAATGAACGCTCTTATTCATCAGAATTATTAACCATCTCAATGTGTTCGTTTTCTACTTTCTAAACAACAAGCTTGCTTCTTAAAGCGTTAGAACATGGGGCAGCATCTATAAAATAAACTTTATTATTCTCATCAAGGATATTACATTCAGAGCCAGTTTAGAGAGTAGTAAGAGGATTATCGCCAGAAATAATTTTGCATTCAATTCCACCTTCTTTTAATCTCTAAATACAATCAGCTGTGTCTGGTTTCAGTTTGTTTTCCAAAACCAAAAACCCTAAGAAGTTCAAATTTTTCTCTAAATCTTAACGTTGCATTGCTTAGGGATTCTCATTTTCATTAAGTTCGCGGTAGGATAAACCTAAAATACGAAAGCCTTTCAGAGAGAGAACATTCAATTTTTCAGTAAAATTGGATGGGATAGTTGATGGTATGCACAATTCTTTAACCATTTCAGGAGCTCCCTTAAGGAAAGCATATTTCTTACCTTAATCTCTAACTATTGTTGACATACGTTGCAAAGAAGAGTCAAATTCAAACATTTGCAAAACTTCTAATTTGGTATCTTAAAATCCTGCTTTGAATTTAATAGAAATATCAGATGAATTTTCTAACTTAAACTGAGAATATTTCATCATTTCAATATCAAGCATATCTCCCACTAGTTATCCGTTCATCAAATATGCTCCATGGCATGTAGCAAAAAGTTTAAAATGAATGCTTTTTGCAATAGATTCTAAAGATTGTTGTTTTAAATCGTCAAGAGTAATCATTTTGCCTAAGTTTTCATCAAAGTAGCCATTTACTTCAATGCCATTTGTAGTTAAGGTTCCTGTCTATTTTTATTTATTTTTTAGATTAATTTAATGCATAAAAATTTCATAAAAAAATTATTTAATAATAAAATACTTAAAAATTTATTAATATTTAAACAACAATCAAAAGTATTATTTTAAATAAAAATTGTATTGAAATAAATTTTTTTTTGGGATATTAAAAATAACAAAAATATTAATAAAAGCAAAAAAAAGAAAGTATTTGATAGCAAACTTCTGTTGAAAATAAAAATTTATTTTAAAAATATTTACTTTGTCAAAGCACATATAAGTTATTTTACCAGCAATCATAGTTTTTTATGGTTCGATTCCAAATATGTTATGTACCCTTAATCTCATTAAGGCGAATGATAAACTTAGTGATTGGAATATAGGTAAAAATGGAGGAAGGGTCCATGTTAGAGTGTCAAATAATCTGTAGAAATATGTGATTACTGAAATCTCTATATCATACATCTTAGGAACTCTAGCTAAATATATAGCGAATTGGAGAACAGCAAAACCTATGAAAAAGAGTAGGGAGTTTTTTACAAAATCGAACTCAGTTGGGCGAGGATATAGAATGGATCTTAAAATTTATCCTTTGAATGAAGTAAATCCAACTCTAACAACTTTAGCAAGTATCTTAGAAGACTAAGAAGATTTTGTTTAAAAGATAACAGTACCATCAAAGAGATAGTGTTTCTAAATTAATTCAATAAAAATATCTTAATAAATTAATTATTTTTCAAGCTTTTTTAAAGAAAAATATAAATAAAAAAATTATCTTAGTTTTACCTTATGATCAACAGAGTCGTAATTGAAAGGTAAATTTTCATTTGAGGCTATGGAGACTTTAGGAATTGGAATAGATTCTCCTGTTAGAGAAACTTCATTCATAAGCAATTCTCCTTGAATTAGGAGGCAGTCGCAAGGAATTGTCATCTTCTCTTCTAGTTCTATTATGTCGCCTGTTACTAGATATTTGCTATCAATTAATTAGCCTTATTCTGTACTACCTTTTTATAATTTAATTAATTTAGTAATTTTAATTCTGGTCAGATCTTTCTTAATTTAATTAAAATTCTCTTCAAAGAAAAATAAATCAAAATATTTTTTAGTGAAAGCTTGTTTTCTTTGTTGTTTTATTAAAAGTATTAAAATTAGTAAATAATTTTTAATTATTTGAGTTATTTATTTACCTTCTCTAAATACTCTCACTTAGTGGTCTAGTAGAGCCATTTTTTTGATCTTGAGGAGAGAAACACGAGTCATGATGTAGTTAAAAATTGTGATTGAAAACTAAACAGAAATGATAATAACAGAGAATTGAATATAATTTTGCATAAACCAAACGACAACGCTTGCGTATTGAAGAAAATAAAAAGGAGATGTCATTTCTTAGATTAAAAATTCAAAAATTGAGGGAATTTCTATTTTCTTTTCACAGGAACCATATTCTTTTCTAAATTCGCTAACCTAACTTTCACTGAGGTATTGTTTTTCACTCATTTATGATAGAGGAATTTCACATATTGGATACTCAACAGCTTTGAAGTAAGGGATTGAGTTATCATATTAACTATTTTATATTATATTTTCTTCGTCTTTAATTTTGCTTTCTTCTTATTGCTTTTTTTCTTTTTGATTGTGATAGATATAGTCTAATTTACGACTTTTAAATCCAATTTATACTTCTACTTAATTATTCTTCCAATTTCTCAGCTTAAATTCTACTTTATTTTCAATAAGCTCAGTGCCATCTTCGTTGCAGACTAAGAAATGAGTAGCATCTCTCATTTGATAAACCTTTTCATAGAGGAAATTCTTTCTTAATTTAAACGACCATCTTAGAAAAAGAGCGAATAAGAACCCAGTCAAAATAGAAAGCAAAATAGTAAGAGCTATTCTACTTGTTTTAATTTAAAGTAAGAAGACCTCTTTTACATGACATCCACCTTCCACGTTTGAAGCATGCACAATCACAGCCTATCTTCCTTCAGATGTTTTAGAATCTGAAACTTTATTCATCGAAATGTGTTAAATATTGTATGCTATTTATTATTTTATTGAATTTTTTTTATTAATTACTTAAAGTTTATTTTAATTGAATAACTTTTAAAATGTTTAATGAATAAATTAATTAATAGATATCTATCTATCTATTTAAACCTTACCATTTAAATAAGTTTTGACACATAATTTAATTTATATCCTACTATTTTTCTAGTAAAACTGTTAAAATTGTTGGTCGATTTCGATTATGATTCGTAATCAAAACTAAATCTACACCATAAGTAGATATTATATATCAATTTGATATCTAATAATTATATATTTAAGCGCTTTTAGAAATTTATTATAAAATTACTCCATTTTTGGAAACACATTTTTCAAATCTTTTCATTGAGATAAGTTGAAAATTGCTCGAAAAAAACCACCCAAGAAATTTTACACTAGTTTTTATCTTTAAAAAATGCATCTTATGAAAAATATTTGATTTTTTGTTTAAAGTAATTTATTTGGGTATTTCTCATGATTTTCTTGTATTAACTTAGCCCGCTACAGAGAAAAATGACATCAACTAGAACTAAAATATGAGAATGAAGAGACTTATTTCCAAAAGAAATAAGAAATCTACATAAATATTTGCAAATAAACTATAAATAGAATACTCAAATCCTAAATTTTTGCATTAATTACAAATTTACTAGAAGAAAACTAATAAATCGAAATACAGAAAGACAGACAAATAGAAAGACAGACAAAGCGACTCAGCAAAATTATTATAATTTTTAGTATGATTACGCTAAAAAATTGTATTTTTTAATTTTTTTAACTTGCTCCTTATAATTTTATAAACTTCATTTATATTGAAATAATGCAGCTATCTATTTTGCGAAAATAAAGCAAATTTTTTTTTAAATAAGCATTTTTTTCAAAAAAATCTATTTTTAGGATCAAGTAAAATATAGTTAGTCTCTTAATATATATATTTTACATTCAGTAAAATTTCTAAAATATTTTTTTTCTCTATTTGTTTTTTACTAAAAAATGGAGATAAATAATTATAATAATAAAAATAAAGTTGTATTATTATTATGGAGATTAGCGGAAAATGATGTGATATTAATGAATTAATTTGTGAAATATGCATTTACAAAATAGAAGATATAGATTAACTTTAGCGGAATTTTTCTTATAGTATGAATAAAAAGCATAAAGAAAGATAAGACTAGTACAAAAAAAATACTCTTAATGAATTTTCCTCTAAATTTGCTTTATTAAATTAGATCACTTTTATACAACATCAAAGTATTTATCATGTGATTAATTATATCATAAGCTATTTCTAAATTTTTAGTCTACTAAATTAAATTGCTCAATTTTATTTTTAAATTCTTCTAAAAATACTTTCTATTTGTCTCATTATTATAAATAATTAATATATCCCACCTACCACTTTAGATTGAAAATAGAATTTTAACTCTATTTCTTTAATAAATATCCTAATTAACAACGATTATAAATTGATTCACTTTTATCTAAGAATCTACAATAATACTTCATAAATTGAACTATTTTTAAACAATTAAATAAATAATATGCACTTTATTTAGAATAAACAGACGTCAATCAATATAGCAAACATGAAATAGGAAATTAATAATATGAAATAATGTTCATTATGTATTCAAAATACATCAGATAGAATATAAAAAAACATCTCAAATTTCATTTTATATAACATTTTAAAATAGCTTAACTATGAACAGGCACTTTTTTAGTAAAATTAAACTTATACTTATCAAATAGAATTAAACTTAATTTTAAATTTAAATTCATGTAACAAATTTATAGAAGAAATTACTTATTTATTTTCTTCTTATTATCACTAATTAAAAACCATTAAAGTTTATTATATTATTGATCCTCATTAATTAATTATAGATCAAATATATTATAGCGATTAAAATCCATAAAATTTTCATAAATCTCTAAAAGACCCATAATAATTAAAGGCATCAACACTATGAATAAAATAATTATGGTTGATTTTAACAAACCAGACTTAATATTGAAAATTTTAATTATTTAGATATAAGAAATAATTATTAAGTAAGAATATAGTTTTTATTATTTATGTTTTAAATTATTTAATAATTTTTAAATTCGTTTTTACAGTTTTCAGATTAAGTAATTAAATAAAAAGGTAGGTTTGTAGATAGATAGATAGATAGATAGATAGAGTACATATTTAATTTATAATTTGTTGAAAATTTTTTAAAACTATTATAAAAATAATTAAATAAAGTTGACATTTTATTTTTATCAATATTTATCAAAAGTGCTCAAAAATCATTGGAAATAAATAGTTTTTGACATGCTCTCTTTAACTGTAAATGTATTACAAAAGTTTTTCTTCCGAAGTAAAAAATGTGACTACTGATTTTTAATCAATAAAAACATTAATATGAGTAGAAAACTCTTCTGTTGCCTAATTTTAATTTAAAAATAAAACCAAAAGTTCTACATTTAAATTTGCCAAAAGATTAGTGAGTTCCTAAAATAGGAGTTAATTTGTGATCTCCAACTTGGTGTCTGTAATAAAAAGCAAATAAGTATGGTATCCGTTAATTTTGTTAATTTGCTTCATTTATTTTGAATAATTTTTTTAGGAGAGATATATTTAAATTTTTTGATCAGTATTCAAAATAAACTACTTTAAGGCTGCTTAAACTCCTTAATGAAATATCCATTCTGCAGAAATCTCCTACTTGTGACCTTAGCATTGGCTATAAGGTGTACTTTATTTTTATTCGTCCTTCAAATCTGTAAATGAAAAATTTGTTGTTTATTGTTAATTCAATCCAAGATTTTCTAGGAAAGTGAGCTTGTTATTTTGGTGATTTTTTTATTTATTTTAATGAGTATTTAAAAAGAAACTATTTTGTTTGCTTTCATTGTTTTCAGCGTTTTCACTTTTTATGGCTTCTTTGTCAAAAACATCACTTAAGCATATTTTATCATTATTAATAGTTTAATTGTTTTCTTTTTAATTTTTTTAAGTATCTTCAATATCTTAAATATAACTACTAAAATTTAGAATATTTTATTTAGATAGCTTGGTTGTTTAGCATGAGTAATTGCAATAGTTTAAAAATTATCCATTCGTCTATTTAGATACACATAATAGACACTTGCTATCCAAATATTTTCCATAAAATGCTTCTTTTTTTCTTTTTTTTGTTTCTAAATCAAAAAGAATTTCTTTTTTAATCAACTTATCACTACTTTCAACAGGGCTCTTGCAGAATGAAGATATTTTTGGAGTTAAAACATAATCTTTCATGAATTAATTTGGTGAATAATCCTGTTTGGATTAATTTATGAAGGAACTTTATTGTAAGCTAGCTTGCCTGAAATCAATCATTTAAAATTGATGTGTTTTATCATGAGAAAAGTCTTAAAAAAATGTATTTAATTTATCTGTTTTTGCTTATTATTCTATAGGTGAACATTCTCTATCTTTAATTTCTTCTAATTGCAAATTTGTTTTAATAGTTTTACTATATGAATAGATAGGCGTAAATTATGGCTCATTTTAAGTGCTTAGTGTTTTACTTTTTATTCGCGATGAAATAATTTTTTCATTATATTTTGTTTTACAACTGCTTTTATCTAAATCTAATACCGAGTAACTGTTTATACTTTGTTGTTCTTTCTACCAATTAAATTATATGTTTTAAAAAAACTTTTAATTTGATTTTATCATTTGAATATTTGTCCATTAAATTAGCTAAAAATAGAGATTCTCTTCAAAGGAATAGTTAATTAGACCAAATTAATCTTTATCGTTAAATAATATATCATTGATTAAGTCACTTTGCAATGCATAGGATCTAAATTAAGAATATTTACTTTGACAAGCAGAAATTGTACATACTTTAATGTTTGCATATGCCAATTATGTGTATTTATTTAAAATTTCTTCTAAATATGGATTTTAAATGTTTGAAAGCTTAAATAGGTCAGCAGCTAGTTTATAAGCCTTTATTTTAAGGAAAGGAAGATAATAAACACACTTTTCTAATAAATTTGTTATAATAAATCCAGCATTAAAGTAATTTTGCAACATGATTTAAAACTTTACTTATTCTAAAGCAAAATATTGAAATAAAATATCAGAACTAAACTAATATCTGCATAGTTTTTTTTGACTTAAATTTTTTCTAACTTAAAAGAAAGGTTGATAATTCTTGAAGTGAGTTTTATTTTTTGCTAATTGCTATTTTAAATGATAGCATATACTTTTTTAATTATCTGAAATTAGGGTATATCTTTTTAATCTTTTTAAACTTGAATTCTAAAACAAAGATTTAGGGTTTATTGTTAATTAATCTTTTTGTGCTGGTTCCTACAATTAATATTAGGATAATTTATACTTTTTAAATAAGTTGCTTCTCTTAATTTATTTTTTATTTGACATAGGTGAACTCAAAAGAGTATGATAGCCGTTTTAATAAAAAAAATTTATCTCTTCTTCAGCTTAATTCAAGATGTTATTTTATTCCGTTTAGTTAGCTGTGCAATTAAATTTCTTAGTTTTTCGATGGTTTATGTAAAGCTCCTTACATTTTTCTAATACATCAAAATAACCTTTCTGGTTATTTTACAATTTGTAAGTAAGGCATTTCATATAGCATATAAGTATTTCTCTTTTTTAGCATGGATTTAAATATATTTGGCTTACTTTCTCTACATCCAAAATAATATCTTCTAACATATCAGACAAATCTATTAAATTATTTTCAGTAATATAAGAAAATAATGCTTTTATTAGGTTAATTGTTCTATTGTATAAACTCCAAAAGATAAGGATCTTACCATTTTCACTTTTATCATTTTCTTTTAGTAATTTACTCCCATCTTCAAACCTTTTTACAGAAAGTTCGTAATTGTTCTAATTTAGCAGATTTTGATAAACTTAACTAAATTAACTTGCTTCATTATCAACATATAAATAGTGATCTTAAAATGAATTTTTATAAAAGCCTAATTCGTATTTTGCACTAATAATAGATCTCTACAGGTTTTCTATTGATTCTTTGTATCTACCGCCATTATAATGGATTACTCCTATGTTATTATAGCACACACCAATTGCTCGATGATTTTTAAATTGATTAAAATGTTAAACCTCAATACTTAGATTAATTAAGGATGTGCTTTCGTTTTCTTTGTATATGTTTTAAGTAGTAAAAACCAAAACTTTGAAAAGATTCTTAAAACTATCAAAAAGTTCCTTTGTATCACTTGAGAAACATTATTTGCTTTAATTAATTTTGAAATACTCACCAGCTGATAATTCGCTTTTCCCTTAGATTTTGTTGATATTATCAGAAATATCTTCCACTTTAAGAATCTCAAATGATTGCAAAAAATTCTAGTTTAGTCCATTACCATCCTAATCAATTAGTTATTTTAATATGCTTGTTAAGTGAATAATAGGCTTTAAAGTCTATTAGCTTAATAAGAAAGAGTATATTATTTATACGAATAATATAGAAATCATCCAAACTAAGCTTATCAGCATAAATAAAAAATTGTATTATTGGATTTATTGTTGCAAAATGCTACAATATTAAAGCATTTTTTCTTTAGAAAGAATATTTAAAAATAAAAATGCATTTTTAATTTAATATTTTGGAGAAGGATCCACTAATTTGAGAGTCTCAAATTTAGGTACTTTGTCAATTATTGTAATTTAATTTTGTAATACAATGCATTCTGTCGAGTTCCGTTCATATTCGAAGATTTGCTAATAATTTTCATAATTAAATCCTACAATATCAAATTGATTAGTACTATTTAAAACAAACTTGTTATTTTAGTTAATCATGCTAATAAAATATGATGCCTAACTTTGATTTTTCAAGTAGTCTGTCTCAATTTACTGTATGGTAACAATTTCATTTCTACTTAAATTATAAGCTGAATCATAAATAACTGTTTGATATTACGGATTTAATAAAAATTAAAGTTTAGAGTTAGAGCCAAAATTTTTAAAGTAAGTCGGTACTAACGTTAAATCTTAATTTAAGCATATTAATGAGTAGTTTGAACTTTTTGAGTTTGGGTCTAAAGATTCATATTTCAATCTCCTTTGGCAAAATGATTGAACAATGAAAGGGTTAACTTTTGAATAAAACATTTATGGGTTATATATAACTGTAGAGATACTGCTTAGGTTGTAATAGTATCTGCATCTAGCATCTAAATAAAATTATCCTTAATATGGACAGTTTTTAGGTGGCTAATAATTTTGAAAAGTAGTATTCACACCTTAGGAGTAAAGCAGACCATCATAACTAAATACAAAAAATAAATCTTTGAATATCATCTACCTTCCTTCACTGTAATTATTAACAAATTAGATTGATTTACTAACAGAATCTATCCGAACAGATTAATCTAGCTACTATAATTCAATATAATCAAATTAATTGATTTAAGATTTATTTACATGATGCCTAAAACATTAATTTAAAAAAATCAACTTTCATAAAAATTATCTCAAAACAAAATAAAAGAAAGAAAAAAAACAAGATTTAATTTAATTAAATATTTTTTCAATTTGATTGATCGCATAACTTTTTGAAAGGGCTAATTTTCTCATTAATTTTGAATATATAAAATAGAAGTTTAAAATATTCTTAAAATGAAAGTATTTGCTTGAAAATAATTAATTGCTATTTAACACTGTTCTTTATTATTTATTTTGACATCAAATTAACATAAATATTGGTTCTTGATTGAATTAAAAAAATTAATTAGGTAAACATTAATTTTGGGAAACTTGAGAAATTACTATTCAATGCTAAAATAGAATTAAGTCTAAAATAACAAAAAAATCTGAATGAAAATTAATGAATATTCAAGTAAAAAAATGATAGGCTATTTTACCATGAGCTAGTTAATATGGAATTATTTCTAAAAAGCATCAATACATCTTTTTTTTCTTAGTTTTTGTAAGTCATATCTATGTTGAGAATAGTTGGAATATGATTTTCATTTTTTAAGACAATTTCTTAGATTATTTTTCCAAAGAATTCATTAAGCAGGTTGATGTACCAAACAAATTTTTAGGTCTGAGAACTAAGTTAAAAGACTATTGCTGAATTCAGTATTTTAGAGCTTTTGATTTGATCTTACAATAAATCATTTGAAAAGTTATTGACTAGTTAAAAGCATACACTTTAAAAATAACTTAAGACTAAATAGGTAGAGAGTATAAGAAGCACTGTTGGAAAAAGAGTTATGGAAATAACTATGATTTAAGTCTTATTACTTTAATAGAAATTATAATAAAAATTGCCCTTTATTTTATTTGAAATTTGTTAAATGGTTTATTTCTTCATTTTTTTTATAATTATTAAAGTTCTACTTTTTATTATTATTAATAGCTCGTTTTTATGTAATAATAAATAATAATTTTTTTATAATTATTATTATCAAAAGAAATTTGATATTAATTGATAATATTCAATCAACTGACAAAGTCATTTTAATTTATTTATTTCTTTACTTTATTATTCTTTTTTGGTATGGCTTAATAAGAAATTGAAATTTATGATTAATCAATCAATCATTTAATTATTCACTTTGGAAATAAAAAAGTATGAATTTCTTATTAATTTACACTACAATTTTGATTAAATAACAAAACACTTAGCACACATTTTATTTCCACAAGTTAAAAAAAAGTATATTAAATAAATTTACATTATTATACTTCCATTGTTACTTTTGTTTAATTAAAATAGCATAGTAAAAAAAAAATAGATTAAATTTTAATAATTCAACTAATTCTTAGAAGAAAAAATTTATTTGCAAAAATTAATTATTTTAAAATTTGACTTAAATTAATTTAAATAAAATAATTTTATTTAACCAAATCAGAACACTAAATTATATAATCTGATATTTTAAAAAATAAATTTTTATTTATAATTGTGTTTGTCAAATATTCAAAAACTAATCTCATGAGTTTATTTTTAAAATTCATTTTAATTAGCTATTCTTTTTATTAGAAGTGAATTTTTAACTCCAGTATGTTAACTATTTAGTAGAAATTTCTGTTTTAATTTTACTATAAGTTCCTTATTCTACAGCTTTACCCTAATTTAGTCATAATCGGCTATTGTATTTAGTCTATGAACTATGGTTATAACTGTAGAGTTTTCAAATTTCTATCTAATTTTCTCTTAAATTAACTCATCAGTAAGCATATCTACATTTGCAGTTGCTTCGTCTAATACAATGAGTTAGCTCTTTCTTAAAATTGCTCTTCCAAGGCATATTAAGTGCTTTTATCCTGCACTAAATATATCCTTGGCATTGCTTATATCCTCGTAAATATTGCTTGGTAACTGATTCATTTTTTCTATTTTTATTCAAGTTTTTTTAAGTTAAAAAAAATATTCTTTAATTAAAGATTGAAATTTAAATTTATTTTAAAGTTAAAATGAAAATTTTTTTGAAAATAATTAAAAATTTTATCATATAGGCTAATATATAAATTTTAATGAAGCCAACAAATCCTCTTTGGCAAACTAAGTGGTAAATAGAAGCTCGAAACGAATTAGATGCGAAGTAATCAAAATATTTTTCAAAATTTTATTTTTTAAATAAAAAGCGCTCGGTGAAGGGATCGAACCTTCGACCTTGCGGTTAACAGCCGCATGCTCTAACCAGCTGAGCTAACCGAGCTTCACAATATCATTTAATAAATTTTACAAAATTCAAAAATGTAATATAAAGTAAGTGCAATTTGTTTAAAGCTAATATTATATTCAGTGCCTAAAATATATATTAGGTTTCAGCTCTATAACCGAGAAAGAGTTGAATTTACCTAAAAATTTCAAAAACAAATATTAGTTAAAGACGTTCTTAAATTTTCAGAAAAATTTAAGTAATTAAATAGAAAATAGATAGATAGATAGATAAAGTATTTAATTTAGTATAAAAATAATTTTTAATTGATTTTAATGTCAAATTAAAATAATAAAAAAGTTGATATTAATTTGCATATAAAAAAATATTTATCAAAAGTGCTCAAAAATCATTGGTAATAAATAGTTTTTAACATGCTCTCTTTAACTGTAAATGTATTGTAAAAGTTTTTCTTCTGAAGTAAAAAATGTGATTACTGATTTTTAATCTATAAAAACATTAATATGGGAAGAAAATTCTTCTATGGACTAATTTTAATTTAAAATTAAAACCAAAAGTTCTATATCTAAATTTGTCAAAAGATTCGCGAGTTCCTGAAATAGATATTAATTTGTGATATCTAACTTTGTGTCTGTTATAAAAAGCAAATAAGTTTGGTATCCTTTAATTTTGTTTATTTACTTCAGTTTTTTTGAATAATAATATTTTTTTTGAGACATATATATTTAAATTTTTTAATCGTTATTCAAAATAAACTGTTTTAAGGCTGCTTACACTCCTTAATGAAATATCCATTCGGCAGAAATCTCCTATTTGTGATATTAGTAATTTTTATGATGCGTGCCTTGCTTTTATTCATCTTTCAAATCTATTTATGAAAAGCTTGTTGTTTATTGCTAGTTCAATCCAGAATTTTCTAAGAAAGTGTGCTTTTACGATTTATTTTCATGACTATTTTAAAAGAAACTGTTTTGTTTACATTCATCATTTTGATTTTACGTGATTTCTTTGTCAAAAACATCACTTAAAAAGTATGTTTTATCATTATTAATAGTTTAATTGTTTTCTTTTTTATTTAAAAAACTATTTTCAATATCTTCTATATAACCACTAAAATTTAGAATATTTGATCTAGATAGGCTGGCTTTTTAGTATGGTTAATAGTTTTAGTTGAAATATTGTTCATTTGTCTTTTTTGATACATGTTAAACGCATTTAATATCAAAAGATTTTCTGTAAACTGTTTCATTTTTTGTTCGATTCCTATCTAAATCAATAATCATTTCTTTTTCAATCCGCTAATCACTACTTTGAGCATGATTTTTATAGAATGATGATGTTTTTGGATTTAATACATAATCTTTCATGAATGAATTTGGTGAATAATCTTATTTGGATTGATTTATTAAGTAACTTTATTGTTAGCTAACTTAACTGATATCACTCATTTAAGATTGATGATGTGTCCTATTAGGAGTAAAATCTAAATAAAATGATTTTAATTTATCTGCTTTTGCTTATTATAAAATAGTAGAGTATTCTTTATCTTTAATCTCTTCTGTTTATAAATTTATTTTGCTATACATAAGATTAGAGTATTCTTCATTTTTAATATTTAATGTGAAAATATTACTAGCTAAGTTTTCATTATTTTTTGTTTTTTAACTGCTTTTATCTAAATCTACTATTGAATAACTATTTATACTTCCTTTAAACAAATAAAATAGTATTTTTTAAAAAAACTCTTAGTTTGTTTTAATTATTTGAATATTTGTCCATTAAATTTATTAAATATAGATATTCTCTTCAAAGGAATAGTTAATTAGACCAAATTAATCTTTATTCTTAAATAATATGTCATTAATTAAGTCATGTTGCAATGCATAGGATCTAAATTAAGAATATTTACTTTGACAAGCAGTAATTGTACATACTTTAATATTTGCATAGGCCAATTAAGTATATTTGTTTAAAATTTCTTCTAAATATGGATTTTAAATATTTGAAAGCTGAAATAGGTCAGCAGCTAGCTTATAAGCCTTTATTTTAAGGAAAGGAAGATAATAAAGACACTTTTCTAATAAATTTGTAATAATAAATCCAGCATTAAAGTAATTTTGCAACATAATTTATAAGCTCACCTATTCTAAAGCAAAATATTAAAATAAAATATCAGAACTAAATTAATATTTGCATAGTTTTTTTTGATTTATGTTTTTTCTGACTTAAAAAAATGGCTGATAATTTTTGAAGCATTCTTTATCTTTTATTGATTGCTATTTTAAATGTTCAAAAATTATGGCATTTCTTTTTGATTTGTTTAAACAGGGACTGTAAAACAAAGATTTAGGCTATTTTGTTAATTTACTTTTAAGTGCTGACTCCTTCAATTAATATTAATATGTTTTATACTTTTTAAATAAATTATTTCTCTTAATTTACTTGATCTTAGACTTAGGTGAGCTCAAAAGAGTATGATAACTGTTTTAATAAAAAAACTTTATCTCTTATTCAGTTTTTTTTAAGATGTTATTTTATTCAGCTTAGTTAGCTGTGCAATTAAATTACTTAGTTTTTCGATGGGTTATATAAAGATTCTTAAATTTTTCTAATGCATCAAAATAACCTTTATGGTTATTTTACAATTTGTAAGTAATGCATTTCATATAACACACAAGCATTTCTCTTTTTATACAAGGAGGTAAATATATTTAACTTACTTTCTCAATATCCAAAAGAATTTCTTCTAACATATCAGCCAAATCAATTAAATTATTTTCAGTAATATGAGAAAATAATGCTTTTATTAGGTTAATTGTTCTATTGTATAAACTCCAAAAGATAAAGATTTTACCATTTTCATTATTTTCATTTTCTTTCAATGTAATGTTGTCTTCTTTAAACATTTTTTCTTAAATCTTTAAATTTGTCTACTTTATCAGATTTTGATAAGCTTAAATAAATTAATTTTTTTTATTATCAACATTTAAATATTGGTCTTAAGATTAATTTTTATAAAAGCCTAATTCATATTTTGCACTAATAATAGATCTCTGCAAGTTTTCTATTGATTCTAGGTATCTACCACAATTATAATGGATTACTCCTATGTTATTATAGCACACACCCAATGCTCGATGATTTTTAAATTGATTGAAATGCTAAACCTCAATGCTTAAATTAATTAAAGACATACTTTCGTTTTCTTTGTATATATTTTAAGTAGTAAAAATCAAAACTTTGAAAAGATTCTAAAAATTATCAAAAAGTTCCTTTGTATCACTTGAGAAACATTATGTGCTTTAATCGATTTAGAAGTATTCACCTGTTTATAAATCGCTTTTTCCTTAGATTTTGTTGACATTATCAGAAATATCTTCCACTTTAGATATCTAAAGAGATTGCAAAAAAATCTAGTTTAGTCCATCACCATCTTAATCAATTAATTGTTTTAAAACGCCAGTTAAGTGAATTATAGGTTTTAAAGTCTATTAGCCTAATAAAAAAGAATATATTATTTATACTAATTATATAATAGCTATCCAAACTAAGCTTATCACCATAAATAAAAAATTGTATTTTTGGATTTATTGTTGCAAAATGCTGCAATATTAAAGCATTTTTTCTTTAGAAAGAATATTTAAAAATAAAAATGCATTTTTAATTTAATATTTTGGAGAAGGATCCACTAATTTGAGAGTCTCAAATTTAGGTACTTTGTCAATTATTGTAATTTAATTTTGTAATACAATGCATTCTGTCGAGTTCCGTTCATATTCGAAGATTTGCTAATAATTTTCATAATTAAATCCTACAAAATCAAATTGATTAGTGCTATTTAAAACAAACTTATTATTTTAGTTAATCATGCTAATAAAATATGATGCCTAACTTTGATTTTTCAAGTAGTCTGTCTCAATTTACTGTATGGTAACAATTTCATTTCTACTTAAATTATATGCTGAATCATAAATAACTGTTTGATATTATGGATTTAATAAAATTTAGAGTTTAGAGTTAGAGCCAAAATTTTTAAAGTAAGTCGGTACTAACGTTAAATCTTAATTTAAGCATATTAATGAGTAGTTTGAACTTTTTGAGTTTGGGTCTAAAGATTCATATTTCAATCTCCTTTGGCAAAATGATTGAACAATGAAAGGGTTAACTTTTGAATAAAACATTTATGGGTTATATATAACTGTAGAGATACTACTTAGGTTGTAATAGTATCTGCATCTAGTATCTAAATAAAATTATCCTTAATATGGACAATTTTTAGGTGGCTAATAATTTTGAAAAGTAGTATTCACACCTTAGGTGTAAAGCAGACCATCATAACTAAATACAAAAAATAAATCTTTGAATATCATCTACCTTCCTTCACTGTAATTATTAACAAATTAGATTGATTTACTAACAGAATCTATCCGAACAGATTAATCTAGCTACTACAATTCAATATAATCAAATTAATTGATTTAAGATTTATTTACTTGATGCCTAAAATATTAATTTAAAAAAATCAGCTTTCATAAAAATTATCTCCAAACAAATAAATTGAAGCAAGTTTATTTAAATGAGAAAGTTTTGAGGATGAATGCATGATGACTTTTTGAAAGGGTTAATTTTTTCTAATAAATTTTTATGAAAAAATAGAAGTCTGTTATGAAAATAAATGCTGCTTTTTTTGCTAATACATGCCTCAACGTTCAATAATTAAAATGTCCTTAAGATAAAATAAAGTGTTAAGGAATAATTAATTGTAATTTAAAGGGTCTTTTATTATTTTGATATCAAATTAATAAAAATATTGATCCTTGATTGAATTAAAAAATTTAATTAAAACAAAAAGGTAAATTCATATAATTTACTTGAGAAATTAACAATTAAATCTTCAATAGAATAAAACAATAAAATACATCTAAATGAAGCTTGATTTAAAATTTAGATTATTTTCAAATAAGAAATATATAATTATTAATTTTACCATGAGCTGGTGAATATAGAATTATTTCTAAAAAGCATCAATACATCTTTGTTTTCTTCGTTTGTGTAAGTCCTTTCTATGTTGAGAATAGATGGAATATGATTTTAATTTTTTAAGACATTTTCTTAGATTATTTTTCCAAAGAATTCATTAAGCATGTTGATGTACCAAACAAATTTTTAGGTCTGAGAACTAAGTTAAAAGACTATTGCTGAATTCAGTATTTTAGAGCTTTTGATTTGATCTTACAATAAGTCATTTGAAAAGTTATTGACTAATTCAAAGCATATGCTCTAAAAATAATTTAATATTAAATAGGTAGAGAGCATCAACAGTGCTGTTGGAAAGAGAGTTATCAAAATAACTATGATTTAAGTCTTATTTGTTTGGTAGAATTTATAATAAATATTACCATTTAATTTATTTTAAATTTATTAATTGGTTTTTTTCTTCATTTTGTTTTTTTTAAATATTAAAGTTCTACTTTTTATAATAATTTAGTGATACTTTTATGTAGAAATAAATAATAATTTTTTTATAATTATCATTATCAAAAAAGCTTATTTAATGTTTGATTTACAGACTGATAGATTGATCTAATTCAATCCACCAACAAAGCATTTTTATTCATGTATATTCTTAAGGATTTTAAGAGAATATGAAATATTTGATTAATCGATGATCGAATTGTTCACTCAAAATAATTTAGTATAATTCTTTTATTTTCTTAATAAAATTACATTAGAACTATCATTAAATATCAAAAAATTTATTTTAAAAAGTTAAAAAAAGCATATTTTATAAAATTTAACTTTTTTATTTTGTTTTGTTTAATTTAGTTAAATTATTTGAAAATATTTATAAATAAATTTGCCTTAAATTAATTTAAAAGAAATAATTTTATTTAACCAAATGAGAAAGTAAATTATATAATCTGATATTTTAAAAAAATAAATTTTTATTTTAAATAATTTAATTATGTGAGAAAGATTGCCAAATATTCAAACATTTAGATCAAATATCTTCTTGAGTTTATTTTTAAAGTTCTTTTTAATGAGCAATTCTTTTTATTAGAAGTGCATTTTTAGCTCCAGTATGTTAAACCATTTAGTAGAAAATTCCATTTGAATTTTACAATAACTCATATGGAGTTCCTTATTCTACAGCTTTTCCCTATTCCATCACTATAATTTAGTCATAATCGGCTATTGTGTTTAGTCTATGAGCTATGGTTATAACTGTGGAGTTTTTAAATTTCTATCTTATTTTTTCTTAAATTAACTCATCAGTTAGCATATCTACGTTTGCAGTTGCTTCGTCTAATACAATCAGTTAGCTCTTTCTTAAAATTGCTCTTCCAAGGCATATTAACTGTTTTTATCCTGCACTAAATATATCACTGGCATTGCTCATATCCTCGTAAATATTTTTTGGTAACTGATTCACTTTTTCTATTTTTATTCCAAGTTTTTTTTTAAGTTAAAGAAATATTTTTTAATTAAAGATTCAAATTTAATTTATTTTAAAGTCAAAATGAATATTTTTTGAAAAATAATTTAAAATTTTACCATATAAGCTTATATCACGAAGAACTTCATATATAGTTTCGTCTGTATATTCATCTAAAGGATCAAGATTTCTTCTTATTGTACCTGAAAATATAAATGGAGATTGAGGTATGATACTTATTCCAGCCCTTAAAGTGTGCAAACCTAAATTTTTGATACTATGCCCGTCTAACAAAATGTCACATGAATCACCCCTTCCTTAATTATACTCTAATTCTGTTATTCTAAAAAGAGCTTAAATTATTGATGATTTCCCAGCTCCAGTCCTTCCAACAAAACCTACTCTTTTTCCAGGTAATATTTTAAAAGATAAATCTTTAAATACTAAATCTAAGTCTTTTCTATATCTCATTTTTACATTTTTAAATACCAGCTATCCTTCAAAAGGAAACTTTTTAACTTATTCATCTTAACTTTTATATTCCAACTAACCATCATATTAAGTTTTTAAAGAAGGTTCATGCTCTATTTTTGTTAAATTCAAACACCTTTAAACATTCGTCATAGCAACATCCAAATTAACAAGTTATCTATTTATAATTTTCAAAAATATTAAAATTTATTTATTAAGATTTTAAAGCTATAATTTTTAATTTTATTGGATAATAATTTAGAGTTTTTATCAAATTATAAGAATGAATTAAATAACCGGAATATATTTTTAAGAAATCCATTCTATTTAAGTATCAAATACACATAGAATCCTTTTATTTAGTATTTTTGTATGAATAAAAATTCTAAAATTTTAATTCTATACTAGAGAATAAATTTTAAATAAAATTATTTGATATAAATAATCTAATTTGCAATCCTATAATTTAGTATTATCCTGTATATAAATAGATAACACTCTAATTTTATACTATTTATATTAGTATATATAAGTAAGTCTTGAAAAAAAAGAATAAGAAATAAATTCAAATAAAATTTATTTTTTAATTAATAAAATATTCTAAAATACATTTCTTAATTTTTATTTTCAGTTTTTTAAATTAAATGAAAAAAAAAAATTTTAATGTTAGAAATTCTTTTGAAATTATATTAAAAAAATTATTAAAATGATTAATTTTTAAAAATAAAATTTTGGTGATTTAGCATAAAAATATAACAATCATCTTTATTAATTTAATATTTATGAAAAATTAACTTGCAAATTTGTAATTTATATTCCAAATAATCTAAAAAGAATAATAAATAAATAAATACTGCAATTAAAACAAATTAGAATTATGCTTATAAAACACATTGAATTTTAAATAAAATTTCATGATTTAAAGTTTTTTTAAAACAAAAATCAAATCTTAAATTTATTTACCTCATCCCCCATTAGAGAAGTTCAATGCCGTTTACGAAATAGATTATACACTGCCCAATATCTGAGGTAGAATTCGCGACATAAACAATTAGAAATATTCCCATACCGTTGCATATAGCTGTGAATAAATTAATAAAGGCACCAAATCCTCTTTGGCAAACTAAGTAGTAAATAGAAGCTCTTAATTAATTAGATGCTAAGAAATCAAATTCTTTTTCAAAATTTTCATTTTGCTTATACACTTTTATTGGTAAGACGCCTTAGATACTCAAACTAAAAAATGTGAGGAGAGGAGATTTTGTTTTTAAATCAATTTATTTTGTCGACATAATACCTTATTTACACTTCTTAAAAAAATAGAAAAGTACAGCTGCTTCGAATAGAACTACAAAAGAAAAATAAGGAGTTATCAGAATAATTGTTGTAAAATTAACTATAATTCCTATGAATATTTCAAAAATATCAGCTAAAATCAGTGCTAAGTTTTCATCTATTTGACCTTTTTAATTTATTTATTGTATTATTTTTTACAAAAAATAATTTCTCCTAAATATTTTACCAATGTCTGACGAAAATCTTTGCAGAATTCTTCCAGATGGTGTTACATCAAAAAATAGTACTTTAGATCTCAACAAAGATAATACCATCTTGTGAAGTAATTTGTTACACAGTTTGTTTATAGCAAAGCACAGAGAGATGTTCTTTATTAGTTAAGCAAAAATGTAAATTAAAACAATATATCCTATTCTATGAATTAATTCCTATTTGTTTTCTGATTCATCGAACTCTCCAAGAGCCTTATTGAATTAAACATAAACTACGTGACTGAAAATATAGAAGACTATGATCAGTGGCATTACAAAAATAATTCCTTATTATTAAAAAAAATTGTTATTATTTAAATTGAAAACTTAATTTAATTTATTTATCTACCTGATTCTTTGAAAAAGCCGAAATACGTTTATAAATTTACAACTACATCTTCTTCTTTTGGTACGACTTCTTTCTATGGTTAGCAATTATTTACAATTTTGTTTGTTTCATCGTTAATTTGTTGAGTTTAGTATAATTTTTCAGATTTATTTGCATTTTCTTCACTCTTTTCAGTAAGTTTGTGGTCATTATGGTGGAGTTCACTGGATAAATTTTAAAGTGTTTGCTCTAGTTCTGCATAAGTACCTTGTTAGACTATTCTCCCTTAATCTAAGATGACAATTTTGCTTGCAAATCTAGAGAAATGGATCTAATGAGTGACAAGAATAACAGTTGAATCCTTACAAAATGCTTTGATTGCTTCGAAAAATATTGTCTTTGCCACCTTTTTGAATAAAAAACTTGATTGAATAAATGATAATTTTTTCTTGAAGTAATTACTTTAGAGTCAACAGCAGAGAGTGGATCATCAAACAAATAGATATCTGCCTATGAATAGAGAGCTCTTGCTAACGAAATTCTAGCTTTTTAACCCCCACTTATATTAACTCCTCTTTCGCCAATGTGAGTCTGGTCCCCAAATTCAAATTTAGTGATATCTTATTCTAGACAGCTAGCTTTTATCACATTTTAGTAAAGCTCTTCGTTGTATTCTCGCCCAAACAAGATATTTTCTTTGACTGTATTACTGAATATGTAAGGTTCTTATTCTACATAGGCAAGGTTTCCTGAAAAATTGAAGTATCCTTTGTAAATAGGAATTTCTTTAAGCAAGCAATTAAGGAGGGATGTTTTTCCTGATCCTACTTAACCTACAATACAAACTAGTTCTCCTTTATTTATTTCTAAATTAATATCATTTAATACTGCAATATTTTCTTTCCAATATCCTGTGAAGTTCTAAAATATAACTGAGCCATTTTGTAGTTAGCACAATTTCGTTTAAGCATTTTCTTCTCCTTCGTCTGAATTTATAAATTAATTTTGATAATTAAATATTTAAAAAAAAAAAATAAATGAATAAATACCTTCTATTTTTGTCATAGATTTTTCTTTTAGCACAAGAACGCTTATCATTCTATTTATAATAACTTTTAATTATAAAATATTGGAAACACCAATAGACAAGACATTGAGAGCTTAATTTTTTGTGAAATTAAGTATGTTGAGTGTTGTGAATAGAAGGGCTGTGTCTACTGCTCCTGATTCACCATAATTAAACATAAAATAAAGAATAAAATAAGTGCCAAAGATAGAAAATGTATGTCCAATGCAAAAATTTAAAACAGTTATGATAGTAATTTTTAGAATATTCATCAATTCTAATTTCCTAACTACATTCATACTATGAAAAAAAGCTTCTTCCCAAGCATACATTTTAATCAGTCTAACACCCTCTATAATTTCTTTGGTCAAATTAATTCTTTGATCTGTATATTTACTTTTGTCTGAAAAGAACTTCTGATTCAATTTAGATAGAAAAAGAAGGATAGGGTAAGTTATTATCAAGAGTCCAAAACCAAAAAGACCTGCGAATCCATACCTAGTTATATAAAATAAGTCACCAATAAAAGTAATTTCAATATCTACAATTCAATCAAAGCTTTTCAAAAAAATAAATCATCAATAAAAGTAATTTCAATAAGTACAATTCCAGTCAATACTTTAAAAAAAATAAATTGAATAATTTAAAAAAATCAAGAGAAATTATGATGAAATCTGACTAAAGATTTGCCTCTTTTGATATTTAAATGTTAATTAAAGTTAATTAAGAGATTTAAATAATATCTCAAATTCAAATAAAACAATTTACTTGATATAAAGATATGAAGTCGAAGCAATTAATGGTAAAGGTACGGAAAGCAGGAAAAATATGGCATTGAACCTTTATTCAAGAGTTTGCAAATCATTTGAAATGAGATTGATTAGCTTTCCAACATTTGCCTCCTTCACAGAAAATGCTGAAAGAGATGATACTTTTTTGTACAAAACCTTCATAAAAATATTACGAAAGTTAGATTAAACCATTGCATTTAATCTTAAGTTATTGTGATGAAACAACACCCATAAGATATTCAAAGTTATCAATGAACCTGCTATCAATAATGCTGTTTAATTGACTCCATTGTTTTAAATATATGATATCAGTTATTTTATTAACAAAGAAGAACCAAAGAGACACATATAGCTCAGACAAGTTAAAATGATAGTAACTGTTAGCTATTTACTAAATGTTTTAACAAAAACATTTAGCATGTCTTGTGCATTTAAAATCCTATTATTTTTCCTAGCTTCTTCTAGTTTTCTATCCAAGTTAGTTTAAAATTTTTAGTAGTTGTGAGTTATTTATTGTTGTGGAGGTAACTCTGGCAAATTTGCGACTGTTAAGCTTTTAAAAAACTTTGAATCTCTTGCTGCTTTTAAAAGCAGCTTCAGCATATCAATCATTAATGCCCTAAGAATGAAAGGAGTTTACATGTAGATACTAAATGGTTAAGAACTTGATTCAATCTGCTACATTTGCTACTCCTAGCTTAATAAATGATCCTTTTAGATTTAAGAGGAAGGGATTTCAATAAAGCAACTAGAAGTAGCTACTATTGATTTATCTTCCATATTTTTTTTAGACTCTTATTAATTTAACAGACTTACATCCTCCTAGTCTCCTTGAGACTTTATGTTAAAAGTAGAGCTTTTATCCATTAATTTATTTAAATATAAAATTTTGAATATGTTATTTAATTAATTAAAAATAAATATATTTGCATTATTTATGGGAGAAAATCAGAGTATTATTAACTTGAATCATAGATAATTTACTTAATTAATTCTGGTTTTAACTATTTCTATTAATCATAAATCTTTTACTAACAATTATAGTAACTATTGACAAAATTATTATTAATTAGATTTGATTTTTTCAAGTAAATATTTAAAAAAATAATAGAAAAGGTCTACTTTTTATCATAATTTTATTTTTATTATGAAAAGTTTTTTAATTTATTTGATAAATTTTATTTTTTTTAATTTAACTTTAAAAAATATTTCATTTAGAAAACCTAAATCATATAAAAGCCTTTTATTTTATTAAATTAGTTTTTTATGCAAGCTGTTTCTAAAATATTTCATATAAAAATGTATTCATATTTAGCCACAATTAACATGATTTCATCATTCTTTCTTTAATGATATTTATTTTTTAAATCATATAAAAAATTTAGATAAAAAAAGCATATAATTAATATTCATTCATATTTTTCTTTCGTATTTTTTTTATTTCCTTTTTCAAATACAAAGAAAATATGAAAATATAGAAATTAATGGATAATGATTAATTAGATTTTAAAATAAGATTATTTTTATTATAATTATTTTTTAACATTAATTTACAGAAGAATAAATTAATTTATTTATTTAGCTTGCATAATCAAGTTTAAAATAAAAAGCGCTCGGTGAAGGGATCGAACCTTCGACCTTGCGGTTAACAGCCGCATGCTCTAACCAGCTGAGCTAACCGAGCTTAATAATAAATGATTTTTAATTTTTATAATTCTTAAAACAATTTTAATATTTTTAATTAAAATAATTTATTTTAAATTTAATTTTTATTTTACAAATTATTTAAAATAAAATTATAATTAAAAAATAAACAATTCATTAATAAATTAATAAATAAAAAAGCGCTCGGTGAAGGGATCGAACCTTCGACCTTGCGGTTAACAGCCGCATGCTCTAACCAGCTGAGCTAACCGAGCTTCACAATATCATTTAATAAATTTTACAAAATTCTAAAATGTAATATTAAGTAATTGCAATTAGTTTAAAGTTAATGTTATATAATATTAAAATAACTTTTTTGATGAAAGTGAGTTTTAAGTATCTTCTAATAAAAATCCTATTTGAATAATATATATAGTAAAAATATAAAATTAATTTTTTGATGCATTCTTTATCTACAAAATAAAACTGTAAATTCTATTTTTAACACCCAAAAAGCAATTAATTTTTTTGAATCACTCACTAAAGTTATGATTTTACTTATGGTAAAAATAACTAAATATTAATTAGTGCAATATTTAAAATTTTACAGCAAATAAATTTAAATTTTAAATAGGTCAAATAACGATAGAATTTTAAGATATTTGTTAAATTATATAAACTTAAATCCAGTTTTTTAATTTATAGAAGGATTATTAATTTAAAATTTACAGATTAATATCAATTTTTGATCAAAATTGAGATTTATCTACACAGTTTATCCTTATCTTTTATTTTAAAAACTAAAAAAACAATTATTATTTATTATAAATTAATAAAAGCAGACAATAAAATGGGATAATTTAAATCAAAGGAAAGCGATTCTAAAATTATAGAAACAAAAAAAAGTGTTTTAGAATACTTAATCGATTCTGAACAAATAGAAGATGCTTAGGACCTTTAAAAAATTACTAATCTGACCTATAAAATAATGTAATTACTTTTATATGGTTATAATTGAAATTAATAATAATCATATGCTGATGCAAACTAAAGTATAATTTAAACAAACCTCTATTTAATATATATAAAGTTAAAGGGATACCGCAGGCGAAGAGTGTGAGAATGTAGCATAAGTTTTAACATAATGCAAATAATTATAATCTTTATAGATAGATATTAGGTAAAATATTATATTTAAATTGATAACCCATTAATTTATACTAATCATTGAAGCTAAAGGTATATATCTTCAAATTATTTTCAATTCCTAACAGAGTCTCTATGCCATCTTCCTTTTCTTTAAGAATTATTCTTATTTGCAACGTAAATTTATTTACTTACTTATTGTTATTTAGTTTAATTACAATTCATAGAGATAGCTTAATTAAGAATGAGGGAGCAAAATTACTTGCCATACCTTTAAGTTAAATGAATTAACTTAAAACACTAGTTTTAGAATTTAAGTAAAGCACTTTAGTAGAAAAATAAACACTTCTTAATGTTTTTTTAAAGTTCTAGCTAAATAGGTTAGTTCGGAGCTAAATAATTAGGACAAGCTTTGAGTAAAAAAACTGAATTAACTTATTTGTATTTAGGATTTGAGTAAATAATTAGAAATTAAATCTTAAATGAGCAAATTAATTCAATATTATTTATTTATTTAGTTGTAATCAAATAGATTACTAGGGTGCTTATTCAATTTTGTCAAATTTAAAAGATTCTACTAAATTAGAAACTTTTTTCTTAAAGATAAGGTAAAAAACAAACAAACAAACAAACTATGTATTTATTTATAAATTATATTTTTTAAAGTAATTATAAAGAAGATTAAGGGATATTTGACTGCTTAGTTTAGTTAATAGAGCTAATCCCATAGCTCTAATCCTTAGTTTTATGTATGAGGTGATTATTATTTTCATTTTATAAATAAATATCATTTGCAATTTTAATTAAAACTAAAAAAGTCTTTCTGTAAATAATGTTCAAAACTTTAAGTAAGCCATAACTAAATTAAAGAAACTAAAAATTCTAAAGATATTTACAGAGTAAATTAATATTTTAAATTTAATTTAATAATTAATTCAATATTTTGTAATCAAACTAAAGAACAGGATAATAAAGTAGAACTATTAAGCAACAACTAGTATCATTAAACAAAATGAAATACTTAGTAACAAAAACAGTAATTTATTAATATAAAAATAAATAAATTTATTTAATAAACTATTTTTGATTGATTGATTCATTTATTTTTGATAAATAGATAAGGTGATATATTTATTTTGTTCATATTACTCAAAAAGAAACAACACATTTAGTATGTATTCATTTATTTAGCATGTTTAGTTTGTATATTTATTTTTAAAGAAAATGTAATATTGATGGATTTATTGATAGATAATACTTCAAATTATGATTTTATATTATTATTTCATAATTTAAAAATTTATAAATGACTAAAAGTTTTTTGGAATATATTACTAATATTGTAATTAAAATATCACCAACTGTGTAGGTATAGTTGGTGATACTTTATTTAATTTTTATGATTTTAAGCTATTTTACACTTTTTAGTTGTAAAAAATTTATATTTTTTTGAATAAATATTTTATTAAATAATAAAAAAATTGTAATCATAAATCAATTTATTAATATTAATAAAAATTTTAAACATCTTTATCATAAATCTGTCTAAAAATAATCTTGTTACTATTTAATTAAAGGTAAATATCATAAAATTAAAGTTCTAATATTGATAATATTGAGAATTGCAAATACTATAAAAATTGCAATAAACTCTAAATATAATAAAAATAGAGAATAATTAAGATTATGTTTAAATTTAAATTATAAAATATTTATTAATATGTATGTATTGAATATTTGCAATATTTTATGTAAATAAATTGAAATTTTTCATTATTGGTAAAACCTAAATTTATTTTTATTACATTTTAGTTATTTGATAAAAGTAATAATAAATCATACATAATAAGTGCTTGATTTGAAAAATATTTTATATTAGAATATATTAGCTAGCAACATTAAAGCTTAATTAATAAAATACTCTTTAAATTAAAAATGATCTATTATAAAGATAATGCAGCTAGTATACATTTAAACAATACAATCTTTTTTGATATACTAATTTTTAAGTGTCTACTTTATGCTATTAATTTAACCACCAATTATACGATATTGTAAATTTTTTGGGAGATGATAATGACATGACATTCAAAGCTTTAATAATAATTTTTGATTAATAAAAACTATCTTGCCTAACTCCTGATTTTATTATTGATTCTTTCTTTTATTGTAAACACAGCTATTATTGATATTCAATCCAAAATTTTAGAAAGTAATAATTAATTAAAAGAAGTGATACATCCTAAAAGTTGATGGCTGATAAATAATACATGAATATACATGTCCTCGTAGCAGAGGATGACAATTTCTAAAGGTTAGCTCTTATAGACATTTTAACTCTATGCGATTATTAGGTCACTGCTGTGGAAAATGGCAGATTGGCTAGAGATGAGCTTCTGAAATAAGATTCAAATATTGACATAGTTTTATTAGATTTATATATGCCAGAAATGGATGGATTTGAATTATTAAGTTTAATGCAAGAACATGAAAATTTACAAAAGATTCCAGTTATCATGATGAGTTCAGATAAAGAAGAAGAAAAGGTGGCAACATGTATTGCAAAAGGAGCAAAAGATTACATATTCAAGCCACTAAGAGTACAAAATGTAAAAGGTAAATCAATAAATGTTAATTTATTTCTAAAAAGCGTTTTTCAAAATTTTCCTCTATTTTGATAAAATAACCAAATAGGGAAGTAAAATATTTGAATAGCCAAATCAAAAAGATTTTAAAACAAGTATAATAAGAAAGTTTATATTTTTAAATTTAAGCTTATTAGGTGCTATTGTTTTTTTATAAGCTGATTAGAAAAAAATAAGAAAATCAATAAATAATATATTTATTCGTTTATTAATTTTAAATAGCTATTGCAAAATACGTACAGTACAAAGATTAAGGAGATAAAAATTCTAATCTAGTCGGAATTTAATAATATAAGGTTCTTAAAACATTAGGTTAAGGTGCTTCAGGAAGCGTAGAGTTAGTGTAAAAAAATGATGGAAATTTATATGCATTAAAGACTATATCCATGAAATATATGAATGATACAGAAAAAAGATCTGCTCAATCAGAAGTTACTTTGCTAAAGGTCTTAGTTGCACCAACTATTATTCGTTATTATGAAGCATTTGTCTAAAATGATTCAATTTATATGTAAATACAGCAAAAAATTATATAATTATGTCATAATTTATTTTTTTAAAATTTGATTAGAGTTATGGAATATGCAAAAGAAGGAGCCTTAAGCGATAAAATACAAGAGCATAAAACTAAAGGCATAAGGATAGATGAAGAAACTATTCTTTACTTTACTGCATAGATCGTCATAGCTTTGTTCTTTATGCATTAAAAGAAAATTCTTCATAGAGATATTAAGTCTCAAAATCTTTTTTTAACTAAAGAAAATGTAGTTAAGCTAGGAGACTTTGGTATTTCTAAAGCTCTTGGAACAAATGCTGATTTCACTAAAACCTTGGTAGGAACTCCTTATTTTATGTCTCCTGAAGTGTGTGCTGGTTAATCTTATGGAGACAAAGCAGATATTTGGGCTTTAGGTTGTACTCTATATGAAATGGTCATGCTTCGTAGACCTTTTGATTGTGAAAATATAAACACTCTCTTTACTATGATCAGATAATAAGTAATTAATTTTTTTATTTTAAGTATAAACTTTGACCAGTTTTAACATTTGTTAATAGGACCCTTCTCCTTTGCACGATAACTGCAGTACAGACATTAGAATGCTAATTACTCTCATGCTTAACAAAGATCCACTAAAAAGACCATTTATTTGGGATTTAGTAAACATTCCAATCATAAATAAGAATATTAGAAAATATCATTAGCAAGAAGCTCCTGATGATCCCTTTTTGATAGAATTATTGAAAAGACCAACTTCAGGTAATCCTCTTTCAATGCCTAATACTCCATCCAACTCTAACTCCTCCACTTAACCGCCAGCTAACTCTAACTCGGTAGCAAATAACAACTCAAATGTCTCTAACAACCCATAAGAAGCATAATGTAATACTTTAGAATAAATTAGTAAGGCTATGAGTGAAGAATTAAAACCTTACGACCAAAAAACAGGAATGTTTCATGTGGAAAGAAATGTAATCAACGGAAAACAAATTTTTGATTGGTTTAATAAATATTATCCAAATTATCAAACTTCTCAGCTTGTAGAATTACTCTAAAATTTAGTAGAAAAGAAGTATATTCATCATATATCAGGTCCACAGTATGAAGCAAATGTTAATTCATTATTCAGATTCTAATTTGATATGCCTGGTATACCTTAAAACTATTACAAAATATGGAGCAAATAAGCAAGAGCACCTAGTGATATAATGTAAGAGATAATTTAATAGGCTAATTTCGTTCTCTAAGAAGTAAAAAATGCATTAATTAACTAACTAATTCATCTTTTATAAATATTTTTTACATTCTAATAAGATTTGCGAATAATACACAGGAGTGATATCAGAAGATAAGCTTATCCAAAGTAAGAAATATACAAAATTCTAGGAAATGGTGTGTGAACTTCAAAAAATTTACTTGCAAGACCTTACTTAAGAAGATTAAAGAAAATCTTTCTTCTTGAATCTGATTTAAATAATGTAATTTCACCAGTTTATGAAAGAAAAGTATGACCATAAAAGAAATGAATAAAAAAAAAATGTATCAACAATTCTAGATTTGATCTAATCATTTCTTCCATTCTTTAAAAGTAAATTTAAAGAATAAAAAAATAAAGTTCAATAAAAAATATTATTTTATTTATCTAAAAAGAATAATAAAAATTTGAGTACAGAATTGGGCATTAAACTTTTTCTATAGAAGATGTGAAACATGGAATTCTAAGGTGTAATAAAAAGCATAAAGGAAGTAGCTTCCGTCCATTTACTGGAAGCGATGATAAATATCAGCTCATTTAATAGTAAGATTTAAGAGTTCTTATTCTTTTTAAAGAAGAAAATGCTTCACCTTCACCTTTGCTTTTCATAACACCTGAAACATTTGAGGAGCAACTGAATCAACTTTGTGCTAAATTTATGAGCAGATTTGTTTGCTATGATAGGGTTGAGAACGATCTAACTTTGCATAAAATATTTTAAATATATCAAAATGACTTTGGAAAAGATTAATCTGATACAATAAAATGGGCTTCGAAATATACTAAGGGTATAGGAAATGTAAACGATCTCATATCAAGCATTTAACAAGGAGAAGTCTTTATATAATTCTAAGAAAAGTTTGAAATCTGATTATTTATGTTCTTTGTTTTATTTTGTCTAAAAAATTTTAAGCTCTTTAAAACAAAAACTCACATTTATTTACTCAACTAAAAATCTAATTAATAAAAACTTAAAAAAAAATTTGACTGTTTATTTTTAAACTTATAAAAAATTATTTTGATAAAATTAAATAAAAAGCATCATATTTTTAATTATAATTTAAGAGCGGAAAGCTAGAGAAATTTTAATGAATAATTTTCAGCCACAAATTCTAAAGTATATTAAAAAAAATAAGCATTCGCTTCTATTTATTAGAATAACCCTATTATTTTTTTTAAACACAAAAATTTTTATTTTAATTGTTTGAGAAAAATATTTTGTTTGTTTTATTTGCTTAATATTTTGTTTTTTTTTGAATAAAGAAAAAAAAAAAATGTTTGTTTAATTGATTGTTTGTTGGTTAGTATTTTTTTTTAACATTAAAAAAATGAAAACATTTTTAAAACATTAGCCTTTATTTACATTTAATCTAATTTTTTTTTCTTTTGCAGTGACTTTAATTATAACCCAAATACTTAATTTCAAAATAAAGTAATTAAAATATTAAAAAAATTGATAAAATGACATTATTTTCAAAGTATTTTTTATGAAATTATAGAAAAGTGTAAAGAGCATAAGATTATTATAATTGGTAGAATAATATCATTTCACTAGTGTTATTAAGTACATATTTTTCTAAAATTATAAAAAATATAAAGAATATTGATAATTAATTGCTGAGTATAATACAATAATTCTAAAGTAGATTTATAGTAGAAGATAAATCTAAAATTAATAATCTTTTCGTTTATTTTTAAGAAATAATAAATGAGTATACATGTCCTATTTGCTGAGGATGATAACTTTTAAAGATTAGCTGTTACACATATTTTACAACTATGTAATTACTAGGTTACTGCTGTAGAAAACGGCAGAATAGCTAGAGATATACTTCTAAAATAAGATTAAAAAATTGATATAGTCTTATTAGATATAAGAATGCCCGAAATGGATGCGCTAGAATTATTAAGCTTTATGTAAGAACACAGCGAAAATTTATAAAAAATACCAGTTGTGATAATATCTTTAAACGATTTAGAAATTCAGACATTTTTAGAAAGAGGAGCAAAAGATTTCATTATTAAGCCAATGAAAATATAAAATGCAAAAGGTAAATCAATAAATAATAAATTACTAATAAAATTTTTGAAAATGGGTCATTTATTTTTTCTTCATCTTAATTGAATAATAATTCAATAGGGAACAACAATATTTTATAATAGTAAAAAAAATAAAAATTTGAGGATTTATTTTTTAAAGCAATAGGAATAATGAACAAATAGTTTTGTTTCTATTTATTTATTTTAGAAAAATAAAAAGTTAAATTACTTACTAGCAATCTTCATTAATTAAGGCTTTTTTTTATATGAATACTTATTTCTAAAATTTTGTATTAATGTCTTAATAAATAATAAATTCTAAGAGTTAATAGACTTTAATTAATGAGGATTGATGGTATATGTCAATTCATTTATCAAAAAAGCACAATATAAATAACAAAACATAAATAAATAAACAAATATTTATTTATTAATATAAAATAGCTATTGCAAAATATGTACAGATAGAAGATCAAGGAGATAAAAATTCTGATATATCCAGAATTTGATAATTAATATAATGTTCTTAAAATTTTAGATAAATGAAGTTTAGGTTGAAAAGCTAGTGTAAGTAAAAAGATGATGGAAATTAATTTGGTTGTGTTAAAGATTTTTAGAAGAAGTATGTAAATGATATATAAAAAAGGTTATATTGATAGATGCTTTTTTTGCCAAAAGTTATAGATATATATACATGCACTATTAAGCTATTATAAAACATTTAGTAAATACTATTAATACTTTTAGTAAACATTTTTATATTTTAGATTAAGGAAATAAATATTTTGAATTTTAAAAATTACTTAGAGTAATTAATTGAAGATGCAAAAAAAGGAACCTTAAGTGGTAAGATATAAGATTATCTAGCTAAAGCTATTAAGATAGATGAATAAATAATTTTTTTTTTACTTCATAGATAATTTACCTTTTTATAATTCCCTAGAGGAAATATCTTCCTAAAAATGTTAAGCCTTAAAATATTTTTTTTTACAAAAGAAAATATTGCTAAGTTAAAGTATAATCTAAATAAAAC